AGAAATTTACAGATATTACACAGCATGGCTCCATAATAACACCAATACCCACACAAAGGGCGGGCGAAAAAGAAAAACCGAGCAAAAACAAAAACAAAGGGGCAGTAAAACCATTTGCATACTTCTATATGTTGGTATGTATGAATGTGTGTATGTGTGTGTGTGGATATGGGGGCGTGTAAACAGCCCCTTTTTTTGGCGTTATTATTGTTTCATATTTCTCCCGGTGCTGCGTTTCTTTTGTTTGCCAGACGAGTGTGTGTGTGTAAGTGTGTGTGTTGTTCGTTGTGTGTGGAAACCAATTTTAAATTTGTTGCCACTTCTGTCGAGTTACGGAGCATACTTTTTGGCGCTTCATCGGGAAACTCCCGCCCGTGCGATAGGGTTTCTTTATGCATAATTTGATACGGGCCGCCAGACAATATGCGAGTTTACAATGTGCGAGGGCCTATTCTCACCTGTCTAATTTCGCCATGGATGCGGATGTAGATGAGGATGAGGATGATTCACCCGAAGTGGGTCGTTTGTTGGCAGACCCCCATGCCCTTATACATAGTTTGCTGCCGTTTGTCAAGGTACGCATAGTTGAGTTACCCAATTTGCTACCCTCTAAAAGGGTTAATACGACAACGTGAGATACACGCACTGAATAGGATTCAGAAATACTACAAACGCCATTCTAAAGAGAAAAAAACAAAACACACCTTAAGATTCCATCTCCCATAATTATTGGTAAGCTCTTTCAATCACTTAGTACATATCAAATCTCCAAAATGCATAATAAACATATTTTAATACAAATGGTGGAAGCCAGATTAAGAGATTCAATGCACTTGCAACTGATGCCTTTAGTGCAAATGCAACTTAAATCCATTATAAGCAACTAAGTACAACAAATTGAATAAATTAAGTCGTAGTTTAAAGCATATTTGTCAGTCAATTGTCGTGAGTATGCGGCAGTCGAGAAAGGAATCTCGGCCAAAAGCGTTCCCACGACAGCAGCATCTGTTTAAACTGTCAGAAAATACAGACACACATGCACACGGGCACACACGCACACACCGACACGCTCTGACACATATTGTCATAAAATTATTCAATGGATATTGTGAGTGCAAAAGTTTTCGGTCCTTTTTTATTTTTTTATTTTTTGTTTTTTTTTTTTTTTTTTGGGAGCTTCTCTGGCCCTTTCCCGCTTCTCAGCCCTTTTGCAATCTTTTTGAATAGGATTTTGTAAGCGTTACAAACTGAGGAACGAACAAAAAGGAAAAACATTAAATGGCAATATGAGAAGCTTGCTTTGATATTGGATTTCGGGGCGGGGATCGTCGGTTGCGAATACTAAATGGTAGTGGGTGGGGAAGTGGGGAAAGGGGATTGGAGAAGGGGGAGGGGGAGGGGAAAGTGGCGGTCAAAGTTTATGCCAAGCCACCGAAAAAACCAAAACGTAATTACCAAATCCTTGCACCGTCCAGTTCAAGGCCCGTCTCGCTTCGGGATTTGTTTAAATAACACAGCTCATTCATTGGGCCCAAGATAAAGTGCTACCAATTAACGCAAAATAAATAAAACTCAACTAATTGTTGGAAAAAAGCAGACCATCGACAAAGGCAAAGTAGAAGAATGGCTGAGTGGAAGAGGGCCAATGTGAATGAGACAAATGCACTTGGACAAAATTATGAGACAATTATAGGTTTCATAAAATTTTATTAAAAAAATTGAAATTTTATAAGAAAATTATTTTATTCATAAGAATTTATCAGTGGTTACCATACAAAGTTTTCGTCGTTATACCCGGAAGACGCACTAAGCAAAAGGATTTAAGTGTAAAAGTCTGTCTGGGGACCAATCAAGCCATCGAGTTTTCGTCGCAATACCCGGACGGACACTATAAGCGGAGTCGTTATAACAGGATTCTACTGTATTTAAACAATTATTTAGTTGATTTGCATACTATTTTTTTCGAGTGCAGAGCAAACTCTTCAAACGGACGTCGCGTGGTTGGGAGCTCTTGTCTCCCATGCTTTGCTGCTTTCGCTGGACTTTCCCCTCCTCCTTCGCCGTCTTCTGACCATTCTCAGTCTACTTTCTTCTGCCCGCCCTGCGACGACAGTCAACATTTCTGCAACTGCCACAATGTTGTCTTCTTTTCTTGGCTTGGCCCATTTTTATTTAGCTCCCTGCTAGCTGCTCGCTCGCTTTCCCTGTTTTTCTGCTTTACAATTTTTACTGCCCGAGCATTTGGCGTTTATTTTTCTGTTTTCTTTTTTCTGTTTTCTGTCCTTTTGGACGCCCCCTGCTCTTAGCAGTTTCTTGCTGCTTTGCTCATTGTGCAAACTTGGCATTATTGTTTCCTAAGGCCAACAACGGGAAAACACAACGTCAACAGAGGGCAAGCCGGGCTAAGACCGGCGTATTCTGGCCATATTTGGACGACGACGGGAAGGAAACTCCATTCCATTCCACCTTGCCTTATCGCTATTGCTCCTGCTCCTGCTCCTCCGCCTCCGCCTCCGCCTTTGTTGACTATTCGGCGTTTCTCTATTGTTTGCAAATGCGCAAAATTAAAAGCGGGAAAAGCGGAGAGCAGCGAGAACCTGAAACGCAGTTTTTAAAAGGAAATTTCCCAAGGAGTATTTCCCTCCCCCTGCAGTCCGCACTTCGTTATGTTTACATTTTCGCGCATATATTTAATTAGGCTAATTAGGGAACGTGCCCTGGCTTTGGGCAAGGCTTAGAAGCGTAATTTATTCGCCGCATGGCTTACTGCACTTTGAACACAATTAGAGGAATGGCCAAACACATGACAAGGCCAAGGAGAACCAAGGAGAAAGGCAAATGGAGAAAGGAAAGCGGAGAAAGGAGAAAGCGGTGGCAGCACCAGTGATAAGCGTAAGAAATATGAGCACCGGATATAAATTGTGTCAGCGGCAAAATGATAAAAAACCACTTAAAGGCGCAAACAATACGGCCGCCGGGCGGAGGCCGCGAAGAATCCTGCCAGCCGGCACAATGACAAACCGCTTCGCTAACCGCAATTGGTTCGTGGGGGAAGAAGGAGCAGGGGGGTAGAAACAAGTGGGAGGTGGGAGGGGGAGGGGAAGGAGCCACAGATAGCACAGACTGCACGACGACAGCGGAAACAACAAAAGGACACAACTGGCGATGACTGTGCAAAGACGATGTGCTGGTGTGTGTGTGTGGGTCACTAGAAAGCGGCACTCGCAGAAAAAATATCCTCTGAAACCAAAAAAAATTATAACTAATTATAGTAAAATACCAGCCTTGTTTAATTCACTTTCCATTTAAAGTTCGATCAGCTCGGTCAATTCATTCATTCATACTGCTAATCTGCTATTTTTCCTAATGGTTAGCAAAATGCTTTCTGATTTGTCAATAAAATGCTGAAAAATACCCAATTGCATTTGTTCAAATAGTCGAAAACGCAAAATGAAGTCATTATAAATGCAAACTAGTTGATATTTTTGGCTTTTATTTACTTGTTCCCAAGCGCACACAATTTTAAACCAAAATTAAAATACTCTGAGTGGGAATTTTTTGATAGCAAAAAGTTTGAAAATAAATAGGAAATTGTGGTTAAATAGCTAGATAAAATAAGAAGGTAAAATAGTTGTTTGATTAGATACATTTGAAACAAACCATTTTAACTCGCACAATCGAGGATATAATTTACAGAATTTAAAAGCTAAGTAAACATATTTCTTTGAGTGGCACATAAAGAATTGCGGGAAGAGCTTTGCCACCGCCAAGTCATTTACGGCATGTCCTTGAGGGGGCATCCTGGATGGGGGGCGGGGTGCGGGTGGCGTGGCCACCTACCCTCCAGAACGTTCGTTCAAGCCCTCAGACGGACATTAACAAATACAATAAAAGCGCCAAAGATAGCACGTCAGGCTTTTTAATGCGCAAAATTGCAAACGTTTGCTGGGTCTTTCTGGGCAGCGAAAATAATGCGAAACGGAAGAAATTAGTTGCGTGCAAATTTATGCTCGGGGTTCGTTTTGTCGACCCCTTGCTCCGCGGGTCATCGGGCACAGGAAAAGGGTCATTTCGTAGACGCGTGAAAATTCAGGCCCAGGCCACTTTCGAGCGTGTCGTTTTTTACAATTTTCCATTCAATATTTATGGTTCGCACGAGAAATAACAGCCCAAGGCGGCCCAATAAGTTGCAGGGTTTATTCAGTAACCGTTCTTGAGCCTTTAAAATATACTTTCCACACAGCAAGGTGGCTTGCTACTGGGTTTTCAGTTCTGCAGAGTTTAGCTTAGCCTAAGTGTTAAGTGGCATGCTTTAGCTTATGCCATTCGTTCTGTGCTTCTATTCCATTTTCTTTTTACTACTACTTACTATTTGCATAGGGAGTCGCATGAGGACTTATACGAGTGTTGGGGCTTATTCCGATTATGTTTTATCCAACTTAGGACTACCGACTACTTTCAAAGGAAAATGCTACTTTAGGGTAATATTCTGCGGGGTACAACTAAAGTTGAAAATAAATACTTCGAAGTTGATTTGTTTTATTTATCAGTTCTGTGTGGCTTCATATTTAAGCTTTACAAAAATTAAATTATATTTTTCGTTTGCAAAAACATATTTCTGCTACATACATATATATTATTATTAACTGAACAGAAAGGTGTTAAAAAAGCTGACCGCATGAAAACAGCGAATTAAATCATTTTCCAGCCGTAAAGGCTGTCCTTTTTTATGGCCAAAACATAAGGTCAACCCCCGCGGCCACAGATCCTTGCAAACTTTCACGTCGCATTAAAATTTACGAGCTCGGCTGCGACATCTGAAACGCTCTGGGAGGCAATCGCTGACACGACTTATCGTCAATATTTTGGTTTTACTTCCCTTTAGTTACTCATTTCTCGCATTTCCCCGGCGGCCGTTAGATGGAGATAACGAAGGAGGAACTACTTAGGCGACTTTTAACATTTTCCGCTCTGTTCTCTGCTTTTCCCCGCCTTTGCAGCTTCGACGTCCGAGGCAGGCCCTTCGAGAAGGCCCTCTACTGGTCGGACACCAACTCATTTGGGCCACGTGCGTACTTCGTTACCGGACAGCAGCCGGCCAAGTTATCGGTGGACAACATTCAGCTGGATGACGAGGGCGTAAGTGGCTCTAACTGCCTCTGACCATTGCTTTCCGGAAAACGCGCTCTTCGCCATATTATTGTCTGTTTTTTATTGGTCTCCTCAACAGGTTTACCGCTGCCGCGTCGACTTCCAGAACTCGCCCACGCGTAATCATAGAATTAACTTAACGGTTATTGGTGAGTACCGAAGAGCAGTGCAGCTCCATTAAGGAGAGCTCTGCCTCTGCCACTATTACCTACACTCTGAGAAATCCGAACTAGTAACGCATATATAAAAAGTTGTTTTTTAAATTTATAAGTTATCTTTCTGGGCAGCATAATTGCTTTTAATTGATTAATTCTCTAAGAAATAAACTAAACTAATAAATGAAAATTTAAAGGATTGATATTTGGATCCTTCAAGTCATTTAATAATAAAATCTGTAATTTATCCTATTTAAAGCACCCTTTCTTGATTTCTAATTTGACTGATTTGACAAACTTAAACTCAACACAGGAGTATCTTTTCCGAGTGCATCCCTTTTATAACGACTGTCCTGTCTCTCTCTTAACTCCCCGCAGTTCCTCCGCACCAAATACTCGTGTACGATGCCTCCGGTCGCGATGTCGCCGGAGCTGTGGGTCCATTGCTCGAGGGCGATAATATTGTGTTGACATGTGAAGTGCGTGGCGGTAAGTAAATCATGATAAACGACACCAACGCATACACGTTCCCTCCGCCACATAAATGTGGCACTCAGACAAAAGGCTATCAAGCTAGGGAGGTCGACACAAAACGCAACTGATTCCACTGCACACAGCGGGAAAAGTACAACTTGAAATGTAGATACAACATTAAAGGACATGCAAACATATGCCACTATTTATAAAGTATAAATAAAATAATTTGATTTTCTGTTGACAGAAAAGTGTATGATTTTCATCCCCTCTCGTCTCTATAAAATGCAAATAAATTATTTCAAATAACGCACATGACACTACGTTAAATAACTATTGTGATAGTTAAGTGTATCTTTTCTTAAACATAGTAAAGTTCTTTAAAAACGTTGGCTAGTAAAGGGTTGCAATTAGAAAACTTAAATAAATGGACATAACACCGAGGTAATTTACAATTTTTCTCGGTGCAGTCTTTAGTAAGATACTCGGCTGTTTCGGCCTCGTTCGCACCCACCCAACCACACTCGACCCTGGCAGTCTATTTAAAGAATTAAAGATGAAAGCTCCAGATAGGTCCCAGCCGTGACCGAGTCTGCTGGTTCGAGTGCCAAGGGGGCCAGGCCGGCTAAGTCATCGTAAATAATAAAAATAAATGTATGTCAAAGTCTGCGGTGACAGTGCCGCTCCGCAGACACCAGCAGCTCGTCTGCTCCTGCGTCTGTGGGCCGCTGTCAGTGGCAGTTTGCTTCTGGGCCAGAATGCAACAAATTCGAGCGTCTGGCGAGCTTTGTTGTGCACCCACCCATGCCACATGCCCCATGCCCACTTGCCCACTCACCACCCATGCCACATCCATTGGTCGGCTATGACCTGTAGGCATATGCGGCATCGTAAATCTTTAAAGAGGTCCCCAAGGTGAACGCCACCCTCCCCATCGACCGGTTGCTCTAAACTTTTTACTCGCCTTTTTATGCTGGCAAGTGTGAAAAATTTTTGTACAAGTTGCTCGCTTCGCTGGCTTGCTTGAGGGGTCCTCCTTGCATGACTGAGTCCCATGGATACGAACCAAACCAAACCAAACCGAACTCAACCCCACGAAACCGGCGATGGCGATGGCGATGGCGACGAGTGCCCGACATCAGCATTATAAATCATTAACTTTTCTGACAACAATATTTTCGGCGCACACCCCAGACATTTTCCATGTCAACTAGCAACGCGATTTGCGAGCTGCCTTCTCCTCTGGCCAAACTCAATGGGTTTCCACAGAGCTTTAAGACCAGAATGCAGCCGAAGAAGGAGGAGATGTTGGTTCTGATGCTCGTGAAAGTTTTTAAGTCCGTTTGATAGTAGCTTTAGTTGATTATTACAGACAGCCAGGGGACACAGTTCATTGAACTGCTCCGAAAGTTTAAGATATTTAATAGATGCGAAGCATTGTTCTTTTTATCGTGGCATTAAGTACTAGACTGTTATTCAGGCAATTCTATATAGATTTTTTGCAGAGTTTAGCAACTTAAGCAAGTACAAAGAAAGAAAGATAATATGCCATGTCTCTAAGGATTTTCTTAAAGTAAATTAAAAAGGCTTCACCACTTCAAACAGTATCCATCTTTAATTTCCTTCTACTTATGTTTTTTCAAAGATACTAATTCTGTTTTCTATTATCAAAAAGCACCGCTCTTTTTCTTTTTCTTTTTTAAGATTAATTTAAACTTGACTAACTATCAGGCCTTTTATTTTTAGCACAGCCTTTTGTAGAATATGAAGCACTAATGAGAACACAAAACTTTGGTGCTCAGGCGAGCTCTCCGCTTTATAATCTGAATACCAAAGGGAAATCTTGAAGAACCGTTCTTGAACTTTATCGGGCTCCAAGGAGCGAGGCAGTGGCCCAATTTCGGCTGAAGGATCCCCGGCTTTGTGCAGCCCGCTCTTGGCAAATGCTAGCTCATTATTCGCCCCACCTTCGACTGGCAGGTGGTGCTTGCCGCTCCGGGTGATTCCTGGGCAGGCGGCTGTCACCGCTGCAAGCACTGCTCCTGCTCACGTGCTCACGTGCAGCACTCTCCTGCCAAAGGATTCGTCCTGCGCCTTGGCATCTCGCCTCGTGGCTTGCTTTGCCAGCAGTGCCGCACGTCGCCGCTTTGACTAACCGCATGTGAATGAGCTAAACAGCCAGTTGCCCGGGATCGGGTTCTCAGCGGGGAATACGGGGGGTTCTGGGGGAAAGCGGAGGGAAAGTGGCTTTCAAGGGGAAAGGACCACGTGAAGCTACGGCGACGTCGACAACATTCGCTTTTGACACCTGCTGAGCGACATGCTTCTTGGCAGGTGGCAGCGCCTCTGATTTGTATGCAACATTTTCCACACAGCCCCACTTGCCACCCACTGCACTTGGGAAAATTAATTTTCCGAAAAATTTAATAGAACTTGTGGTATGTTTCACAAAAGTTTGATAAATATATGCCACTGTTTTCTGGTTTTTTTCATGAACTATTTGTTTTTATGAACTATATTTCCCAATTATTGAATAGTTCAATAATTTTAATTCCATACGGCGTTACACCCACATTTTTTTAAAATTGTATTTTTAAAATAGCAACTTCCTGACCAAATTAAAATGATTGACTAATATAATAGAAAAATCAATAAATTAACTTAAACATAATCTGTTTATTTTATACGATTCTTAGTGTGATTGTTTTGTACATTTTTTAAATACTTTTATTTTATTAGACACCACCCTCTTGATAGAAGAACCCTTTTTTCCTCAGTGTTTGGGTGGCTCCTTGTGAGACCGCAATGCAAGCTCGTATTTCATTTGGCTCCTGCCGAGGGCTCAAAGCCAAATTAACTAATATCGCAATTTCAGCGCCACATGGCGTCGACAGAAGGATGGCAATGGCCATGGCGATGGCTGGGTGAGGTATTGTGGGTGGCTGGCAGCGTCCTGATTAAAGCTAATGCAAATCCTGACGCTATTTTTATGGCCGTCCACTAATCATAGCCCTCCGGCACAATAAACGCCAAATGCCAAATTGCTTTATCAAGTTTATTAACTTCGACTAATAGCAATTAATACCGGCAATAAAAAGCTAATCTAGGCAACTGCCATAAAAGGCGCCCGGGTTATCCATTGTGTCCGGTTCGTACGGTTCCGCAGTCTTTGCATATTTGGCCCCCACATTCTCCATTCCGGCGGAGCATTGTCCGGCGGAGCAATTGTCAACAAGCGTAAGTATGGCTTAGCAAATGGCAAACGCGCTGTCTTCATTACACAAAGGAAGTGGGTGGAGTGGTGGGTCTGGGTTGGGAAAAAGAAGGAGGGTCCAAGGAGGTGGTGGGGGAGGTGAAAGCCAGCTAAATGCCGCAGGGAAACTGTTATTTGTCTATTATCCCTGCATTCCCATCCGCCCAACTTTTCGGCGTGTGTGCGTGTGTCCTCCTCTTTGGCTTATTGTCGCCGAGTATCCTTTGCAATCAGCCAGCATTCTGGCAGTAAATTCCCTAGTCCACAGCTACTCCAGCTATCAGCCACTTTCGCCCTTCAATCTTCAACCCCCAAATCGCACATTTTCCCCCCACTTTCCCCACTTTCCTGGTCCAGATCCGAATGGCAATCCCCAGCTGCTTGTTGCTATTGTTGCTCATTTCCGCCGCATTCACTTGGCTCACTTAATGGCCCAAACCAAACCCGATGGCTCTGCCAAAGGCAAGGCTTTGGGCACTTAAACGGATTAAAAATATTTTCGTACATTTGATATGTGAGCGAGTGAAATGCCCTCTTTCCCCGCCACTTTCACTCCGAACGCTGAGCGATGGCAGCAAAGCGAAAAAGTGATTGCAGAACTTCAATTGAAATGCCGGGCTGCAGATTCGGCAAACTGCATCGACAACTTCCGACTCCGAAGGGTAAATCGATAGTCAATCGAACATATGTACAAGTCATAATTTATTAATTTAACATCAGTACTCATTGGAAGGGGTTTTTAAAATGGATGAGAGCAGAGGAATCCATTGCCCTTCGAGCATCCTTCTTGGGTTGGCGAGCATCCTTCTTTTCGGCTTAAAAGCTTTAATTGGACAAACTTTCTTGATCATTTAAATTAGGGACGACAAAGTGAACAAAGCTTGAATGAAATGTAAAAAATCTGATTGATTCAAATAACCCAGTATTAGTGTGTTAAACGGATGTCACGAATCAATGTGTTTGATTTATTGATGAAGTTTCTGTGTAATATTCAATATTTTAAATTTGGAAAATTTAGAAATATATTTCTAATTGTTACCCATTTCTTTGCTAATATTTGTCAACAAATTTGGCAAGTGGTTAACTTGAAACATGACAATATGTTTATCAACTTGTAACATTTTGAAATAATTCGCAATTAGTCGCGCAAATTTAATACTGTTCAAAGGCAGAAATAATTGCAGAATATTTTATTTTGTAAATGTAAAACAATATTGCGTCACTGATTCGGTAATTCAGTTTTAATCATTGTCTGATATTTTGATAAAGTCCCTAACTTTGTGATGCATTAATCGGCTTAGCAAACGCCAGCAAATACAGCCATAAATATGTATCAAAATGTGCCCCTGATCCGATCTCCCTCCGTTTTGGTATTGTTTTTCATTCGGGGTCATCAGCATGTCCCCAAAAACTTTCCGTATTCCCCCTTTGGATCCCCAACCAACTAATTCAATATTCACGCTTATGCGTTTGCCGGAAAACCCATGACCGCCTCTTGGCCTTTTTTCGACCATCCATCCATCCATCCGTCTATCCAACCATCTATCCAACCATCCCGGCCAGCCAGCGGCCCAACTTTGCTAGTTAAGCTGGCTAAGCCTTTTTTAAAAGCCTTGGGTACACACTGCTAAATGCGCATTATCATTAAAATGTTGAAAGTTTCCTTCATTTTTTTTCGGTCATAAATTTTCGAACGCGGCTCTGTGGTCACGCCGCTTCCGTTAGAAAACCACCTCGGGAAAACTCTCTCTTTAGACGGGCGGGTTAATAATGCATGAGTGGAAAAGTTTGCTGCCAGCGAAAAACAGTTGGCACGAAATTTAAAATTAATTTATGCATTAAACATTAATTTAAATTTGAATTTGAATCGCTAGGGAGGATAATGGGGTTACCCTTTATGCAAGGGTATCGCTCATAGAATCGAAAATCCGCCATTGTTTCTGAAATCGCTGCTCTTTTCCTACTAATTGCGTTGTGATTAAGACCCCCATTTAGATTTTGTATACTCATGTCTTTTAGTTGAGGGTTTGAGGAAATCAATTGTTGTTAATCGATTTCCGTTGTTACGTTACCTTTTATGCTTACCTTTTTTTATCACTAAGTATTTAATGACAAACCAAAGTTCAAGTCGTGTAATTGTCTATATTTATAAGCCAATCTAAATGATTAATTGCATTGCTTTAACCCTAGAAGGGCATATCTAAGTTCAGAAATCATAGGTAATTAAGAATTGATAAAAAAAAAGGTGTGGTGATGGAGATCGAATTTGGCAAAATAAGGAATTAAAATTAAGAAGAAATCATTAGAGAAAACGCTATTTTTAAGAAGTTCCTTTTAAATTTAAATATTTTACAATACTGGAATACGAACTACCTATTAAATAAATGAAACCCATCACATAAATTACTATTTAATTATGAAATAATTCTGTTTGACCACTGGTTACCGAATAATAATGGCTGTGCAAAATCAGACGGTTCATAACAGTTCATATAAAGCAATCTAAATTACATCACTTTCCTGTCCTAATGAGGACTGGATATTTCTGCTACAGTTTTCACCATGTTCAATGTGAATTTTCTCTCTGTCCAACAGGTCGACCCGAACCCACCGTGACCTGGCTGAACGGGACGCGGACCCTGGAGGCGGGCAGCGGGGTCTCGATGGGCCGCCATGTGACCGTCAACCGGCTGGAGGTGGCGCAGATATCGCGGTCCGCCTTGAACAACACGTACCGCTGCCAGGCCTCGAACACGAAGCTGGTGGCGCCCGTGGAGCGCAGCATCCGCATCGAAATGTTACGTGAGTCCGGAGCGAGCAGTTGCTATAGACAGTCACGCCTAATCCCATAAACCCTAACACCCACAGTCAAACCCACGTCAGTCAATTTAACCAATAAGTTGAAGGTCTTCGCCTCGAACACGCAGTACAACCTCACCTGCATTGTGGCCGGATCGGTGCCGGACACGGAAATCAAATGGACGCAGAATAATCGGCCCTTCAAGCGTGGCCTGGTAAGCTCTGAATTCTGGGTTCTGGGTTCTGGAGTCCTAACTCAATCTTGGCCAGGCGAAAGCCCTATTTATGATTTTCCTTCGTTGGCCAGCGGGCGCTTTTCTAATCGATTTCCCTCCATTTCTATCCTCCTTACTCCCCCTCAGCTGTCAACGAGCCAGGGGAATGGCAGAGTCATATCCACACTGACGTTCTATCCCCAGCCGGAGGACGACGGCACGATGCTCAAGTGCGAGGGCTCCAACCCACGACTCCAGAACTCCGCCATCGAGGACTCGCTCATGATGAATGTCATCTGTAAGTGGAACACTTTGTGGTCGGTGTGGTCAGTCGCACACTCGAAGAAATGGAATTGCCCTGGGAAGTGGATTGCTTTTAGCAAGCAGTTCCTATAAATTCAGATATTGATAGTTTGCCTTGGAAAGTACCTTTTTAAACTGAGAGTCTACTTCATTGTTTTAATTGAAGGTGTACTTGCTGGAAAAATTATTTGTAATATATATTCGATATAAATATAGCCACATTCCTTTATTTTTTTGTAATTAACTGAAACATTCTTATACTTGTACTTTAATTACCGTGAAGAATTATTAATTTTACATTTATCAAACAAATATTGCAGTTATCAATGACCCATTTAAAAATATATAATATTTTAGTTTTTTTAAGGAATACCTTAGAGACAGATTACAAAACTAAATGTTATAATTTTTTAAGTATAGAAAAGCACTTAAATGTATACAATACACCAATAGTTAGCGCTGTTGTTGTGATATGTTCATTACGTATACGCTCCGTAAAGCGATTAGAACATTCATAAATGCAGCCAGCGCACAAATCAAAGTCGCCAGTGCAAATAAGTCTAAATTATATGGCATTATTTGCATACATATATAAGCGTTCAACACTCGCTCCTTCCATTGGCATTTTGCCGGAATGAAGCCGTTCGCTTATGTGTCAATATTTATTCCGTTGACTTTTAGCGCGGTCATAAAAAAGCTGGCGAAAAATTGTTGTCTGTTTTGCTTCGTTCCGCATATTTGCTCCATTGCCAGCGAAGTGTCATAAATTTTACTTTATATGATTATCAATTTAAAATCAACAGCAAACGCGACCTTCGAAGGGCAGCCAAATGGTTTAAGTTCGGCCCACACTAAAGGTTTTCTGTTGGTTAGTTCCTCTGTGTTGTCACTTTGTTTGTCGCGGGATTTTGCTTCGGATAATCATAAATTTATTGAATTTTAAAGGCACGCATAGATCCCCAGCTATGTATGCGAAATTCGCCATAAATATTGAATGGCAGTGCGCGTGAGCTTCCCGCTGAAAGTTGGAGAAAGTTTTCCCTGCCCTTTGACCTCGCCCGAGAAAAATACAAAATTAGAAGCCCAGAGGGGAAGAGGCTCCTTTAAAGGATTAGCGGCGCTAGCTTAAGCTTTTAATAGACCCGCTCCTTCGATCGGAAATCGGAGTGGGGCAAATGGAAGACCCTGATTCGCATTTCCCCTGAAAGCGGGATATAGTACCACCTGGAATCGACTGTTTTACAGTTTGCTAACCCAGTCTGGCTAACCCTTCGCAGACATTTTCCTCAGCCATAACAGTTACAATTTGTTGCTTTCCCTTTTCGCGAGGGTTGCATCACCACCACCTTCTTCTTCTTCTTCTTTATCATCGGTGGCAATCATGATGTTGTAAAAATGGCAAAGGGATGGAAAAACACTAAATATTTTATATGATCCATCATTGATATTGGGGCGCTGCTCGCGGCAGCGGAACGATTTTAATTTAAAAATTTCTGTCGCACTCATTGGTTAGCCTGTTCGGATCCGGTTTCGGATCGAAGTTGCTGGCGTTGGGTGGTTTATAACGCGGTTCCGTCGCTGCGTTGTTAACTTTTATGGGCTGCGCTGCGACGTTGTAGATTGATGACAACAACGACGCGCCGCGCATTTCGCCGTTTTATTATGCAATAATATTTTTTGATTTTTATTTTATATGAGCCTCCTTGCAGCAGGGCAATTTGGGTATAAAAAGTGAGCGGGGCGCCCAGCAAAATTTCCATATTAGCGCGGGCAATTAAAGTGGGAGCCCAACTATTAACAAGTCGCGGTTCTGTTTCGGTTTTCCAGATCCGCCACAGGTCACCTTGTCGCTGGGCTCCACCCTGCGTCCGGATGACATTAAAGAGGGCGACGACGTCTACTTCGAGTGCCACATCAAGTCCAATCCCAAGGAGCACCGCATCATGTGGTCGCATGACGTGAGTACTGGCCAAAATTGTAATTTTTAACTGGCACTAATAAACATCGCTCTACAGGGCCAGCCGGTTACCCAAAACGTGTCTTGGGGCATCATCATCTCCACCCGATCCCTGGTCCTCCAGCGAGTGGGTCGTGTCCACTCGGGATTCTATGCCTGCTCGGCGGCCAACGACCGCGGGGAAACCCAGTCAGCTCCGGTCAACCTGAGGATAAGATGTAAGTAATTCAGCTCAGTGGATATGTAAAGGGATACGCTATTCCTTAGTTCCCAAGAAAATTGCTAAAATTCTTATAATGTCCCTAAGAAACAGTAGTGGCCATAATATTACTATTGCAATTATAAGGGATACATGAAAGCAACTTTTTTAAAACTTTTTACAATTAATTCCAGATAAGATTCATATGAAGCAAACCATATATCTGAAAAGAAGATTTCAATTTATTTTTTTTTGTTTTGTATTCTCATTAAAATGGAATCAAGTCCTTAACAACTTTATTTACAAATGTTAATCTTTCGAAAGTAAGCTTAAAATCATCTGCTTAGTGTAACAACAAAAAAAGAAATGGTTTATATCTGGCGATCGGTGGTAAATCGAAAACTGTACCTACACAAAAACCCACTCCGTAATATTCAACAGAAAAAAGGACGAAAATTTGCACAAAAATTATGCTGACAGTTGATGTCAGTGGAGCGGAGCATTAAAAATACATATGCATAAATTTATGCGCAAATAGACACACACCGAGAGAAACGGGGGGCGATGCGGGCGCATCTGCACATTTATTTCATTCCGTTCGACAATGATAACTGTAGAGGGAAGGGAAATGGGGAAAATATGGGGAAACGGGGCACGCCCACATAGAAAATTGGCAGCCACAATAACAACAGCAGCGGCTGTGCACTTGACAAAATCGCAAAATATCCCTTCCCCGAATCCTTTTGCTCCTCCCCCTCCGCCCATCGAATGCACAGGATGGCCAACAACAATGTCCAAAAACTAAAGTATGCTAAAATGACAGAAAATATTTTGTGCAAAAAGCCGTAATATTCACAATGCAACGGATCTATATTGTGCCACTCCTCTGTCATCCGTTCACATTGCCCGATTCCATGTATAATATATTCCATATGTATATACGATATATATAAAATATGTGTAAAGCTTTGTGCGTGAGTGCATTTTGAGTTTGTGTTTTATCAAACAGGCGACAGAACTTCACAAATTTTTACTTGCCAAAACCCAAATAGCCAGGCCCGCTGGCAGACATTTTAATTCAAATTCGAAATTGAATCGGAAAAGAGTCACAATTAAGCGTTTATATGGTTGATACTCTATACTTTCTCAAATTGGATTTTTGAGAGAGCCCAAGTTCGTTATTTATTAAATAAATACTTTATAACCATAAAGGATTCTTGAGTTAATTTATTTACGAAGCATTGTTTTTGGTTTTAAGTGTGTGCCTTCGGAGCCACATGTTTATTTAGTAACAACAATTTAAATTATTTTAAATTGAGTCGACTCCCCAGCATGCCAGTATTTATTTTTATTGTTGTCAACAATGATTTTTTGTAAATGTTGCTTTAACTTATAGAACTGCTTTTGATATTTTTATATTTCTAATTACATTTCTGAACTCTACTGACTTTAGTTGAGGCACTCGAGGGCACTTTAAGTTTTCTAAACCACTCCTCTATATTTGTTTACACAATGTAATATAACTCTGGTTATATAGGTTATTGTGAAAATTTAAAACTGTGTGGCTTCCTTGAACTGGCTTGTTAAATCATTTAAGCAGAAATTCTTCCGATAGTAAAACATTACTTAATTGCAAGTGTGCTGGAATTCCCTACACCTGCACCTGTTACAGTTCACACGGCTCTAGCCCACTTAATTGACACTTTTGTGGAATCCCCAACCATTTTAATGGACGACAATTACCCTTGGAGTCAACCAGCCTGCTCGTCGATGGCAAAACTCGGACCGCAAGTGTAAATTGAAACCAAACAAGTGATAACTCAATTGATTTCTAATTGTCACTGCTCTGATTGGACCTAGACTTCGGTTATTCCCACAGCTCCGCTTTGGCCGGGGAGTGCTGGCCAAGTGCCCGTAGAATGGGCTTTTTCACACATTCGGGCCCAAAAGTGTATGTAATTATAATTTGTGGACTGCACAACACAAAAATAAATGACCGATAAACGCCGCTCGGAGCCTTTGTGTGTGCATATTGAAAATGTCTCAATTACCGCTACAGAGCATTTACTTCCGACTGTATTTCTAAATAATTAATGATGCTTAAATACCAAACAGTTGGCCAACAGTGGGGAGGAAAATGGGGCTCTATTTGTGTTTATGTTTGTGTTTGGCTGTGCATAAATATGCATATGCTTTCATAAAGTAACCGTCCGGCATTTCCACGGGGGCCAAAAGTTTAGTCCCCCCCTCCCGAGCTCAACGTGTCAACTGGGGGCGGCCACTGGCTGGGTAATAAAAATGAATGATCTGCTTTTATTATCGAAACCCAGAGTCATTATTAAACCATTTATAATTATGGAAAAGGTCGGGCCAACGGGCACCGGACAGCTGGGTCATGTGAATGCACACACGTTCAGCAGGTGCGCCGGGGGAAAATTCAATTTCAATTTTTATTTTGCATATTTAACGCAACAAAAAACCGCTGCAGTTCCACATGCAAACACGGCTGGCAGGTTAACGAATATTATTTAATTAATTGCCCGGTTAAATGAATATTTTGATGCCATTTAAGCCTGAATTTGCATGGTTAGTTTATTAAACTAAAAAAAAATGTAAAATTCTCCGATTTGTCCGCCTCGCAGCACAGATTCCGAACATAATTGGTTGCGATTTCAGAATTATTTATATTTAAAAAATAATAATTGTTGAAAGTATTTCTGTAGAGGTTGCCCTTGGGCTTGCTATTCGTGCTCGCAAATAAAAACAAGAAATAAAGAATTCCACACAAAAACTAAATTTATGAGGAGTTTTTTGTTCTGAACGCTTTTTGTAGTGCTCCTATTAAAATGCCAGACAAGCAAATAAAATATAGAATTTGAATACTGAGGATGGATAACCATCCCATGGAACTAGTTAGGCAGCAAATGCTGATTGTCGCTTACGGAATATTATTTAATTAATTTACCAGGAAAGCGAGTGAAGCGGTGATGCCGTTTGCAGACGGAATTATGAAGCCAGAAAAACATGTAATTATCCCCGATTTGAGCGCCTCGCTGCACGGCTGCCAAATTGAATTGGTTGGGATTCCGACCTCCAAACTCAAATAAGTAGCTACAACTGGTTGGCCACGAGCGAAAACAAGATTTACGCAGCATCAGCACGGGGATATGAAATCGAAATGAAAATGAACGAGAAACAACAGGCAACAAAGGCGAAAAAAGGAAATGTGGTCGGATTGAAAAACGAAGACATCAGCAAACGTTTGCACTGCCTTGCCATTATCGTTACCGCCGCCGAATACCCAATACTCCAATAGCGAATACCCGAATACCCAATGCCCATGCCCGTTACCCTTTTTGATAATTACGATAATTGAAAGTAAATACGAGTACAATGCATAAGGATACACCGCCGCGGACTGCTGTGCAAATAGTACGTGGGCTATTTACACGAGCATCGCGCATACGCCACGTAAACATTTACATACAGTTGGGCGGGTGGATTGATGGTTGATTGGATCCGAAATGGGTTCTGATGGGATGGATGCGAGCCTTTATCGGTGGGTTGGGGGTGAGGGAAATTGAGGATGGGGGCTGGGGTGCTTTATTGTGGGACTGCGATTGAGATAAATTGATTTATGGCTGCCAGCAGTTGGCTCATATCTTGGCAGAAATTAATCAGCAGAGGTTAAAATTGACATTCCGCGATTGCGAAATTGACGCCGTCATAAAAATATTATGAGTGTGTGAAAGCGGACGAGCGGTTCATGGCTCCATAAAACGGGGCAATCCGCTGCAGCTTTATCCCGCTAGATACTTATAATAATCCGAGATGCGTTCTTAAGCCGCACGTCCATGAATCCCAGCAATTTGCATTGCGAGAAAGGCGAGGTTATAATTTTCACAAAAGTCAGTACAACACTGTCTTGCCAACAATGCCGTGGCTTTCCTTCCCAGCTAATTGGTTAGTAACCTTGCGGAGTTCTCGGCTGAGTTTCCCAGCAAATTGCACCTTGTGCCCCAGGGAATTGGGCCTGCCACTAACTCAGCATTGTCCAAGTGCCAGAGAAAGTGCCAGATGAAACCGAAATGAGAAAAGGTTCCAAATTGCAGGCCTTTAAGGTCAGCCTTGAGATTAAAATATTTCAGTGCCGTGTAATAAAGTTTTGCTCAACAAAAGTGTTTAGTACTGGAAATAAAAACTATAACCTGTAATCTGTTTTAAATAAGCCCATATAAATATAAACATTTGTGTATTTTAACCTAAAATATCTATTAAAATTGAACAGTTCTGGGCTGCACAACGCAATTAGTGAAATAAGTTGTTAACGCTTCAACAACCCTTTCTACTTAAGTCATTCAACCTTACAAGATTAATACATAGTTTATGCATCCCTCTCCCTCCGTGTTCAAATATTTGTATACAAACTCATTACACGATTTTCTGCTTACGTCGCGGTGACACACTCAAACTTTTCGAATAATTTTTAATAAAAACCAACAAAAAGTGTTGCGGCTTTGGTAATAAATGCCTTCAGGTGCTTAGAGTGTGGCGTGTGTTGTCTGCCGCGTTGTTTGGTTGTTGTCTGATGTTGCTTTGTCTCCTCCGTGTTGTTGTTGTTGTTGTTGTTGGGTTGTTGGGTTGTTGGCTGTCGGGTTGTTTATGACAGAATTCCGTTGCCACAGGGCAAACGAGGAACAGAATGCCACGCACATCGCACACTTGGCGCAGTTTTGAAAAGTTGTTTGCTAGCAAAACTTTTTCCCTGCGTGGGAATTTCGGGGAGGTGAGGCTAAATTTCTGGCATGCCTCGTGTATGACATAAAATTTCAAGTTCAATCGTTTGTAACCAAAAACGCAAAATGAGTTTACTTTGAATAAATCACGAGTCAAGTGAGAGGAGTCCACCCTTTAAGCTATTACGAAACTTTTTCGCGCCGACAAGATGGAAGTAAAATGAAGTTTTCTGGAATTCTAAGCTTAAAGCATTTTACATTGCTTAAACTTTAAGCAACTGTTTAGTTTTAAGTTACATTTCATTTCATTTGAAATGCATTCTAAGAATTTAATTTAATGTACAAGTCTTGAATATTTTCCTCATACCTGAGCAAAAAATGTGCCAGCTGCTTTGTTCAAATTGAAAATCTGAGCTGTCAATTTGCCAGGCACATTCCCCCGTTTCTTGGGCCTGTCAGCACAATGTTTGCAATATAAATACTTGATTTGGACAGAGGACAATCGGACCACTGCAGCTGCTCATTATTTTGCATTTCGCTCCATCTCGTGCCATCCCGCTCCAAATTCGATCTCTCAATTCCAATCGTGTCGCCAACAGATGCGCCCGTCTGCAGCAGCAGCTCCATCACGGTGATTGGAGCCTCCTTGGAGGAGGCCGTGCCCATCCCCTGCCGCGTCAACTCGGACCCCCCGAAATCGACTTCGAGTGGACCTTCTCCACCAGCGGCGAGCACTTCGAGGTGCCCTCCGGCCACTACGCCACCATCCAGGACCCCACTATGACCACCACCAGCGACGTGAGGCGCACCGTCGTCGAGTCCAACGAGACGCACTTCGAGAGCTACGGTACGTATACACTGTGCGGAATCTGTTGAATTTAATGAAGTAAGTTTTAATTTGGGAACCAATCAATCGCAATTTAAATTGCTTCCTTTAAACAGTTTGTTGTTAATAGCAAAACAATAAACCTAATAATTATGAATAAATAAGTTTGCGTAGGTAGATTTAGGTATTTCATTGTTTAACTGATGAGGAAAAAATAAATCTAATTAAATATTTATAGGCTTTTATTTTCTCATAATCCACTTAATGAAGGAAAAAAACAATTTAACTAAAAATTAATAAATAAAAGAATTTGCGTTTGCACTTTGAAATTCATGAGCAAAATTTATTTGCAAAACTAAAAACATTGTTAAAAGATTGTTAAAATTATATAATAATTTAACAATATAAATAAAAAAGGTTTGCAAAGTAGATAAGAAATGGGAAGTTACAAGAAATTAGAACAGTAAAAACAAAATACTGCAGAATGTAAGTAACATGAAAGAATTCCACAAACAATTCCAAGAAAAGTATCAGTTACATGAAATCATTTTATTTTAGCAATGCAGTAAGTAGTTTAACCAAGAAAGGGAACTCACTTGGAACTCCAATGTGACAATTGCTGCTTTGTTAATTTCCAGTGTATTGCTTTTATCCCTTTTCGAGTTTAAAGCCCAGGGTGCAAGTTCATTGCGGAGGCATTTGCATGTGCTTGCGCTTGAGCAGGCATTAGAAATTAACATTTGGCAGGGGCCTAAGTTCGGCCAGAGGTGGCAGACACCTGTACAACCGAACAATGGAGGTGGAGCGGTGGCGGGGGCGGTACTTTTATCAATATCATGCACATACTCGCACCGCACAGTCGCAAATTGGATTATCTAATGCCGTCCCAGTTGGCTTGACTGAGCTGCTTGGGCAAGCAGAACTTATTTCATTTAACTTTGCCGAAAAGAGCGATTCAATAACCAGGATTGTAATTCTCACCTGTACTCTGCTCTCTATTTGTCTGCAGTGGAAACCATCAGCGAACTGATCTACACTCCCAAAGGCGAACGGGACTACGGAACGTTAGCTTGTTATGGCCGGAATGCCATTGGGAAACAGTCGGATCCGTGTGTGTTTCAGGTGGTGCCAGCAGGTGAGTTCTACTTTCACTTACTGGAGATCTTTATACCAGATCAGAAAATCTTCCTTTGTTAAGGAAACAATTATTTCCAACATTTATAAGTTATAAACTAATATCTGGTGGATGCAAAGTATTTTCTTGTTTACAATGACATGACTCCACGTCAAGTGTAATTTCATAAAACACTACATTGTCACTTATTAACGAAATCAATTCATCGCATGCTGAAGGTCTTGTATTTCCAAGATTTATTTTCTGCCACACAATACTTTCGCCTTGAATGTTGTTTGCCACTGATTGGTTTCCCTTTTCCTTTCCCGATCCTCAATCCACAGCCAAGCCGGGGGCACTGCGAAACTGTACACTGCGGCCGTATGTGGTGACCTCCGCCTCGCTGAACTCATCGAATCAGACGACAATGCACGCCAATCAAATGCTGCCCACACAATACGGCAGACACGAGTCGAATTACCCGCACATGGAGTACGTACGTGAGCGCCATAACGCCACTGCCAGTGCCACTGGCACTGCCACTGCTTCTGGCCACAATGCCACTGGCCGGAACAATGCGGCCAATAAAAGTGCGAGGGCCAAGGCGGCGGGCCAGGCTAGTCAGGCTGGCCAGGCCAAATCTAATAATAAGCAGCTCAGTCAGCAGCAGTTGCAGCGCCTCAAGAAGCGGACATCATTCACGCCCTCGCAGACATTGGCGGCCATCGAGAAGCAGCGCCAGCGGAAGCAGCAACATCAGCAGCAGCACCAACAGCAACAGCAGCAGCAGCAACATCAGCAGTCGCAGCAGCAGCAGCAGCAGCAACAGAAAGCCACTGCTGGGAAGTCCGGTGGCGATAGCAAACCTGATGGATCGCCGGCCAAGTCGCAGAAGCAGCGGATGCGGCGAGCCAGCCAAATCCCGCAGGAACAGGAGCAGGAGCAACATCAGCTGGGTGCAGGCAGCCAGCTTGCAGCATCAATAACCAAGCGGCGGCAGAGGGGGTCGGAATCAGATTTATCAATGTCACATGTAGGCAAAGGCAGCAAGAGCGGCAGGAGCAGCAAAAGCAGTAAAATCAGCAAAAGCAAAAGCAGCAACATCAACATCCAGGGAAGCAGTAACAATGGCAAACTGCCAGCAAAGTATTTTAATAAGCGACAGAAAAACATGCAGAGAACGAGGAAGCAACAGCAACAGCAACAGCAGCAACAGAAGGGAACAAACGAGCACAACAGCGATATAATCCATCATTATGCAACTTCGAGGAGAAGAAAGCGGCTGGCGGCAAATGACATCTTGGCAACTGCGGCGGCGGCAGCCACATCGGCATCATTATCGTCCTCCTCGGCCACCTCGTTGGCATCCACGGCCACGGCGGCGGTGGAAATCGAGCAGGATGATGTTGTTGCTGCTGCTGCTCCTCCTCCATCCAGCAACACCAACAGCAACAACAGCAACCAGAAGCGAGCTCGCAAATCCTTAGCCATCCTTGACAAACAACAGAAGCAGCAGAAACAGAAGCAGCAGCAACAGTTGCTGCCACCAAATGCGCCGCAAATAAGCAACCAGCCGGCAGCAGCAGCAGCAGCAATTAGCGGCAACAATGTCAAGGAAACAGCGGCAACATCGGCACAAGTTGCAGCTGCAGCTGCCGCGGGAGTCAAGGACAAGGCGTCGCCCAAGGAGGACTCCCACGATGACGAAGCTGATGCTGACGACGACGAAGAGGAGGACGAAGACGATGATGATGATGGCGATGGCGATGGTGATGGCGACGGCGATGATGATGGGGCAGAGATGGATGGCGCAACGGGCACTAATGACGAGGAGGAGGAAACAGAGGCAGTGGCACACGATGACGATGCAGACCTGGATGAAGACGTCGCCCAGCTGGCCACCGATGCCGACTACTTGGCCGACGGTCCTGCAGGCGACCTGGAGGATTACGAGACGGTGGAGGAGGTGGACGGCCAGTCGAAGCACGAGCACATACTCTCCTTGGAGGAGCAGCTGGACCTCGAGTCGCTGGAGGACAACGTGGAGGAGGAGGACGACGGCGAGGTGGATGACATGTACAACGTGAGCGATGACGACTTCGTGGCCAGCGTGGGCCTCTCCACCGCCGACACCACGATCCCAGTTGCTCCGAGGACCACAGAAGCTCCTGCCACCAGGGAGGCGGTCAGCCAGACCACGGAGTCCGCCGCCGAGTGGCAGTTGCCCCACTTTGACTACTCCCGCATGGAGTACAGCTTCAGCAACGGAGTCGTTACCCAGAGCCTTCTCGGTGGTTCGGGGGCGGGGGGCGTGGCCGGGGGAGGACATGATGGCTTCGCAGGCGGCGGCACCATCAACTTTGACAACTACGACAACATCATCTACTCCACGATGGAGCTGGAGTGCATGCCGGGATACGACGGCGGCCTGCAGCAGCAGTTCTTCTTGGAGGCCTACGACTCCAAGACCAAGAAGCTCCGGCTCAACATGAGCAGCACCTACGTGGATGTGCCCGTCTTTCGGATCGATCTGTCAGGTGAGCGGAATACTTTACTATATAATACTTGTCTGTATTTCTAAGGTTTACTTTTAAGCAATTGTAAGCAAGGTAATGGGTCACAATCAACTAAGAATTGAATTATTTTATTGAATTATTTTATTATTATTATTAGAATTAATTTAAAGCCCCACAACACCTTAAACACTCAGTACTGATTACCCCACCTTACTTACTGCGCGATAAGGAAAATTCAAAAATAGTTAATAATTTGCTAAACTAGAGATATTTTAATCAAGAACTAACTTTTGTTATTAATTAATGCCATAGCTTAGTACCCCTAAGTTTAACTTTATATTAAAAATTCCTAACTACATACTTGGTTAATAATGTGCATTCCACTTCATCTAGAGATATTTTAATCAAGAACTAACTTTTGTTATTAATTAATGCCATAGCTTAGTACCCCTAAGTTTAACTTTATAAAAACAATTCCTAACTACATACTTGGTTAATAATGTGCATTCCACTTCCCTCAACATTGGTTTATTAGTTTTTATGTTCCCAACGGTTCAAGTGAAGTATTGCAGTATTGAATTGTGTCCAACTTTACGGCAAATGCTCGTTTCACAGCTATAAAAGTTTTAAACATTGCAAAACAAATTAGTTTTTGTTGTTCTATCTCTCTAAATGTTATTACATCCAAGTCCAACTTGTGTCCGTTTAATGTTTGTTTGTTCCATTTATTTCAACGCAATGCAACTTTTAAACTTTTTTTTGTGGCCACCCAAGGAAAGTCTTGAAGAACATTACTCGCTTAAATAGTCCGTTAAACGGGCAACTCAATCGCCTGGACTTTAATGGATCCGGGGAAATCCAATATTTCCGCAGATTCTCGCAGGCCCAGAGCAATGTTTTATTACACGATGCTTATGTATTATTATATTTAAATGAGGTTGGCTCAGGAATCACGGGGCCCAGGGTGTTGGTGGTACAATATTTACAGAGCTGGGCGAAAGCCGCAAACTAAAGACTTGACTTTTATGCGGCCAGCAGCAACAAGGAGCGCCAGCAACAAAAACAACGCCAGCGAGCAGTAAAAACAAAAACAAATCAAAGTAACAAACTGAGCAAAAAGTTGAGCTGGCGAAATTGCGCGTTGGCTTCAAGACAAGGAGAAAATCCTGCGGCTGGGAAGAGGAATAGCTGCAGTGAGAGAAAATGTTTAAAGTATTGGATATAAATTTGCATACCCGCTTTACTATACAAATATTAATAGTTCCATTAATATGCAATCCTCTTAGCAAAGTATTTATTTTCCTGAGATCGATTTTAATTTGGGACTTTAATTTACTTTTTTACTTACCTTTTTACTTTACTTTACTTTACTTTTTTTACTTCGTTCAAGTAAATATTTTGAAACAATACAAATGCAAAATTAAACTGGGTTTTAGTCAGCTAAATACCACTTGATATTCATAACAGCTCCAAGCAGTTATTTATTATATATCCCATGAATCAGATAAAGTTTGAACACTATTTGTAATTACCAGATATATGTTTTTCAAGCATTATGCAGTACCATATAAATTTCACACATCTCACAGATACTTTTCGCTGTGCAGCTAGCCAGGCAGCACCACGCAGATTAATTAGTTGAGGCTGCCAGGACCTCAACCTCCCCCACCTCCTGGCTCCTCCTTGCTCCTCAACCATTGCTGGCACATGCTGTTGCCTGTTTTGTTGTAATGAATTTTAGCTAGTCAGCAAAACTTTTATGCCAATGGCGTTTTGAGGTGGGGAATTGGATGAAATAGAATGCTGCTGGCGGTGGAGAGGGATTGGGGGGATGACTGGGGGGCGTGGTTGGCCCTAAAGCAGAAGAGAACTCGAATCGAGCTGTTGAAAAAGCAAGATTTATCATGGGGGTTAACGGAGAACCGAAAATTATAATATTACATTTGATTCTGCGGGTATGAGGCGAGTTAATGAGCCACATTTCGGATTATTAAAGTTGGCAACTTGGCAACGGGAGAAGCCCGCCGACCTGATCCTGGCTTCCAGTTCCCAGTTCCCTTGCTTGGTGCCCCATGCCCTCGTGCCTCATGCTGCAGTGGCATCTTTTTCAGCCAGCTCTCCGCCGTATCGATGACTCGGGGTTAAGGGGTTTCGGCGATATTTGCAAAGTCAAACGAAGCGTAAAGTCACGATTAGTTAGACAGGCGTGTTAACGACGCTGCTGGGCGATTGGCGGGGGGGTAAATCGGGTATTTTCCGAGGGGGAGGGAGAGTTGGTTTTACCACCAAGTGTTTTTGTTTCTGCGGCCTGCCAATGTATGCGTATTAGCCCCGCCAGAAGCCGCCCTCGTGCAGTAGTTGCCATTTTAATGAGCTGCTATCGGTGCAAGGAGAGCATGGGCACAAACAAAACTTTTGATGCGCGCATTAAGAAAAACCAGAAAAACGGAAAAACAGAAAAACAGAAAGCCAGAATGGCAGAATGGCAGAAAAGCGGGGGGAATCGGAAAACAGAACGGCTGGGCCAGAGGAAAAACACACGCAGCCGGGAACTTTTCATTTTATGCGACCGAAGTTTCGCACCGCGACGTGCTAATTAAATGCCTGTTTGCCTAATGAAGTTTCCGCGGAGCACTACAAGTTTTAAATTAACGATCAAAGATGACCTGGCCATCCTGCAATAACGCGGAAATGCGACTTCTGAAATTCTCTTAGTTCAAATGATAACTTTTCTGAGGTGCAGTCAATTGTGTATGTATTTATGCAAAATACATACGAAATAAATGTGTTCTTAATTATCTTGTGTTGATTTTAGAATTTGGTTAGACTTATTTAAAGAGTAGAATACTTCAATTTCTGTTAAAGCTAAAAAAAGGAAACTTATCAAAAGTGCATATATAAACAAGAATGTCATTACAATCATTTCATTTATTAAAATTAATGTTAAGCATTAAACGAAGTATTATTTAGGACTTAAAAATAAGAAAATGTACATAAGCTAGATACTATATTTACTATTCTATATTTTAAAATCGGAACAATATACAGCGAACTTTAGGAAACCTTTTCATGTTTATTCTCTCGCGTTTTTTCATGGTTTGCGGTACCAACTTTTTTGTCTTCCTAAGATTGTAATCACGTAATCCTGCAGAGAATCATCGGACTAATTAAATACTCTCCTCCGCCCCTCCGCAGATCTGATGCCCATGGACTACTATCCCGATGCCCATCCTGCCCTCCACTTGGTCGTCTACAGCGTCAATCAGAAAGGACGCTCCGAGCCGATTGTCCTCGAGAATGTGCCCATCAATGAGGCGGACAAGCGTTCAGGTAGGTGTACAAAAAAAAAATGGAGGGGAAAACTACTGCGAAGTTTTTCTAGGTGGGATTGGGGAGGGGCAAGAGGGGCTTGGGGGAAGTTTCCCTAGACCCGGACAGAGCATTCATTGCTTTTTAAGCACCATTTCACCTTTAAAAAGTCATTGAAGTATTTGCATATTCCGCTTAACCGTTTTAGTTTCTTTCTTTCATTCGGTCCTTTGTTGTGGTTGTTGTTGCTGCCGCTGTTAGTACAATTGCTCTTTTATTTAACGAGTTTTGTTTACGCCGGGGCGACACTGCAACTCCACCTTGCAACACCCTCGTCTCCTCTCACCCCTAAGAGCTCATCCCGCCCTTATTTTACATCCCTGGCCGACCGAAGAAGTGACACAAAGATTTCTTATTCATGCTTTGTTATTCAACTCTGACGCTAATTTTCTTTAAAAGTTTTTCCGTTCTGCGACAATCGAGGTAAAAAGTGTGAAAGTGCTTGTTTTTCGAGGGCGTGTAAGCGGATATAAAAAATGGAGAGGCAGATGCCTGGAAAATTGTATGAAAAGCCTGCACGAGCGGGTTCTTTTTTTGGGAGCCCAAAAGGGGTTACAATCACAAAAGGCTTTTGGGAACTTAATTTTGTGAGTGAAAAGCGTTTAGCATATTTAAATGTACTGTTGTACTAATATACATAAAGAAACCTTTCGTTTAAAAAAAAGTTATTAATTTACATCGATGATTAGAAACATGCAAGTTGTTAGGCAACAAAAGCCCAAAGTAGCATTTTCTTTATTTTTAAGCTTATTTAATTAGCATTTGTAGGTTTTTCTTCTAAGTTTAGGAATATACAATCATGGTATATTAACACAAAATTAAAATACAATTACTTTGAAAGTCGCAATACAAATCTGATTTCAAAAACACTACAAAAATACTCTAAGAAACTTTTATATATTAATATATAGGTATTATTAACTGACTCAGTTATTAAAACCGATATTACCACAAACAGTGACAAGTTTCAAACGTTCAACTGGCAAGTTGACTTGTTCAAGATTCGCAAACTGACAAAATACGTCGGGCATTGCAAAGTGCAAACAGTTCATCCTAACAACCACTTAAATAATTTGCATTATTCTACGATAAATCCCTTAATTAGCCCAACACTTTTGCGAGACCGAAATCGATGCGTAAATAATACTGTATTCCCCATCGTTGGGCATCACCGATATTGCGATTAAATTGCATTTGTTGTCTCATATTCAATCAGCCGGCTGCCATCACGCCCAAATTATGCACAAGCATCCGAGTATTTATTGCATCAGCAATTCCGTAGGCCACTCCACCTGACCAGCATCGTTATTGAACGGAGCGATTTGTATTACTTATGGTATGTCTTACCAAGTCTGTCGGCCAATAATGTTTATCTGCACAATTGCATGTTTGAACGCTTGGCCAGCCTTTGGCCAAGGACGGCAAATCTGCACCCACTCAATCATCTCCCTAATATTCTCCTCCAAGGTGGCTCCTTCAGTTGGCCAATTCCCAGGGGGTGTGGCAAACTTATCCGGCGAATTATGCCACAAGTTGTGGGGGCGACTTAATTTTTGGGGCATGCAACGCCGGTACGTTCACCTTCGCCGAGTGTCAATATTTGCACCTTGGTAAATCCAAAAGCCCTTCTGCCAACAGCCGAAACAAAATTGGTTGTTGAGGGGAGCAAAGGGGAGTTGAGGGGGAGTGGATGAGCGGCAGAAGCATTTTACAATGGCAACACTTGATGCCACATTAATGTAAATATAATCAATTTCATGTTTTAGCCAAAAAAGCGATGGCAACGTAAAACCCCAACAGAGAAAAGAAATATCTTGTTATGCTAAACTGACACACAGAGATTCCCCAGGAGTTACATTATTCCGCCAGCACACAACCGCATGCACTGAGAGAAATGGCCTTTAATTCTTTTTCGAAACTGTTTTACTTTAGCAGTTGAACCATAAAATACGCACTCTGTACTGTTTTGAATTAAATCCAAGTAAATCGGAAAATATTTCGGAATACAATTTTTAATTCGTTTTTATTTAATTATTTTTGTTATTATTTTCATTTTTTAATTAGTTTTGTGGACTTTCTGAAATTAAACGTGGCTACATATAGAACCATTTTCTTATCACCGCTTAAAGTGATTTTCCTCAGTGCACACACATCCACAAGTACGAACACCCACACTGCGGTCGCCAGGTATCAAGGTATCAAAAGCAGCAGCGGAAACCGAACAGACACCGGAGCTATAGCTCCTGATACTCCTGATACTCGGGCCCAAAGCCCGGGCGCACAAAATATAAACGATTACTGTACGACAAGAAAAAATACATTAAACATGTCTTATCTGAATACAATATCCCAAAAGACAACGGTGCAGAAAGTGAAGTAAAATGAAATAAAATTATATGTTACGGCGAATCGAAGGGAGGGCAAGGGGGAGGGGATTGGGCGGCAGGGAAATGTGACCGCCATTGCAATAGATGACAGCCAGCTCCCAGCTCCCAGCTCCTCTCCTCCTTTCCTCCGCTTTTCCACTTTTCCACCTCTGTCTGCCTCGTTTCCTTGAAATGGAGCGCCAGACGCAGACAGCGTTTTCTTTATTTATGCTTACTTTGTGTAAAGGCATTGCTGTCTTAAAACCCACATGGGCACGCTGGCTTACACCGCAAAAAAAAAGCAGCCTTTCATATGCAAACAACAGTTTTTATAAGATGGGATGTTCCATGAATACAGTTTCTGCTTGGAATATATCATTGAATCTATAAAAAGTAGAAGATACTTTTTTAAGCATGCAACATATAATCCAATGCAAATCGCTCTTTCGGGATTTTAGCTCACCGTTTTTCCCAGTGCCCTCCGTATTCCCAATACATTTTAACCAATCCACTTTTTCATCATCTCATCGAATCATTTATATCTCAAACGGGAGCATTAAATCGAATTAAGCTTATGAGAAGAGGCAGCCGGAAGGAGGATAGCCAGCGAGGATAGCCTGCTCTGCCCTGCACTCATCCAAATGAAGCCCATGCAAACAATTGGCTTATGAGCGGCACGCAGGACTCCTCTGCTCCTCTGCTCCTCTGAAGCTCCTTCTCCTTTTCCCGCCGCTCTGGTGCTCAGATGCTCTGATACTCTGATACTCTGGTGTTCGGATGCTCTGATGTTCGGATGGTGGGGCACGGCTTCCGTGGACCGAAGCCACTGAGCCTTGGTTGCCACACGAGCTGAATGACTGGAACCCGGCGGTGGCTCCACTTCGGCCCTGGATGTCTGGCTTATCTGCTTAAGTCGGGGCAGGTGCATAGAGGTCGGCATCGGCGGTTGGCACTCCGTTCGAGGTGGTTTTATTGGTAAATATTTGCACAAGTGTGAAAATTTCATTACGCCAGGGTGCTTATATTTAAATTAAATTTCTTTTTCTTCTGGCATCTCGTCTTGTGTGCCATGTCGTCGCTCCTCGGTTTCCTTTTCAGTTTCAGTTTGTGTTTCTGTTTCAAGTGCCCTCTTCCTGACTGCCAAATATACATTTTATTTGGCAAGCGATTGCTCGATTCGGGTTTTTATTCCTTTATGCCCTTTGTGTTGGGTTCGCTGATGCGATTGGGGATTTGTGCCGGAGTGGATAATTCGAAAATGTTACTCACCCTCTCGCCCACTCGCATGCAGAAGTGCGCCGGTCTTAGTGCCAATTCTTCACATTCCATAATTGAGATAGTAAATTGCGTATCCGCCGTGTGGTGCGTTTGACTGTGTGTCAAACGGAACGTTGAATTAATAATGAATTATTCCCACCCCGACATGGCATTGAATAAAATGAATAAATTTGGCATTTAATTTAATTCACTCGCTCGCCAATCTGCGCATCGATTCATAAATCATAATTTGAACGCTACATGAGCACACCAAAATTAAATAACACTTTATTTATCTGCTCGGATAAGCGGTAAGAAATGAATGGTGAGATTGCCTTTTAAAGCGTATTTATGCAGCCGAACAAAATGTGTGCGATCCCAATTTGGAAATTAGTTAAACCCTCCGAAATCGGGACATGCAAATAACATTCATGATTGATGCCTTGTCCCAAATCAGGGTTTGGTTGCCGGGTGCAACTGCCAGGCATTGAGCCCGATCTAATTAAAAATATAAACAATAAACGCCAGCTCGTTAGTTGGCTGGTCTTAGTTTTCGGAGAAGCTTTAATCAAATGCAGTCAGCTATTTAACACCATTTGACCCATTTGCCTATAGAGTTAATCAATTAAATAATTCTTTCGTATGGAAAAAATAATACAATACAAATATTCAAATATAAATCAATAAAATACTTTAATTAATTAAATAATATTTGTGCATCAAAGAAAAATAGCATAGGTTTTGAAAAAAAGCAAATGCACGAGTATACTTTAATTATCTTGGAAAATAACAAGAAGAAAGATTTTAATTTAAACAAAATTGTTAAAAAAAAAAATGTATGTTACACATATGCGTTTTTAATCACAGATTTACTTTGATTATTGTATTTTCTTTGACTTAGCACTCTTAAAATTAAAGCGTTTTAGTGAAATATGAATACAATGACTCAAATTAAAAAACTATGACCTTGTTGATTGTTTTTAGTTAAGCCCTCATTTTTTTTCCATCATTGCTTGGGATTTCATCAAGAGAACAACCGACCAAAAATGCTTTTAGCTTGGTAAAACTCGATAAATAAACTACACAAATCGAAGCAGAAAAAACTTTTAACTTTCACATTTTGAACGCGGTGGATGGCCCAGCACACAGATACAAACACATACATTTGTGCTTTTTTAAAAGTCATGTGCCAGCAATTACAACCCACTACAAATTGGACATAAGCGATGGCTGATGGGTGTGTTTCGTGGGAGTTAGAGTATGTATTTTGTGCAGATGTGCGGATGTGCGGATGTGCGGATGTACGGATGTACGGATGTACGGATGTGTTCGCTTAGACGCAGCCATGCATAAATGAGCAATTTCGCCAGCGGCGCAGTTTCGTCAACATTTGGCACAGCGGCAGCAGCCAAAGAATATTTATTGATTTGCAACTTTGGCGTTTCGGCTGACAACAGGCCCAGGTTTATAAATTAGCAACAGTCTGCACCACCCAGCCATTACCTTCCCATTACGGAGCATTTTGGTAGCATGTCGTTTGGTTATTACAGTAACTACCGCATAAAACCAGACTTTCGCTGGGACTTATAACTTTAATGATACTCTCGTATAAAAATAAAAAATTAAAAAGACTTAATCCATCTTTAATAACGATACAATTTTTATTATATTTAAATGGAAATGGAAATACTTAATTCAGCCAAGGTTATTTTGAAAGTGAAACTTTAATGATTTTCCTTTTTATTTTTATTTACTGACTAAAGAAATTCATCGTACTATCGTCATTTGTTTGTTGTGTACCTGCGTTTGCTTTTTGCCTGTTCCGCTTATTTGATTTTCCCTGTATCTGCGATTCCTGGCTCGGTCTGCTCCGATATTTGCTTATTGAAATGCTGCGTTGCATATCCGCAGGCGCGCACGATTTGTTGAATGCGGAATGTACATAGTGTACAAAAGCGGGCGACGCGTCGCATCGCTCAGGTTGCGTATACGCAGTGTGTGCGCGGCCTTGTAATGCATATTCAATTACGATTTTCCCAAATCACCCGAAAATCCAGCAGCAAACGGATTTTAATTGAAATGCTTAGCGCTGACGCCAAAGCCATCGCAAATACAACAAACTAAGCTGCGACTGGCTGAAGCACCACTGCCTGTGGCAGCCACTTGACATGCGGCATGCGTTTTATGGACGCCAAATTGGGGGAGGGTGGGGGCGTGTAAGTATCGGCCGATATATGTATATGCTGCGTGAGCCGGCCGGATGCCTGCTTCCCGGCTGGAAAAGAGCTGGGCCAGCGTCAGTGAAGTGGCCAACGCCGCATCCAGTTTATTGGACCCTCGACGACCGATGGCTATTTATCGAATTCAGTCAAACAAAGAACTCGAATATTGCTTTCGTCATCAGAACGCAAGAACATAAACGCACGCTAACATGTTTTACAAACTCTGCTTTAACTGGGACACTCAAATCATATTACCTTTCACATTAAATTGATACAAGAACTTAAAAAAAAATAATAACAAGCACTTTAATAAACACTTAAGATTTTCATTACACTTAATGACAACACGCAAATATTTAGTTTGTAGTTGATATTGTCTTTTTAAACCACTTGAATGCATTTCTTGTTTCATCGCCTCGCTCTAGCTTGTCCACAAAAAAACTTAATTCCAATAAATGCTTTTAAAAGCGAAGGATAGGAGAAATTACAAAAATAAATCAATTTTTGCGTAGACCACAAACACGCCAATAAAAGTTCACACTCAGGTGTTTGAGTTCCTTTTTATGAATGTGTGGTTCAATACCAAATTAACTTAACCCAAAAGTATCATAGGCCTGGTGTTTTTTTTTTATTTACAATGGATTTTTTAAACATAAAAACATTCAAATTCAAATTTCTCAAAATTGATATACAACCTGAAATGAAAACTAAAGGCATTCATTTACCTAGTGAAACTACGTCATATTTTACTATATAAGCAAGCAATTAAAAGACAGTTCCTAAAGTTTTGATTAAAAAGACTAGATCGAATCAGCACTTGGTTTTGTTTATATAGCTTTTGATTTATGGATTTAAATTGTTCTGCACAAGCAATTTTTTTTTATTAGTTTTGCAAAAAGTATTTTATCTTCTGATTTCCGGCTTCGTAAACAATAAACCTGACTATATTTATGATATGGAATAAGCTGAGTGGTTTCTTGTGAGCTCAATTAAATGTCAATATTGCTATTTATGCGGTGTGAGACACCTGTACGGATACCTGTAACGTGAAAGATATGAAGACACATGCCCCGCTGCAATATCCTAATCGTTTTTCCATTTATTTCCGATCCTTTTCGCAGATGGTCGCATTGGCCTGTCGATTTTACCCCTGGCTGCCCTTTTGGCCGGCACTTTGTTCACGGTGGGCATAGCGGTCCTCTCCGTGGTGGTCATCGCCATCCGCAGACGTCGAGGCCAAGGAGCGCGGAACATGTGCGATGACAAGGACAAGCACCTGGGTGAGTCAATACAACCATGGATAGCAGACTAGATATGGATCCTTTCACCTGTGGTTTGGGGTTTTCTGAATTGCTCTTAAAACTAGATACAAAATAGTTGATTATGACAGGTTTCTGTCAGATTAAATGCAACTGGTAAAGTATCAAATTTACCATTCAATAACATAATGTTAAAACAAAATATTGCGTTTTTGTTCACATTTTCTCGCTTATACATTTTTAAACATTTCAAATTCACAAGTGCCGTATTAGTATAAATATGACACCTCATTGTACAAAAACAATAATTTCAAACAACCTATTCTTTTTATTTGAAGTATTTAGATTTAATAAAGCCCTGCGTAAATTTATCCATTTTAATTTGACTAGCACATCTAAAGGGTTAACTTATTTTTTTATAAAATATTTTACTAAAGACATCAAGCAATTACCTAGATTCTATTAGATTAGTTCATAAGGCGCGATGTGGCCTTAGGTTTGTTCAAAACGTAACTTCTCAAGGGTATTTGAACCAGGGTAACCCCATTTTCATCCAATGTGCTAATGTTCTCCTCCCGACAGGCATGGATGTGACGGTGACGGCGCCTCTGGAAACGGGAGCTGGCCACCAGCGGCTGGTGGTGGCCTACACCCTGAAGCAGGGGATCGAGAAGCAGCCGGACATATTGAGCGCCCAGAAGAGCGCAACAACTGGCGGTGACGCCTCGTCGCCGCTGGGAAATCGGCCGAGTGGTTTGTGCGGCGGTGCATCTGCCGCTCCCATGACCGGCAACTCCGGGAGCCACAAAACCGCGGATTATGTAAGTGCCCGTGGCCAGGAGGAGGCGTTGCCCTCCGAACGCGCCACTTATATAGCCGGTGGTGCGGGGACTTTTATTAATATTGGCAGGACTAAAGATACGAACTGCGAAAAACAATTGCTCGTTTAGCTAAGCCGAGCCAAATAATATCTAAACTATTCTGATCTTGTCTAGTTATTTACTTTATTTATTTAATTTACTTAACTTAGTGGTGTATTTACTAGTATTTACTGCAAAAAAAAATTAGACAAATAATAATCATTTCGTTTGACTTCGTCGACTTCATAAACTTCTCTAATTGTTGTTCTTGCTGCAGATAATCTTTTGACTCTTAAATTTTTGACTAGAATTTGTTTAATAAAGTTTTCTATGATTATGTCATATATTTTCTAAACAATTTTGTTGATAATTAAATCAACTTTATTCTTACCCATTTTTGCATTTAAATGTTTAATAAATTCCCTATGATTACCGGCTTTAACATTGTTCTCCCTTCATCTATATATCCTTCTAACGCAACTTTAATTGCAGGACGCGAATGCGCCGCACCTGAACAGCCCGCCGTCGCAGTCCAGCACCTTGAAGCTGGAGAACGACCCGGCGGCGGGAGGAGTGGGGGGCAGTGGCGCCACTGGCCGCGGTGGAACCGCGCCTCCGCTCCTCTACGACGCGATGCCCACGCTGAGTCGCTACGAGCAGCTGGGCCTGAGCATGGCCAGCTACTCAGCCGGAGGAGGAGGAGGAGGAGGAGGAGCGGGAACGGGGGGCAGCAGCAGCACCCTCAGCTCCGCCGGCAGCACGGTGAGCAACGCGATGGCCGCTAATGGGGCCGCGGGGGCAGGGTCGTATGCCGCCCACCTGCACCACACGCTGCCCCACAACATGGCTCCCCAGCGGGGCCACGATCCGCTCAACCTGGCCGACTACCTGACCACCAGCAGCCTCATAGACTATGGCCTCAATAAGCCGCCCGCTGTGCACATGACGCTACCCAAGGGAATGGGCCTGGGTCTCGGCATGGGCGTCGGCGTGGGAGTGGGCGTGGCTGGGGGCATGGGAATAGGTCCGGCGGCGGGAATGGGATCCGTGATGGCCGCCGGCACGAGCCTCTCGCCGTCGCAGCTCAACACCATCACGCACAAGTCGGCGGCAGGTCGCAACCACATCATCACCGACACTCTGCCAGGACCCGAGAGCTGCGTCTAAGCACTGGGCCTCCGAACTCACCCGGTCCTCCTGGCACCCAGGCATCGCGGCATCCTGGCATCCAACCAAAAGACTGGCGCACAGCAGTAGCCCAAAACCCACAGCCGAATCATAGAGGCAGCGAACTACTAACTAGTCATGTGAAGTTGCGGTCAAATTGTTGTGGAGAGGGGGTTTCGCAAACCGCTAAAACAATTTTTAAAGAGCAAATAAAGGATGGTTTTTCTTTTATAGGTTTTCTGATACTTACAATATTATTTACTTTAACGAGAGTGCATCATTTTGAAGGCTTACCGGTGGTTTCCGAAACTAAAAGCTTCTTGAAGTATTCAAAGCATTTTCTCTCTCTCGAAAACAAAAAAAAAATAGTCAATGAAATTATAACAACTATTAAAAAACTAATAAGATCATTTTAATTGCCTGTATGACTTTTCACAAAATATAAGCGATTTCGCAGAAGAGTTTTAACTTTGAGTCACTTAAAAAAGGACAAACTTCTTTTGCAATATTAAATATAGATCTTTTAAAAATATAGGATAAAGGTGATTGAATATTTTGAATAGGCAAAGCACGAATATGTTTTTTCTTTATGCTCAATGTTGTTGTTACCGAATTCTCTCCATCAATTTGTGATTTTCGAAACCAACCTGTTGCTTTCACCACCAATTTGGCCGCAACTGATAATGGAAACCCTGTTCGGCGAGGTCGCTTAGGAGTAATTACTAGATCTAGAGAGTAGCTAAAGTACGAAATGTATATGTAATGCGTGTGTCTGTGTCTCCGTTCGTTTGTAAATGTTTAAGCTAAGTGTAATCGTAGTCGTACTTGTATACTGTATACTTTTGACTGGTGTAGATCGGAGTCTGCTCCCAGCAGTGCGTTGAGGGGTGTTCCCCAAGGTGAAACTAATCTTCCAAGCCCCCAACTCAGCGAGATGCTGGGAGCAGAGTTCCCCCAAAAAGAAACTCGTTGTTGAATCCGTTTGTCCCGGCTAAAATAGGAGAACATATCCCCCAAAAAAACATATCCCCTCTGCCCGAGCCGAAAAAAAACCAAGCCGCAACTATTTGAACTGCCATCGCAGCCCGAGATCAAAGTCAGGCCGACCCGAAAAGGAAAAGTTATATTGGACACGTCTTGCGCCATTGCGTGCCCAGTGCCGGTCATTATTTAACTTTTAAACACGCGCCAAAAGCAGCAGCAGATTTGAATTTAATGGGCAGCCAGCCCAGCAGCCCAACCCAATCCGCTCCCCATTCTGCCCACTTCCCACTGCCATTAGCAGGGGAGGCGGCCAACAAGTGAGCAATAAAGAAAAGTTTAGAAAAATATGCGACGCAGTCCGCAATCCACAATCCTCCATCCTCCATTCGCCATTCCCCGTCACAATCCAAATCCCCATCCCCGATAATAAGCTCACGGGCGATTGAATGGGTATAGAGCACAATAAGCGCGAGGAGAACTGGAGAACTGGGCACGGATTTGTGCGCACGATAGCGCAAAACGATGACAATAAATGGAAAAGTTTTTAATAAGCTAATAAAATGATTTATGCGGGTCGGCCCGAACCGGGATAAAAGGCGTATAGCACATAGCACACAGCCAATCCAGCCAATCCAGCCAATGGCCATTTGATGAGCCCGATTTCGGACACTTCCGACACCTCATTGACGGACTTCAACCAGTTGGACCTGAGAGAACACACAACGAATGTATCTTGATATTATTTATGGGCCATCGATTGGGTTGGCCACTTTGGGCAGTTCAAATGGGGGCGGATCTTCCCCAATCACCGTTCACTGTTCATTGGCAATTGTTATCAAGGCATTAGCATATCATAATGACAACCAGAAAATAATGCTAGAGAGACTATATCATAGACAAGGGCTATCAGTTGGGCGATTCTTTTCAATGTACGTCTTGACTTCTAACGAAAACGGTAATGGAAAACAAAAACTAGTTAAGCTAATCATTAATAGCGTTTAGTGAATTCAATGTAATGTCATACTGTTTAAATGTAAAAGTTATAGCACACCAGGCTAACTGATAGAGCAAATCGTAAACTTCCTCCAGGTTTACAAATAGTAAAAGGTCCCCGCTGTAGATATCCAAAAAGAGTGCGAGTAGTGGAAATTTTTAAACGATCCCAACCTGTAGCATCAAGATCAGCAAACTATTTTATGAGCCTCAAAGAGGCCGCCGTTGTACATACATGCATACAGGCAGTCCCCCAACAAACATATACACATCATTGTAACTAACTACATATGTAAAAATGCTTAAAATATTTGTGATAAAGTAATAATGTTAATGATAAGAAATAAATCGTAAACATATTAATGAAAATACAATGAGTTTGAATTAAATCAACCTGAGTTTGTTATTGTGGGCGAGGTTTTTAATAAAATAGTTTCCTACTTATATTTTATAATTTTGAAGATATAAGATATAATAGGTAACTATTAAACATTTTGCACAGTCTTTTTTGTTCAAAAAAACATTTTTAAAAAGATGTGTAGGGAAGGATATTTATTGAAGTTATTTAAGGTAAGCAATTAAAGTCTTTTCTTAACTTTTAAAATGATTTAAAAAAACAACTAATATCGGCTAGGTTTTTTTTTCTTTTTTAAAATCTTTACAAGAAAAAAATAATCACAAATAATTTAAATGTTGGTAAAACCATTTAATGATACAGAAAATGCTGTAACCATATTTTTTAAAGCCTAAGCTCATATAAATAGTAATCTTTATAGATTTTCTGGGTTGCAAATTGGAAAGTACACTTTCAAATCTTTTTTCCGTAATTTTTAAAAACAGAAAGTAATTTGCAAACATATAAGTAGCCTTAAATCAATATAGTAAAAAAACAGAAAAAAGGCCTTGGAAACCTTTGGCCATTCGATATTTAATATGATAATCTAATATTGAATCTCGTTATTCTTTTGAACGTTAAGATTTGAATTTAAATAGTTTGCCATTCACAGTGGCAAGCAACAGCGTTAGAAGTGTTGATAAACGCGCACTGAACTTGGATAAAGGGTTGCCAAAATTAACTAACGCCTGGCGAGCATAAACATCTGTTTGTTTCTGTCACAAAATGTAGGAGGATTATTTACGTTTATTTTGGCTTTATTTGGCTTCCACCGTCGTTTATAGAGTTTGTTGACAATGCTCAACCACACAAAGTGCAAAATTGCCATGGCAACGTGAATTAAAATAGATACAAACACCCAAAAGGCCTTTGAAGATCTACGCACGCAACTGCAGATTATTGCATCAGAAACGAGTTCCTGGGAACAATTTCAAACGTGAGTGGAGTGCATTGACATGGTTTTCCGTTTGGCTGATGAAATCGCATAGCGAATTATGTTTCTGGTGAAATCCCACCCTCGCTTGGATCTGCTCGCATTTTTTTTTGTTGCTGGCGCGTACGGTAGTTATTCGAACAAAAAGAGCTTTCCGCGAATCGGTCGCAATCAATTTCGAGACATAACGCCATTCGCAGCTGATCCGATCAAAACAAAAACGCTTGTGTAGAAAATCAGATGAGAAACAAACATTGCGAGGACAAGACGCGAAAAGCTGGCTAAAATAGGCGCCGAAAAGTTTGCGTCTGGTCGACTTAAACACGCGCTTCCTTTAACAGTTATAATTTAAAAGTTAACGGTATGTTTATTAGTTTTTTATTTTGCGTTATTTTGTCGAAAAAGGCGATTGATTTTTCATTAATTAAACGTGCCGCCTCTGTAAAATTGTGTATTTCTTATAAGCTCTGACGCAGTATTTGGTGTTTACAAAATAAATTCAAATATGTACATATAATAAGTTTCACTTGGTGACCAAATGTTTAAGTAAAACAAAACGCCTGACATTAAAATTTTTTTACGCATATTCATTTTCCAATTTTGTATTCTATAATTTTACACATTTTATGATTACTTGAAAAGCAGATGTTAAATAATACTTTGTGAAATAGAATTATTACCTACAAAAAGTGACCTATCCTATTTCTAATGCTATTGTGGTTCTTCCTTCCCCGAACTTCTCGATTGTAGGGTATTGCGAAAGCTCTTGAAACAGTTTATGTACTCGGGCCTTCTCATTGTGCTTTGGCTTGCACACTCATTCGTTCGCGGGCACAAAGCGGAGCAGGTTATAAACAAAATCGAAAGACAGCCGAAAGCGGAAAGCCCCTGTACACAGTGCCCAGAACCCAGATAGCCGAATAACAAATTCGACCTGGGCAAATGAAAAGCGTAGCCAAAATCGATATTTTGTGCCAGCGCCGCGCGCAAATAGGGAACGTTTCTTGCGTTTAATATAACGAATAATATCAAACCATTCGTGTGGTTTGCTTTGTGAGCCAATTGTTGAGAATATCTGGTAAGATGTTTGGAACTTGTCGCACAATTCGTTTTTCACCTCGTTCGTGTGTATCCAAACAAAAGCAAACGTCGTGGCAAACATAAACAAGCGTTTCAAGGTCGCTGCAAGTCAAAGAGGACGGTCAAAAAAACAAACCAAGAAAATTTCAATTTTCATAGATACACAAAAGCAAATCGGTTGCGGTTAAAAAAAAATATCACCTTTAAAATTTAATATTTAGGACATACTTAGTACAACCTCAAAGAAATCTTATTTATTCCCATTGATAAGATAGTACTTCCGCTTAAATTATTTAGGACAGATGATTTAAGATGTTAAATAATCGGTGACTTGTGTAAATGTATCTGAAAGCTATTATTTCAGCCACAGCTGTTCAGAAATCTGTTTGTGTATTTATGTTTGCTTTCCGATGTCGCAATTGGCCCAAAATTTGTTTTCTTTTTGAAACAAAACGTTCCTTTGTTTAAAGTGAAATGAATTGCTTTTTTTCCTCTCACGAAAATGTACTCATTTAAAACATGTACATATGTATGTACTTCCTTTTTAGCCATACAGTATGGAGTCCTTCCTGAGTCTCTTTGATCCCAACCAGGACGACGGCTTCGACGAGGAGCCGGAGCTAAATGGCAACAGCAGCGGCGGCGGGAGCAGCAGCAGCGACTATGAGACGGACGCCAATGCCAACGAGTGCCGCCTGGTGGGCGGAGTGCCCACCGAGCGGGGAAACCTGATCTTCGACTTCGAGCAGGGAATGCTGCCGCCGGAGCCACAGCTCGGAAACGTGGAGTACAAGCTGAAGCTGGTCAACCCGTCGAAGCAGCGCTTCGAGCATCTGGTGACCCAGATGAAGTGGCGGCTCCGGGAGGGAAACGGCGAGGCCATCTACGAGATCGGCGTCTCCGATGCCGGCTACCTGCAGGGCCTCAGCGACAAGGACATGAACGCCTCGCTCGCCACACTCAAGCAGATGGCCCACAGCCTGGGAGCCAGTACCTCGGTGCTCCGGCGAAAGACCATTGCCTCCCGACGGGCCGTGGCCGAGGTCCTGGTGCGGAAGATTCCCGACGACCAGCACAACATCGAGGTGCGGGTTGCGGTGCTCGGAGGCGCTGATGCCGGCAAGTCCACCCTGCTGGGCGTTCTAACACAGGACGAGTTGGACAACGGACACGGCAGGGCCCGGCTAAACATGTTCCGGCACATGCACGAGATTCAGTCAGGTAATGAATGCCTTAATTCTTCCAAATACATATCTCATTTTACTCCAAAACCATTTTAACATTCCCTTTAGGACGCACTTCCTGCATCTCCCACGAGACCCTCGGCTTCGACGCGCTGGGCAATGTGGTGAACTACAAGTACAATGAGATGATGACGGCGGAGGAGATAAGCGACCGATCTAGCAAGCTGGTGACCTTCATGGATCTGGCGGGGCACAGACGCTACATGCGCACCACCGTGCAAGCGCTGAGCGGCTACTCGCCCCACTACGCCATGCTGGTGGTTTCGGCGGGCAGCGGCTGCAACGACACCACCGAGGAGCATCTGGCCATCGTCCGGGCCTTGGACATGCCCTTCTTCGTGCTGGTCACCAAGACGGACATCACATCGCCGGATGCCACGGTGCAGGAGCTGTGCAACCTGCTGACCACCATCGGCTGCCGGAAGGTCCCCTTCGTGGTGACCAACACGGATGAGGCCATCTCCGCCGGGTCGAACCAGGTCTCCGAGAACATCGTGCCCATCTTCTGCGTCTCGAATGTCACGGGCACTGGCCTCAATCTAGTCACTAAGTTTCTCTACGTCCTATCGCCGGGCATCAGCAATGCCGAGAAGGATCGCCTCGAGCAGGAGTCCTGCGAGTTCCAGGTGGATGAGATTTTCCGGGTCTCCGACGTCGGTCCCGTGGTAGGTGGCCTGCTGGTGCAGGGCGTGCTCACCGAGAATATGCCCATGAAGATCGGCCCTCTGCCGGATGGAAGCTTCCATCCCGTCAATGTCAACACCATTCACCGAAACAAGGCTCCCTGCCGGGTGGTTCGAGCTGGCCAGAGCGCCTCCCTCTCGTTCGCTCTGGACCAGGATCTGCCCACGCTGCGGAGTGGCATGGTGCTGCTGGGCGACATAGGAAATAACGTGGATGAGCCCTACGGAACCTACTTCTTTCAGGTGAGTTCAGACTTTGCCGATGAGTAGCAAGTAAGTAACTAATATTTCACAAACTTTTTTTTGCAGGCGAAGGTGTCTGTGCTGTTCCACGCCACGGCCATTTACGTCGGCTTCCAGACAACCGTGCACATCGGAAGCATTCGCCAGACGGCGGTCATCCGCGGCATCATGGGCGGCGAGCGGCTGGGCACCAACGACTGTGCCTCGGTAATGTTCGAGTTCGTCGGCCACCCGGAGTATGTGCGCCCTGGAATGCGCATCCTGTTCCGCGAGGGCACCAGCAAGGGCATCGGAGTTGTTACGCAGGTCTTTCCCGTCAACAAGACCGGCACAAAGTAGAGTCTCCTGACCGAAAGCCGATCGCCTTGGTAGTTGCAGTTGCATAACTATATATCTCAAACACGGATGACATGTACATATACTTAAATAGCGGTTAGAAAGATGCGTTAAATCCTAGGCAGATCTTCTGTACACTTAGTTTCGGGTTCTGTGATTTTTCGTTTAAGCTCGGCTCACAATCGGAAATTGTGTGTTAAAACCTCCTTAATTACTCCTACATCATTAAATCGCGACACAAAGATACAATATTGATTGAAGTTTTTTTGTCTGGGACATTAAAACTGGTTTGAAGCACCACAGAAACACGCAAGTTAGCTCAACAATTGGTTTATTCTCGTCTACTGCTCGGCTGCTCATCTGGATTACTGCTCGTGCTATCCCTTGTTGCTGGCACGGTGGAACCACCCTCGATCTCCTCGGACTTGGCGGGCACTGTGGACGTGAACCGGAAGAGCACAGGCACCTCCCCAATGGAGGGATTTCCGTTCGCCTCCAGCAGGCGAATCCACGAGAGCAGGGAGTCCTTGGTAGAGGTGCCCGTGGCGCAGATGGCCAAGATGGTGCCATCGTCCTGCTGGTGGACAGAGCGCAGCTTTCCCAGCTGGTTGTGTCGCCTTGGAGGAGCTCGACCAAAGAAAGGCACATCGATGTGGGAGACGTCGTCCTCGTCCAGCTGCCGCTCGTCCAACTGAGACAGAAATTCGGGGTCTGGATCGGCGCGCAGGGTGAAGTAGTTGATCCGCCGATTTCGTAGCCATATGTGGAAGGGTCCCTCGATGTACAGAGCCTTCTGACGCGAATGCTCCCGCAGGAGTTTCTCCTGCTCGGGACTCATCCCGCTCACGATCCACGTCTGATCTATGGCGTCCTTCAGCTCGCTGGTCTCGAACACCGTGATCTTGGATCGCAGGTCGACCGTGCACATGCGCTCCAGCGCCAGCTTGGCCATTTCCAGAGTGTCATCCGGCACTGGGTCGGGCAGGGGCCACGGCGAGAGGTTCTTGAACTTGGGCATCCAGTACATCATGCGCCAATATTTGCGGAGCGGGTGCCCCTGTCTGCCGAACACGTTCAGCAGCATGGCCTCCATCTCACAGTCCGGCATCACGCCGAAGTCCTCCATCTGCTCGAGGAGGTCAATGATGCACTGTTGCTGCTTGGGGTAGTGCATGAACTCCGCCTGGAACAGGTTGGTGGGTATGAACTTGCCCTTGGGCATCACGTTAATCAAAGCCTTGTAGACTTCCAGATCTCGTTCCACCCCAAAGTCTGCCATGTTTTTGAGCGCCGCGTAAATGAACTCCACGTGGTTGCGCCGGTGAACGTCGCGCTCTTGGAAGATCTCCACCATGGTCAGGTAGGTGTTCTTCGTCCTGTCCTGCGCCGTAGCGAAGGGATTCCTCACAGCCGGCAGGTTTTTTGTGCCGGGTTTCTTGGCCCCCGGATTGGGATTTGGGTTCTGTTTGGGACTCCCCTCATCCGTTGAGTAGCACCGAAGTCGGGTGACTAGTGACTGGCGTCCACTGCTGTGCAGTCGCAGCAAGCACTGCGCGCGACGCAGCATTTCTTATTTATAAAAATACGTTTAAAGTATTTTGTAAATACGATTACAAAACATTGCAGAAGAGCCAGTTCGCGAAACTAGTTCACATTTCTCAGCACTGCAGGTTGGACATATGTTTTACTGTGTTGGGAGCCTGTCTAGTTTGTGTTTCAGCGGGTTTTTGTGCTGTGGATTTCACTAGGTCGAAGCTTTAAAATTAATATCAAGCATTTAAAAATGTTAAACTCAATTGAATGCATTTGCATTTCAGTGGGGTTATATTATCCCTTCTTGAACCAAAAAAAGTCTTATATCAACTTAAGTTCTTTATCTCTAGGTTACTCAGCCAGGAAACAGCTGATTTTTGCCTCTTTTAAAAAACCATCACTATGGCTTGGGTTGTTCAACACTGGCTCAGACCTCAGTGTATCCTTTGTGCTGCTTTTTGTTGTTATTTCACCGTTTTCTGCATTATCCTTATTCGCATAGTTTTTGGTTGTTTTTGTGTTGTTTTAGTTGGTTTTGAACACCCTGAGTTATTTGCACGGGCGCGCCTCACAGCAAAATGGGATCCAACAAGTGGAGCTCCTGATTGCGAGGCAGAGTATCTATACCAGAAGCAAAACAATAGAATTTGGCTCGGTCCCAAGGAGCACCCACCAGCCCAAGGTTATTTGAGACTGTTCCATCCGCCAAAAATGCTCTGAAAAAGAAAGTCGAGCAGGGGCTGACCCCACTATGCCAAGAGGCTGAAGTTACTACACCCGACTGACATGCTGTGCTTCGACTCGGAAAGGATGAACTGGTATTACCACGTCCTGGCCAGACGTCCATATTTGGTCGTCGTGTCCATCGCCGTCTACTGCGTGGCCTGCATCATAGTGGCGCTCGTCCTCAATAAGATGCCCGACTTCAGCGATCCCACATTGGTGAGCATGAGTTATTTTTCTTTTAAAAATTAAAGAACATTTATCATGAGTGGACATTTAATAAATAATTTCAGCAAGCTATGTATATATTTTATGGAAAGAAAGGGTCTATTTTCTTGACCTTAACTTAAAGATACAAACATTGACTGCAATGTTCCAAAACACTTATTATTAGCTATTAGTACTACTAAAGTCAATCATTTTTTAATTTTTAATTGTTATCAAAAGTATTTAAAGTTAAACAAAAAAATATATCATTTTTTAAAACGATTTTTAAACTTTTTTTCTTTCTCTTTGATAAGACATACAATTTTCTGTGATTAGCCGTTTTAATTTCATAGTCGACGTCCTTAATAATATTTAATATGTTTCCGACTCATGAATATCATTTATATTACTCACTCTTTTTTAAATTTTAGGGCTTCGAAACGCGCGGCACCAAGATAGGAAATCGGCTGACGGCCTGGTACAACCTGCTGCAGGAGACCGACCACCACGGGATGCTCTTCTCGAACCCATCGGATCTGTGGGAGAAAAGGCGAGTGGAACTGGGCTTTGTGGAAACCAGGCTGCATCCGAATCACAAGCGCCGCAAGAACAAGCACAGAAACAGAAACAAGAACAAGCGGCGCAAGGAGCAGAATCAGAGCAGCCACGAACACCACGATGTGGCCCAAAAGGTGATGCAGTTCAAGAAGCGGCTGAAGGCTACGAGCGCTCCAACCGCGAATCATGCCGTGGACACCTGGATGGGCGACAGCGGAGTGTTTCGGGACTACGAGATCACAAACGACAGCGCTTCGTCCGCTCTGGAACCCACACGACGCACTGAGCAGATCGAGTATGGACACAACACCACGTCCGTGGACGAGGACGAGCACCGGGAGCGGGTGCAGACCAAAAAGAGCACTTGGCGGCTGCTGAAACAGGCCGCCACCCTGCCCACCGACGGTTGGGCGGACGTGCACCGTCGCCAGCCCATCGAGGGCTTCTTTTGCGACTCCTCGCCGCGAAAGGAGTACTCCCACTTTGTGGTCCAGCGAATCGGCCCCAACGCCACGGACTCGCTGTTCGACTTGAACGGCCTGCTGGCCATGTGCCAGCTGCAGGACCAGATCACCGAGGTGCCCAGCTACCGGGCCTTCTGCGAACCGGAGATGCTCACCACCGAATGCTGTCGGCCGTGGTCGCTGCCCAACTACGCCGCCATGCTGGCGAACAAAAGTTCCTGCTTCGACCTCACCGCAGATGATGTTACCTCGCTGCAGACCCTGCTCTCCAATTGCTACGAGTACTTCCACGACCTAAAGATGGACAACCACTGCAACGAGATTCCGCACTGTCGTGCTCCTGAAGAGTGCAAACGACTTAATATTGTCTTTAACGTCCTGAATTTTCTCACTGACTTCAGCTTCATAAAATCGAATGTGAGTCCGTTTTTAGACGTGAAAGTTTGATTGAATCTTATTTGTAGATGCTATTTAACTTGTTGCTACCAAAATATCCTTACAGTATCTTTAACATATAGTTTATAGTTTAATTATATTTACCTCTACCAAATAACTGAAACCCATGAACTTTCATTTGAATATTTTTTAGGGTTTGAATATATTTTAAGGCTTGCGTTTAATTACATTTTCTTTTTTAGGACTCCAACGTATACCTGAAATACGCCATGATTTTTGTGCCGGTGGCGCAGTCCAATCGAGTGCTACCTCTGTTCCACGAATGGGAAGACGTGTGAGTACAAACCAGTAGCTAGTATTTGCGGAACTGATACCGATCAATAGGCGACACAGGCATTATGCCGCTCTTGGCCTTCATCAAAGCTGGTACGCAGATGGTGTCGAAGTAGGTGGTCACATTGTACTTGGTAAACAATTTGCGCAGCTCGACGGCGATTCTGTCCAGCGTCAGGTCCTTTAAGACACGTTCACGATACAACCAGCTCTTGAATGGTTCCGTTTCCTGCACTCTATTGTAGTAGCAGCCATAGTTGGTCAAATAATCCCCACCCTCGTATTTTAGAACTTTTTCAGACCGCCGGCTTGCAAAAGATGAAAAGTTATTGCGCGAGTAGTCGTACATATAAACCGACTTGTGCAAGTCCTTAACATAATTCTTGAGAAGGTCAAAATCCACTGGCGGAGACACGAAAAACAGTTTGTAGATCTCCTCGTTGCACCACTTATTACGCTTCACGAATTGGGCGTAGTCCTCGCGCCAGTCCATTGCAGTGGGCCACGTCTTCGTTATATCCTGCAGACCAGAAACCTTTAAGTTCCCGAAACAGTGGCCACTTATCAGGGAGGGATCTTCTTGTTTCATCTTGAAAGGGGGGGTGTAAACAGCTTTTCCGGTATGGTCCACATAGTCCGCTCTGCTGGTGGTTATCAGCTCCCTGTGCTTAGGCATTAGCATTTTTATCAAGTGCTTTTCTCTCTCCGCTGAATCCATTTTGCAATTTTTTATTGGTTTTTTTTTATAATATTTTTTTTGTTTGGTTTTCTGTTTGAAATTGAATATCTGACTGATTTCGCAGGGAGCTGAGCAACGAACTTGTGGAGGTAATCGCCATGGATCTGGGCCTCGAGAACGAGCTCTTTAACGAGCTGCTGCTGACGGATGTCTGGCTGGTTTCCCTTGGAGGGGCTTTCGTCATGGCCAGCGTTTGGTTGTACACGGGATCGGCTTTCATTACCCTAATGTCGTGCATCGCCATCTGCTTCTCGCTGGGACTAGCGTACTTTTTCTACGCCATCGTCTTGGAGTTCGAGTTCTTCCCCTACATGAACCTCCTGGCCGTGGTGGTGATAATTGGCATTGGAGCAGACGACGTATTTTTATTTCTCAAAATCTGGCAGTGTGTGCTGGCCGAGAGGTTCAGCAACCGATGCACCTTGTCCACACAGTCCCAGAGTGCTCTGCCCACGCCCCTGGAGCTCAGCGATCACACAGAGTCGTTGGAGAACATCATGGCACTGACAATGAGGCACGCTGCTGCCTCCATGTTCGTCACCTCGCTCACCACCGCCGGCGCATTTTACGCCTCCTACAGCAGCTCCATAACGGCCATCAAGTGCTTCGGGTGAGATTATTTCTTATTTTCCTTATTTAAAGTTGAATTTACTATATTCGGACTTTTGCTTTTTTCAGAGTTTTCGCTGGAACGGTTGTGGTGACGAATTACTTGCTTATGATCACTTGGCTTCCCGCTTCGGTCTCCATCATGGAACGACTCTTTGCCACCAGGATTTCCTGCAGGCACCCGATGTCCCAGAAGCTGATCCACGCCTGCAAAAAGTCAATTAATAGATTTTGCATAATGTTTGAGGAGTGCATTACGCACAGCATCATGAACTACGCTCTTTTGTGGCTGCTTATCTTTGGAGCTTTAGGCGCGTCCAGCGCCGTCATTGTGTTCTGGTATCCAGGACTCCAGCTGCCGGAGAAATCGCACTTCCAGCTCTTCGTCTCAAAGCATCCGTTTGAGATGTACTCGAGCCTGAAGCAGCAGTTCTGGTTCGAGAAGCCGTTGCAGGCGTACGAGAACTTCAAGATGCACATGCACTTCGTTTGGGGCGTCCAGGCAGTGGACGATGGCGACTACACGAATCCGAATTCCTACGGCAACCTACACTACGACAATAATTTTAATATATCCAGCAGGCCGGCGCAACTCTGGATCCTTGACTTTTGCCAGAGTGTGCGCCAGCAACCCTTTTACAAAGAGACCTTGGGAATGCTGCTGCCCAATTGTTTTATTGAAAACCTTATCGATTATATGAAGCGCAGGTGAGCAGCACCTTGAAGGAGGTTAAAAGAGAGAGCCAGAGAATGCTTTTTAAAACGCTTTTGTTTTCTAGATGCATCGATGATATGGACATTACGCGGAGGGATCGTTCGCCCTGCTGCGACGCCCAGTTTCCCTTCGACCCGCACATATTCGAGCATTGCTTGCCACAGAGCATATCCAACATGTACGACACCACTTTTTTCGGCCCGGCGTGGCAGGACCCAAGTTTGCAGAAGCTCCTCGACTGGACGCGGAGGATTACCTAGGAATGGGTGGAAACGAGAGCGCAGAGTACGGCACCAACGGATCGTTCACACCGCTGACGGCCAAAGTCCTGATTATCGAGTTTGAATCCAATGTGGCCTACAGTACCATCTACGCAAATATCAAGCAGTTCTACGAGTCTGTTGAGAACTGGTTTCAGCAGCAGCTGACCACTGCACCAGCGGAACTGCAAGGCGGATGGTTCACCAGCGACCTAAAGTTCTACAATGTGCAGGACACACTTTCGCATGACACCCTGGTGGCCATTTGCCTGGCCATGGCTGCATCGCTGGTGGTGCTGTTATGCTTTACGGTCAACATACTTATTTCCATCTACGCCGTACTAACCGTGTCGCTGAGCATTTTCAACACGGTGGCGGTGCTTATCCTGCTAGGCTGGCAGCTCAACATTTTGGAGAGCATCGCGGTGAGCACGGCCATCGGACTGGCTGTGGACTTTAGTCTGCACTATGGGATCCACTACCGGATGTCGCCGGTAAAGGAGAGATTAGCCGCCACTCAGTTTGTTCTTTCCCGCATAATTGGACCCACTGTGATGGCGGCCACCACAACGGGACTGGCCGGCGGCATCATGATGGCGTCGAATATACTGCCCTACATACAGATCGGCGTCTTCCTGGTGGTGGTCATGATCGTCAGCTGGTTCTACGCCACCTTTTTCCTGATGAGCCTGCTGCGCGTGGCTGGTCCGCAGCACGGTTTTCTGGAACTCAAGTGGCCGTTGTGGGGCAAGCGAAACAGCGCCAGCAGCAAGTTCTACGACCGGTAAGCAACTTTTATTAGGTTGATAAATACTTCATGATATTGAAGATAAAAACAACTTTATTTGAAGTTCCAAGCTCTTCAGTTTCAATTTTGTTCTTAAACTATGCACTTCTTTTGTCTGCAGGAAACCCAGCCAGGTGATCGCCAGCGAGCAACTGTTGACCCCCACAAGCTCGGCCATAGTGGAGCTGGCCAATTCCGAGACACACGAGCTGGAGTCGCTCAACTCCAACAGCCTGATCAAAACTATTTCGGGCACCGAAAGCGCCCACGCACTGTCCTCGCTGCCGAGAGACTTCGAGCACTCGTTCCAGTCGCTGCGCGAGAGCAAATATCAAACGTATCCGTCTACATCCAATTGAGTTAGTTACTATTGCCGGCCAGCGAGCGTTGTTGTTGCCAAGGGGAATCAGGCAACTGCATTTTTATACAGGGTATGGCGGCTCAGAGGCCTGCCCGAGATACATTTATATAAACATATACAAACCATGTGTCGGCATATTTAGTTTTAAAATGTGCGGACCGAGGCATATGTACGTTGTGTGAGTTCTACATTGATATACTCTAGATATATGTGTAACTGTACTTGGTAGACTTAAGCAAAGCGAAGCGAAATCTTGTAAACTCTCCTTAGTGTGCTATTTCCAAAAGACTTCAGACGGTTGCAATATGCTTTTATTATTTTGTTATTGCACGTTTGATGCTCCAGCCAAGTGAATACAATTTGTAAACTGAAGCAATTAGCGGAGGTACTGGGTACGTCTTTGTCGGTAGGACTGTACGATGACGGTATTATTAGTTTTTAGCCAAACGTTTCAACGCTGTTTATGTACTTAACTGTAATCAAAACTATTTATACTCCGGATTTTTATTAGATGTTAAGTTGGACCGCTTTGTGGGCGCCAGCAAGATGTAGTTACTTTATATGATAGTTACATATGTACATGTATGCGCAGAAAAATGTGTTGTCTATCCTAGTTGTATGCGTTCAAAACAAACCACAAAAAAAACAAACATACACGCACTCACGTTTGTAATAACCATGTAACTGTGATACAGAAGGTGAGAAACTTAAAGAAATCGGTGTTTATACAGACATAGTGTTATAACCCCAAACCATGACGTATTGTAATTACCTGCAACTAAAAGGCCCTGTACTTCCTTTATTGAACTTATGTGTTGAAGTGATTTAATAAATGTTACTTGTAAAACTTCTTAAAATAATTATGGCAAGTTAATCATATTTATTACCCAGCAAGTAATTTAAAACTTAGGTTTTTATTCGTAGCAACTGCTTCCCGTTCTGGGAACGCAATTATTTAATTTCTCTTTGTTAATCACATGATAGTTTTCTTATATTTACTTCAATCAAAATATGCAAAATGTGTTATTCAGTAGGAGCTACTCCTCATTTCGATATTGATGATGCATCATTGGGGTTCGAGAAGTGTCCAGTTCCACTAAGGCAACATTTAAAAGGACTCGCCGATCGGCTTAATGGTCAACTCGTGGATCTGCACATTGGGAGGCGTCTGGATGCAATACGAAACAGCATCAGCCACATCCTCAGAACGCAACATGGGGAAGTTCGGAACGGTCTCCTTGATTTTTGGGTCAATAATCTCTGTGTCGACAGCTCCAGGGCTAATGCTCTATGAATAGAAAGTTTTATTATTTAGGTCTAATAAACATCGGCATAGGCTAAAATGATTTTCTATGGTATGAAGATTTCCCATTTATGGTTCTTCTACTCCAATATTCGTGAGCTGACCAAAATATTGATTTACATATAAAATAGTTATTCAAATAGTTCGAGAGCTCTTATCGTCAATTTATTTATATTTTGGAACTTTATTGATGGATAATTACTGGGTGCTAAGATCAAAAGCGATTTGGCTTTCAACAAGTGCATCTTCGCTTGCATTCCAGTAGCCATCAAAAAGCTGTACAAAACTTGTACATCCATCAGCACCAATCTCACAGCCATTCGTAAGTTCAGAATATTTTAAATAATTTAAATTCGTTTACAGCAGTAATCATGGTTTGAAAACATTGGAAGTCATCAGCGAAATTATGATAAGCAATACTACTATTCAAGGCACGAAGACAGAATACGGATATTTGAAGTACGTGCGATCGTTTTCAGCGTATTAAAGTTTACAAAAGCATGCCATTATTCATTGATATTCTTTCAGTACCTGTGATTAAAACAAATGTTTTTCTTTCATATTTTTAGCGGTTTTTCGCCTATACATACATATTTTCTTACTTTTTCAACCATATTTTTCTCAGCCCTTAATATTTGTAAGAAACTATTTCGAGCAAGTATTGCCAAAACATATTTAAAGTAATTTTGAATGATTTAACTCCAAAATGCAATAAATATATGCATTTTTATGTCTTTAAACACTATTTAAGGATACTTATGATGTCACTGAAGTTATCATTGAGATATTGTGTGATTGCTAAATAAACAACTTTATCTTTCCCACAAAGTAAAGTTTCAATAGATATTGTTTTTTGATTTACTCGGTCTTTTTTTTAATTTTAAAGGTTATGATAATAAAATAAAAAACGTTAAACCCACCGGCATCAAGTTACCTTAATAATAGAAATAAGCTAGGACTTTTACAAAAGTCCTTTGCATAAATATAAAAATACGGATTAAGTCACTGGACTCACTGTTATCTTAGTCTGCGTCTTCTTTTCCTGGAACTCCTGGCGTAGAACCTCCACCAAAGCGGTCACGGCAAACTTGGATGGGGCGTACATCTTGAAGCCGAAACCGGGCATATTGGGAATTTTGTGACCCAATACGCTGTTGATGACCACCACATGGCCATCGTTGATGTTCCGTTTCTGCTGCGATCTGAAGGCTTCGCGGGCGCACCAAACGAAACCCAGGACATTGGTGTCCAGAACGGAACGCATGTCGGCGGCATTGTCTGCATCAGTGATGTTGGATTGGGTGAGAATGCCCGCGTTGTTCACCAGGACGTCGGCTCCCCCGAGGGTCTCGTCCACCCAGGCGAAGGCCTCGACCACCTGCTGCTCCACGCTGACGTCACACTTGCGGCCATGGAAGCGGGCCTGTTGATCCGCCGGCAACGATTCCTTCAGCTCCTTTAAGCGCTCCTCTCGACGGGCCAATCCCACGACAACCATGCCCTTGGCCACCAGATCCTTGCAGCAGGCAGATCCGATTCCAGAACTGGCTCCCGTGACCACAGCAACGCGATTCAACCACCGATCCATTTTATTAGATATTGTAGATATTGTTTCCGTATGGGGGTTTCGATCTTCAAACTCGCGAATTAACTGAGCTTCTGCTCAGAGAATCATTTCTTTTATAAACAGATGTAGCTTTTTAGCAACGAAAGCTCTTGCTCGCATTTTATTTATTTTAAGAGAGTCTATTATCTTATCATCTAAGACTAAGATTTTTCAGCAACTCATTCGATCGAAAATTGGCACTAATATGACCTGTCATCGGGCGAGGAGAGATTACCCCACAGTACGAAATTTTCACAGAAATATCTAGAATATGCAGGGCGTGCTCAAAAAAAAAATTCATTTTTGCTCTTAAGAAAATAGAGTCAATAGTATTATATGTAAAACACAACAAGCTTAAAATTAAATAAGCTTATTTTAATTATAAGTCTAAGCTAACATTTCATATTTCATAATTCATAATTCATATTTAAAGGAAAACATTTGAGCTGTCCTTTGCGTCGTATAAGTAATATTTTTGCAATTGTAGAAATAAGTGATTATAACTATAATTGATTTTCAAAATTAATTTCAAACATAGTTCGATGCTGGAAAATAATTTTAATTAATGATTTCCATTTTTATCAGTAAATTGTTTGTTTACGCGACATCATAGTCAAACCTCTTAATATTTTCATTGATCAACTGTTAAGAGAGGGAGCTTTTAACTGATTTAAATAGCAACAAGTCATGCTGATATTGTGTTCATTTAGTAAAGTTCCAGCAGTGCTTATTTTAATGGTGTGTACGTGAGAATATAAACCAAAGAGAATTTTTATTTATGTTTAATAAGTATAATCTTTGAAAGCTAAATTCTCCCATACCATTTTATCATAAGAAAAATCATGGTGTATTTTTAGATTGAAGGGAACCAACTTGTATCAAATAGAAATAGGAACATATTAAAGGCGCTTTTCTACTTTTAAGTTGCTTTCTTTTATTTAAAATTAGTGTATCATTAGTGTAATATGGCCTAAAAACGTTTTAAAAATTGTGAAATTCAAGTTAAATTTAATGCTTGCGAAGGGTGTAGCGATCGATCGGTCCCGATGGCATTATCCCATCCTTGGCCTTTATCAAGGCTGGGAGGCAGATCGTCTCGTAGTAGGTTGTGAGATTGTACTTGGTGAACAGCTTGCGCATCTCCTTGGTGAACTGCCCGATTTTCATTTCCTTGGGTTTTAGCTCTCGTTCCGAAAAGAGGTTCGACTTGAACGGATTCTCCTCCTGAATGCGATTGTGGTAGTTGCCGTAGGTCGTCTGGTAGTCAATGTTGTTGAAGTTGTCGAAGTTGGGGGCGACATCGTGTCTTCGCTGGCTTCTCAGCGACGTGTAGCTGTTGGGGGAGTAGTCCGATATGTAAGTGGTGTTGAGCAGATCCCTGAGGTATTCCCTGATAAGGAAGTAGTCAATCGGTGGATTCACGAAGAACAGCTTGTAGATCTCCTCGTTGCACCACTTGTTCTTCTTGACGAACTGCGCGTACTCCTCGCGCCAGTCCATGGACCTCGGCCATGTCCTGGTCTTCAACTCCTGGCCCCGCACCTTCAGGTTGTTGGCATAGTGTCCCGAAATCAGAGCAGGATCCGTTTGGTGCCGAAAGGCGGTAATGGTTCGCTTCGGCTTGTCGACCGAGTAGTCCTTGAAGAACGCTTTGTGGGTGGTAATGTCCTTGAAGCACCTCGGCAGAATTGCGTCCAGAAATATCAAGTCCATCTCGGCCAAGCCTGTGTCTTGAGCTTTCGGAGCCATTGCGGAAAATTGTTCTTATTTTTTTGTGTTTCTGTGTTTTCTGAGTGGCTTAACAAATCTTTAGCTTGCTATAAAGATGATTAAGTTATGGCACGCTGCTATGTTCTAAACTGAAAATATACATACAGTTATCGAGCACTGTTGGTTGTTTGTTCGATTTTAACTGATTTTTAAAAATAGAATACACTGCATTTGAAATTTAGCCTACCTACATAAATGTTATCACTCCATCCCACAGTGGTTGCGCCCATAGGCCAAAAATAAAAAAAGTCATAACAACAAAAATGTACGAAAAGTAAACAAATCGTTTCTAAATTGTCCAAACTTCTTGATGGCAAACTTTATTTTTATGTAAATCTAACGGTTCTTTTTAAAAATAGAATTAAAGTTGTAAGAAGGTGTTCATTTGCACAGCGCAGCTTGCGCGCATCGCGAACATTTCATAGCAAAACCGAACTTTGAAGAGGTCAGTTCATTTATTACGTGTCCAAATTTAAAATATTTGTAATGGATTTTGAAGTTGAAGGTATTTTCTAAAATTTGAGATATTATAAAAACACGTACTTGCTAAACTGTTCTTGTTATATAAATTTGAAATAATACATGTTTTTTGTCTATATTTTGAACGTCTTTTTTATGTTTAGCTAAAGTTTTAGTAGTGACGCCACAAAAATCCACAAATAAGTTGTATACCAATGTGTTTGCCTGGCTCTAAAGATAATAAATGTGTAAATTTTTTTTGCAGAAATTTGCAGATGTACTTAAAATCTTAAAAATTCTAACACCGTCTTAACTTTTTCAGGGTCAGTTTTGCACTACAAAAATTTGTTTTCGCTCGTGGGCTTATTGTGCTGTTCTTCGTCTTGCGCTGTCTTCGTCTTTTGAGTTTGTGTTTATAAACAGTTTTTCATTTATTGATTTCCTTTTTTTTTTATTTCTTTTTTCTTTTGTTTATTCCTTTGCTTAAAAATTGAATAGGTTTTTCTTATAAGTGTGTATTCTCATATGTTTTTAATGCATGGTTCAGCGAAGTGGGTAGCGCCGTCGAAAGGCGAACAATATTGATTGAAGGTATAGAAGCGAATATTATAGAAAACGGCTATATTCTTGAAAAGAGTAAAGTGCTTGTAAATAACTTACAATATAAATATTATAAATATTTTAGGACTGCTCTCTCATCAAAGCGCCACCACTGATCCAATCGTTCCCATGGAAGCTATAGGATATAGTGGTACGATCCGGTAAATTTTTTTATATTGTATTATTAATATTTTTATAGATTTTTTGTGAAAGTTTCATAGCGATAGCACAACTAGAAGTATTTATGGCCGCGGTTCCATACAAGCCCGACCACTGCAGTGGGGCAAAGTCGTCACTCGCTATTATTTTAAAAAATAAAAGGGCTACCAACCCAATTTTTTTAGCGTAAGTGTATTGCACTATTCCTACATTACCGACGGAGTTTGGTAGAATTATAGGTTATGTATAATTATTTATTCATCAGAAAGTGTTTCGGAGCCTCAAAAGTAATTTTTCTCCGGCGCAGAACTGTTTTTCTTCCAAGTACATTTTCGATCAAAGAAGTATAAAGGTAAGTTATTATGGTTGAGAAATGTTTGGCGAACACGAGATGGTAGGTTGTGTAACACCTGATTCGAGTTTCGATTTGTTATTCATGTTTTTATCAAAAAATGTCGCGTGGGGCATTGTCGTCACTCAACGGGTGGGGCAAAGTCGTCACTGTATTATCTCAGACTGAAATACAAACTCGTATCAATTTATTATTGTTTTGTGATTGTTTATGTAAAGTACTAAATATAAAATATAATTTCTCCAAAATGTTCTTCAAACAAAAATAAAATTTAAAAAAAGAGGTCGCCCAAAGAAAAATCTTTAAGAAATTCAGATTTTTGCTTTCTAAACTTCACTTAGATCTGAATGTGTCAAATTTTTGCAAAAAATAGGTATTGTGTTCTACTTTTTTATATGTATGAATATCAATAAATGTGTGTTTGACAAGTTGAAATAGTTTTGTGCACATGGGTACCTATATTTGCATTCATTATTCTATGTGACGACTTTGCCCCAGGGGGGTGACGACTTTGCCCCACGATTTTTCAATTTTCCAATTTTGCCTTCTTTCAGATAACAGTTTCGTATTAATAAACAAATGAGAGGATGTCCGAAATACTTACTGCATTTTATAGCCAGATCTTTTCCGAATCCAACCATGTATATTACATGATAAAAATAAGTTATTTTATCAACAAATTTCGCAATTGAAAAAAAGTGACGACAATGCCCCACTCTCCCCTACATAGGTATGTAACTATCATATAAAGTAACTACATCTTGCTGGCGCCCACAAAGCGGTCCAACTTAAGATCTAATAAAAATCCGGAGTATAAATAGTTTTGATTACAGTTAAGTACATAAACAGCGTTGAAACGTTTGGCTAAAAACTAATAATACCGTCATCGTACAGTCCTACCGACAAAGACGTACCCAGTACCTCCGCTAATTGCTTCAATTTACAAATTGTATTCACTTGGCTGGAGCATCAAACGTGCAATACGAAATAATAAAAGCATATTGCAACCGTCTGAAGTCTTTTGGAAATAGCACACTAAGGAGAGTTTACAAGATTTCGCTTCGCTTTGCTTAAGTCTACCAAGTACAGTTACACATATATCTAGAGTATATCAATGTAGAACTCACACAACGTAGGGGAGGGTGGTCCCATACCGACCCCCTAAAAGGCAAAGGCGATAAAGGTGAGAAAAATCAATTTTTCAGTTCAGTTCAAAAATGTACTATATAGAGGGATCAGTTTACTATACATCTAAATGATTAGTAAGTGCGTAGGTGCTTTGAAGCGTCAGATATTCAGGCATATATAAAACTCCACTTTTTGGTCGTACTCGAAAGTAGTGGTCCGAAACCGACCCCCTATTTCTTAACAGAAAAATTTAATAACATAAAATAGAATTTAATGATTTTGACGTTTATTAAGAAATATATTGAAGGTTCTTTCCAGAAAATAAAAATTAATGTATGAAATAAAGGGCACTGTAGTCAATTGACGAAGTCTGAGTTGTCCTCTTTCTCATAGTAAGTTTTCGCGTTGTTTTCGCGTTGTTTTTCGAAAGCTGCTCGTTGATGACTGTCTCTTCGCTTTCTTCTGATCTTTTTGCTGTTTCTGTTACTTTTCTTTACTGAATCTTGTTTACTTTTTCATATTTTCCCTCAAAAATACGCTATGACATATTAAGGGGGTCTTCCTATGTGATGGGTTGAAAAAATCGATTTTTTTTTTTTTCATAAATTGCTCCCTTAACATGTCTAGAATACGGTAGTAAAGCGATTTTAGAAAATTCGAAGTCGTTTTAAAGATACAGCAGGTAAAAGAAAGAGCGGTTCGAAGCGCTGAGTTGGCAGTTAGAAACTTTAAACGCGTTTTTCTCAAAACTGTGTTTTTCAAACTTTCCTCCATTGTATCTCAGAAACGGCTGGACCGAATTACTTGAAATTTACAGGGCACACTCAATATATGTAAACGCATGGAATGAACTATTATCAATCGAAAATTTTCAAAACTTCGCTTTTTTTATAGCAAAAAAAAAAAAAAAAAAACGCCTAATTTGCAACTTTTTTTTCAAATGTCTATCAAAAAACCAATTTTTTTAATATTCATTTGATTATAGGTCATTCCGTGCTTTTAAGCCTACAAATTAAAACGCCGTTTATTTTTTTTTTTCTGATAAGCCGATCAGCCGGAATCGTGGAGGAAGTGGGAGCTCTTTTTTTCGAGGCGGGGGTGTTCAGAGCGCTGTAACTCTAGTTTGACCGAATATTTTTTGCTGAAATTTTTTATTTATACTGTCCAAATATGTGTTAATAAATGATAAAAAACTTGAAGCTCTAAATATTTACTGGTCGTAGAAAAAAATCCTAAAATAACCCTAAAAAACAGGCCGTCACATAGGAAGACCCCCTTAAGCTGCCAATAAATGGGGGTCGGTTTCGGACCATCACCTAGCGGTCGGTTTCGGACCACCACGACCTTTTCTGATTAACTGCTCGGCATTAACTAAAGACGCAAAGAGCGATGTAATTCTAATTATGTGAGTGAAAGCTAGGACTATCAACGATCAGAAAAATTTACTCTCCGATTTTTATGCGGAGAAAAAAAAATTTAAGCTCAAGTTCAGTAAAGCTCAAAAATAAATGTCACAGGCGTTGAAACAAAACAAACGGAAAAATTGCAGTGAAACAAAATAAGTCAAAGGGGCTATCCATGGTAGAATTATACAAGGTAGTCTCGTCGGCTGCAAAATCGTTCGGGTTTTTTTCCCCTGTCGACCCGAACCCATAGGAAAACACTCTCTCTCTCGCACTAATTGTAGTGTCGATAGGGGGAAAAAAAAGCCGACGAGACTACCTTGTACTTATTATACCATGGGGCTATCTATCTCCAAAATGTCTGTGTTATAACAGCTTTTCACTGAAGTTACCGACAATTCGGCTAGCATCGCCATCTCTGAGAAACATGGGGGGTCGGTATGGTACGACCGGTCGGTATGGGACCACCCTCCCCTACATATGCCTCGGTCCGCACATTTTAAAACTAAATATGCCGACACATGGTTTGTATATGTTTATATAAATGTATCTCGGGCAGGCATCTGAGCCGCCATACCCTGTATAAAAATGCAGTTGCCTGATTCCCCTTGGCAACAACAACGCTCGCTGGCCGGCAATAGTAACTAACTCAATTGGATGTAGACGGATACGTTTGATATTTGCTCTCGCGCAGCGACTGGAACGAGTGCTCGAAGTCTCTCGGCAGCGAGGACAGTGCGTGGGCGCTTTCGGTGCCCGAAATAGTTTTGATCAGGCTGTTGGAGTTGAGCGACTCCAGCTCGTGTGTCTCGGAATTGGCCAGCTCCACTATGGCCGAGCTTGTGGGGGTCAACAGTTGCTCGCTGGCGATCACCTGGCTGGGTTTCCTGCAGACAAAAGAAGTGCGTTAATAACATTTAGGGGGTCTTCCTATGTGACGGCCTGTTTTTTAGGGATATTTTAGGATTTTTTTTCTACGACCAGTAAATATTTAGAGCTTCAAGTTTTTTATCATTTATTAACACATATTTGGACAGTATAAATAAAAAATTTCAGCTAAAAATATTCAGTCAAACTAGAGTTACAGCGCTCTGAACACCCCCGCCTCGAAAAAAAGAGCTCCCACTTCCTCCACGATTCCGGCTGATCGGCTTATCAGAAAAAAAAAAAAATAAACGGCGTTTTAATTTGTAGGCTTAAAAGCACGGAATGACCTATAATCAAATGAATATTAAAAAAATTGGTTTTTTGATAGACATTTGAAAAAAAAGTTGCAAATTAGGCGTTTTTTTTTTTTGTTTTTTTGCTATAAAAAAAGCGAAGTTTTGAAAATTTTCGATTGATAATAGTTCATTCCATGCGTTTACATATATTGAGTGTGCCCTGTAAATTTCAAGTAATTCGGTCCAGCCGTTTCTGAGATACAATGGAGGAAAGTTTGAAAAACACAGTTTTGAGAAAAACGCGTTTAAAGTTTCTAACTGCCAACTCAGCGCTCCGAACCGCTCTTTCTTTTACCTGCTGTATCTTTAAAACGACTTCGAATTTTCTAAAATCGCTTTACTACCGTATTCTAGACATGTTAAGGGAGCAATTTATGAAAAAAAAAATCGATTTTTTCAACCCATCACATAGGAAGACCCCCTTAAGTATACGAAGTATGTAGTTTAAATAGTTTAAAGTATACTGACAAGCGATTCAATTTCCAAGCAACTTTTAAAAAGCTTATACAATTTTTTATAAGTTTTGTATATTAACATTTTATGTGACAAAAAAAAAAGCATTGTGGCCGTTTAAAAATTAGCATATTGTATTTTGCTACTTAAAGTTTATTAAAAATTATGCAGTTATTTTAAAGTTTTTAAAATTCAAAAATTCAGAAAATATTTTCAAAAATTAGGCAAAACAATTTGGATTGTTTTCTCTATGAATTGTTATAGTAATATAAATTAATATTTTGAATTCCTTGCTTTTTAACCATTTTCTAGCTTATTGGCTTATTAGAAATTTTTCTTTCGTTATTTTTTTTTCAATAATAAATCATACCAATACGATACATATTTTATAGACTATTTTCATAATATTGTAGTTAATCTAATTATTCTTTTAAAGGCAATGGAAAGTTTGTTTTCTTATATTTTTAACAATATCTTATTATAACTAACCAAATATGTTTTTCACTCAGGTGGCATTCTGTATGTGTACGCCATTGGACCCTACGTTTCCTACCAGGCCCTGCAGTGGTGCTGCATTGTGGTGCCGGTGGTGTTTGACGTGGTGTTCTACTTGATGCCGGAAAGCCCGTACTTCTTCGCCGGGAAGGGTCGCAAGACGGAGGCGCTGAAGTCGCTGCAGTTCCTCCGGGGCCAGAGTGCCGAGGGCGTGCACGACGAGATGGCCGAGATCCAGGCGAACGTGGAGGAGGCGATGGCCAACCAGGGCACCATGATGGACCTGTTCAAGAACGCCGGCAATCGGAGGGCGCTGTTCATCTGCGCCGGCCTGATCTCCTTCCAGCAGCTGTCGGGCATCAACGTGGTGCTCTTCAACAGCCAGTCGATATTCGCGAGTGCCAACACCGGACTGGACCCGGCCATCGCCACCATCATCATCGGGTGTGTCCAGGTGGGATCCTCGGCACTCACGCCTCTGGTTGCCGACCGCCTGGGCAGGAAGGTGATGCTGCTGACCTCCTCCAGCGTGATGTCCCTCGGACTGGCGGCGCTGGGCTACTTCTTCTTCATGCAGCTGGTGAAGGGGGACATCTCCAGTGTGGTCTGGATGCCAGTTCCCGCCCTGATCATCTACAACATCGTCTACTGCACCGGATTCGGACCGCTCCCGTGGGCGGTGCTCGGCGAGATGTTCCCGGCGAACATCAAGTCGGTGGCCTCCTCGGTGGTGGCCAGCACTTGCTGGACCCTCGGCTTCCTGGTGACCTTCTTCTACCCCAGCCTGGACGCCCTCGGCTCCTACTACGCCTTCTGGCTGTTCGCCATCTGCATGGTGGTGGCCTTCTTCTTCGTCCTCCTCGTCGTCATGGAGACGAAGGGCCTCAGCCTGCAGGAGATCCAGGATCGCCTCAACGGCAAGCGCAACTAGAAGGTCGTTCCTGGGCTTTCTGCTGCATTTGAATCCGTAACGATCTTTCACGTACGTCTAAGGTCTGTGTGCAAGTATTTTATTGGTTAGTTCGTAAGCCCAAACTCAGTTGTTACACGCTTTCCTGTTAATTTGTAAAAAAAAATTTATAGAAATAATAATTATGATACCATTTTAGTTTAACTTGATTTTTTCATGGCGTGCGGATGTGCGGAGAAATTAACTATTTTTTTATATGGTTTATACCCTTGCAGAGAATATTATAATTTCAGTCCGAAATTTGCAACGCAGTGAAGGAGCTACCTAAAACCCCATAAAGTTTATATATTCTTCATCAGCATCACGATCTGAACCGAATTAAGTCAGTCCGTCTGTCCGTCTGTCTGTTTCTATGTGAACTAGTTTCTCAGTTTTAAAGCTTTCTTACTGAAACTTTACCAAAAGCTTTGTCCGGATCGACTGACTATATCAGATAGCTCCCATACGAGAGATTGAAAAAATAAATTATCACGCCGTTGTTTTTGATCCTATCAAATTGATTTTTTCCAGATGGTGTTTTTTAACTACTATCGAATTTCGAATTATTATCAAAATCGGATGGTTATATCATATCGCTGCCATAAGAAAGATCGAAAAATCAATATAGAGTTAACAGAAATTAACGGAAAACAAGAAAGGAAGCGGGTATTCAAGTTGTTATTTCCGGTGATATATTTTTTACAGCTCCCCGGACCCGCACACCCCTCGTCCACGTTACTATGGACCCAACCATAGAACTTTTCGTCACTCCTAGATGGCGCCAGGTGGCAACCCCACCGCTAGGATAAGTCGCTACTGGCTTATCACCAGTACGATCGAAAAAAACCACAGATAAATGAATCCTCTTCAAAACTGTAGAGGCTCTATGCTCCCGGGTGGAGATAAAGAATGTAATTTTTATTTTTTACAGGAACTTTTCAATGGCACGGGTAAACTGAATTTGTTTTTGCGACATCCATTGCACGTTGGTCAGGATCGTCTCTAATGCTTGACTGATTGCCTGATCCATATTCTTGAGGTAGTCTTTGGAATTGGCCACAAAGTCTTTGAACTTATTGTAGTCTTTGCGGGTATAAATCTGTGAGGAAAGCGTCAGCAAAATCTCGGACATAGTTTCGGGTTGGGGATGGTAGCTGAAAACATTTGCCGATTTGTAATTTTGTTTTCGGAGAACAAAGGTTTTACTTACAATTTCGAGATGAGTTCTATGTTTTCCATGAAATATTCCTTGGCCAACAAAAAGCCAACCTCAGACGAGGCGATTGACTTAAAGGTTGAAACAGAGTCCGGCTTGCGAATGTCCCCCTTACCTTCGAAGATCCTTTCTATATATCTCTGCACAAGCCACACCTCCTGCGTACAACTCAAAGATCTCAAAATAGTCTGCTTTTCGGCCGCCACATTCGACCGCAGGTATCGCGTCCAAAGGAAGTCCCAGTCCTCGTCGCTCCCGCGCCGAATGGCGGTGCAGTAAACAGTGTCACGAGCAGCCAGAGGCACTGGGTTGTTCTCGTCGGGATTAGCCTCCGATCGCCAGTTGCTGAAGTAGAGCAACGACTGGGCCACACAGTCGGATACCTGGATTGGGCATGCCCAGGCCGCCACTATCAACTTTAAATGGAGCTCATCCTGGTTTCGGATCGATGTTGTATCTGTGTAGTTGATGCCATCCAAATGCTCATAGATCGGGGTGATCAACTTGCTTATAAAGCGCTGAAAATATATGCTTGCAGTCGGCGAACAAAATGTCTTAGAAAAGTTACCTTAAATGTGCCAAAATTCGATGTTGGTTGAATGAGGGAAGAAACAATGTTTAACTGATCTAGAACCGATCTCCAGGGAAGGAGTTCCCGCTCTCTCTTCAGATAACCTATCACCTTAAGCGCGGTGTCGTAGCCCTGCTCTCCTGTCCAGGCGAAATACAGGACATCGCTTAGGAGCTGCGCCCTGTTAACCACATGAATGCTTTCAAAATCATCGCTGTTCAAAGTTGCGATCAGTAGTTCCCAGTTCCTTGCATCGTAGTTTACTTTATAAGGTGATGACAGTCGGGTGTTGAAGATTACCCACTGGTCGGGTCCTGGGAGATCCTCAAGAGTCTTGGGAAGGCTTTTAGCGGTTTTGCTGCACTCCATCCACGCTTTGGGAGCGGTGTTGTTGAAGTCCTTTTCCTCCTGGGTGGTGAAGCTCAGTGGGATCCACCAACATTCACTGCGATCGGTTTTGGATAAATTGGTGTTAAGGAGGTAGCGATCCTGGCTAAAACTTGCAGTCCTCGCCGAATAGTCACGAGTTACATGAAGGATAGGATAGCTTAAAAAAGAAGAGTTTAGTAAGATTGCCATTCTTTTGCCCACCAATTTTGAACTTACCCAGTTTGCAGTATCCAAGAGTCCATGATGGCCTTGATTTCATAATCCTTTGGCAGAATGAAATTTTTGTGGGCAGCTTGAGTGAGTGAATCCCAAAGATCGTCCCGATCGGCGTTCTTATAAGAGTACTTTTCAAGATACGATTTGAGACCGGATCGAAAGGATTCTTCCCCGAGGAACAAGTGCATCATGCGAAGCACCAACGATCCTTTCTCGTAAGAGATCTCATCGAAGCTTTCAAAAATCTGCGAAGCCAATTCAACGGGTCTCGAAACCGGATGACTGCTCTCCAAAGAGTCTATTTTGAAGAAAGTAAGTAAATTAGAATGGGAGTCCAGCTCCACTGAACGCCACTCCGGATGGATGCTCTCAATACACAAACTGGACACATAAGTAGCGAACCCTTCGTTGAGCCAAAGATCGTTCCACCACTTCATGGTGACCAGATTGCCGAACCACTGGTGGGCCAACTCGTGGGCCATGGTATTTGCAATCGATTTTTTGCCCATCAGTGTGGTATATTCAGGGGAGTACAGTAGTGAGCTCTCCGTGTAGGTCACCAAGCCCCAATTCTCCATGGCACGTGCATCAAAATCTGGAATAGCCATTTGATCCATTTTAGGGAGAGGAAACCCAATGCCAAACAACTGCTCGTAGTACTTTAGTACTTTGGGGCCGAACTCGGAAGCAAAGTCACACTGATCGATGGCATTGGGCCTTGCCCAAGTCCGGAAAAGGGGTTTATTGTTCAACGAAGAGAGCTTGTGGATGAAATCATTTACCGAATACACCACTAAGTATGTGGACATCGGCAAAGACTCCTGGAACTCTGTCCAGATATAATCGGGAAGGGTGTCACTGCAAAGGGGTCAACAGTAATTGCAGTATTACTATTTTAAATAGCGTGGCTTACTGTGAGGAAGTTCGGTCAACGGGCATGTTGCTGAGAGCCGTGAACTTCCTGTGATGACCCAGTGTGATCACAAAGGGAGCCTTGTAACCAGGCTCATCAAAGCAGGGAAATGCCAGTCGAGCCGAAGTCGGTTCAAATTGGGTAATGGAGATCCATCTGAAAAAGCACATAGTATACTAATAATTAAACCATTTAGAGGTATCTCCCACCTCGTCTCATTGTGCGCAGGATCCACATAGGAGCTTCGGTAGTATCCCTTAAGTTGATCTTGTAACTCGGCTGAAAACGATACACTCAGCTCATAAATATTGCCAGCCAAGAGTTGCTGACATGTTTTGAAGATATAAAACTCGTGATTGGTATTCACTTCTGTTGATGCTACGCAGTTATCCTTTTTTTCTCCTCCGCTAATTTGGCGAAGAGTAGTCTGTGACTCGTCGATGGCAAGGGTACTCGAGTGAAGCGTAATGTTGTTGGTATTCTCCAGAGCTTCTATTAGGATTTTAACTGTGCCGCTAAAGCGAAACTCTTTCCGATTCTCCAGATGAGTCAAGATGCGTAGATAATACTTTTGTGGTCGAAGAGCTGTTGGCAGCCGGTAGTAGTCATAGTTGGAATCGGCTGCTGCTAAAAACAGTCCAAGTGCCAGAAACAATAACAGAAGCCAATTCATGCCCGAATCTGACGAAACAAGTTTAAATTAAGTAGTACGGTTGTTTTACAAAGTGTTTAATCTAATTAAAGCCGCAAAGGTCACAAGATGGTTTCTCATTTGCCCTTTTTTCCTTAAATGTTTTTTATTGTAAACGTCACCTTTTTTTTATTGAAAACACTTTCTTAGCACTTATCAACAGGATTCTTCGAAACAACACTATCAATGATATTTAATTAGAGTCATTAAAAACAGAAACCAGCCACTAGTAATAACTATTACTTTTAATGATATTTATTAACTATTATTAACTAGTATTTACTTACACCTCTGATCGCAACGGAGAATAAAAAACGAATGCGGTAAATTCATCGAACGAACCAAATATAAAGTTCAGAAGCACATTTCGTTTAGATGGGGAAAAACGAGAGAGAGATTTACTTAGACTCTTTATAATAACACTCAATTTGCGAATTCATAAAATATAATTATGAGCTTTTTTGCTGATAATTTAGAAGTTTCTAATGAAATAATCAGCGTAAAATAAAATTTGTACTCTTGCGAAGCAGAGGGTATTATAATTTCAGTCAGAAGTTTGCAACGCAGTGAAGGAGGCACCTCAGACACCATAAAGAATATATATACTTTATGGGGTCTGAAGTGTTTCCTTTGCTCTGCAAGGATATAAAAATGATAACATCGTTGTTTTACATTAGACAATCATATTTTTTGGAGTATAGAGTCATTTGAAAAGGTTATCTAATGTCGAAATAAATATCATAAAATGTGACTACTATATCATATAGCTGTCTTCGACAGGCGATAATGTTTATACTTGAAATCAGCAGTCGGTAAATGTACATAAATAATTGTTAGAAAAATGTTTTAATTTGTATTATATTATGTGCATTATTGTTATAGTCAATGTTAAATAATTGGTCTTGTTAAAAGCAGAATCCGGTAAACATTTAGTATGAACTTAAGGGACATAAAATCATCACTTTTTAAATTTGTTCAATAACAACTAACAACTTGTGTGGTATTTTAATCTATAATAACCTCTACAAGGGTATAAAAACCATAAGCAAGGTTTGAAATGGCTTTGTTTTCTAAAATACAAGCATGATTTATTGTTCTTTAACATAAATTACAAATTTAATTTTATTAAAACCTGACGACTTTACTATGTAAAGCTGCCATAGGAAAGATTGCAAAGTATATATAAAATAAATAAACACCAAATTATAACGTCGTTTTTTCTTTTTATCATAAAACCATCATTTTTTTCTTAAGACTCTTGAATTACGAATAAGCTTTAAAAAAAAAGCAAATCTAATTATTGATTAAAAATCTGAAAATGTATGAAAATTTGGCATAAGTGGAGAAATACTATAAAATACACCTTATTGCTGACGTTGTAAGGATTGCGCTATCAGTAGGAACCATCAACAGTAGGAATTCTTGTGTATATTGCAGGTGTATAGTCTAAATGTTTTAAAGTTTTCCAGCATAATTTTCAAAATGCAGTAACCTACTTAAGTTGATGTCTAACTCACATTTCAAAATAAATTTACAAGCCACCAAAAAGTATGCAATAACATTTCTTATTAAAAGTTTAATTATTCTTTTCAGCCGAACGGATGCACAGTGCACTGTGGGATGGAGTGATAACATTTATGTAGGGGAGAGTGGGGTAATGTCGTCAGTGCACTGACGATGCATCCGGATGCATCCGTTCGGCTGAAAAGAATAATTAAACTTTTAACAAGTAATATTATTGCATACTTTTTGGTGGCTTGTAAATTTATTTTGAAATGTGAGTAAGACATTAACTTATGTAGGTTACTGCATTTTGAAAATTATGCTGGAAAACTTAAAAACATTTAGACTATACACCTGCAATATACACAAGAATTTGAGTAGAAACAAGATGGTCCCTACTGTTAGCGCAATCCTTACAACGTCAGCAATAGTATTTCTCCACTTATGCCAAATTTTCATACATTTTCAGATTTTTAATCAATAATTAGATTTGCTTTTTTTGAGCTTATTCGTAATTCAAGAGAACAGACGGACAGACCTATTTCGATTCAGATCGTGATGCTAATCAAGAATATATATACTTTATCGGGTCTGAGGTGCCTCCTTCACTGCGTTGCAAACTTCTGACTGAAATTATAATACCCTCTGCTCCGCAAGAGTACAAATTTTATTTTACGCTGATTATTTCATTAGAAACTTCTAAGTTATCAGCAAAAAAGCTCATAATTATATTTTATGAATTCGCAAATTGAGTGTTATTATCAGGGCTAACAAAGTTATGTTCTTAAAAATGTAAAAATATGTATGGATTTATGGACAAAAATGAGAGAAATATGGACGAAATATGGACGAAAAAGTTGACAAATATGGAATAAAATGGATAAATATGGATAAATATAGGTAGTATAGACGAAAAAAGGGATAAATATAGGTATAAAAATGGATAAACGTAGACGATTATATCGATCATATTAACTTTTTATGACAATGAACATTTAGAAATCGCTACAAACAAAAGTGCGCCGTTTGTCTCAAAGATCATTGCAGAACAATATGACATGTTGTGTCAGATTAGTAAAAATAACAACATCGCAAGATGTAACAGGAGCATTTGCATATGCATTCAGTTCAGCAGGTGATAAATTCAGGATAAGATCGTCACCTTCTGTAGAACTATCAATGAGATATAGAATTAATCAATAACTTTACAACACTAGAATTTAAGAGACATAAGAACTGAAAGCATGAAATATGGAATAAAAACTGAATCTTAAAATATAATATAATATATTGTTACATTCGATGATACATATTTTGATTGATTAACGACGCAACGATGTTTTGTTTACATTATTTATTATCTAGTATAAGGCAAACGACAGAAATTTCATAATATTTGAGCCAAACATATCTTTCTATAGGTTTTCAGACACTTTAATGCTCAAAATATGGATTTATTCAAGTGATTGTGTAAAATATGGATTTATAGGAAAAAAGGCGAAAATATGGAAATAAATATTTTTTCATTTAAAAACATAACTCTGTTAGCCCTGGTTATTATAAAGAGTCAAAGTTAATCGCTCTCTCGTTTTTCCCCATCTAAACGAAATGTGCTTCTGAACTTTATATTTGGTTCGTTCGTTGAATTTACCGCATTCGTTCTTTATTCTCCGTTGCGATCAAAGGTGTAAGTAAATACTAGTGGCCGGTTTTTGTTTTTAATGACTCTGAATAAATATCATTGAAAGTAATAGTTATTACTAGTGGCTGGTTTCTGTTGTTAATGACTCTAAATAAATATCATTGATAGTGTAGTCTCGAAGAATCCTGTTGATAAGTGTTAAAATAGTGTTTTCAATAAAAAACGTGACGTTTACATTTAGGGAAAAAAGGGCAAATGAGAAACCATCTTGTGACCTTTGCGGCTTTAATTAGATTAAGCACTTTGTAATACAACCGTACCATTTAATTTAATCTTGTTTCGTCAGATTCGGGCATGAATTGGCTTCTGTTATTGTTGCTGGCACTTGGACTGTTTTTAGCAGCAGCCGATTCCAACTATGACTACTACCGCCTGCCAACAGCTCTTCGACCACAAAAGTATTATCTACGCATCTTGACTCATCTGGAGAATCGGAAAGAGTTTCGCTTTAGCGGCACAGTTAAAATCCTAATAGAAGCTCTGGAGAATACCAACAACATTACGCTTCACTCGAGTACCCTTGCCATCGACGAGTCACAGACTACTCTTCGCCAAATTAGCGGAGGAGAAAAAAAGGATAACTGCGTAGCATCAACAGAAGTGGATATCAATCACGAGTTTTATATCCTCAAAACATGTCAGCAACTCTTGGCTGGCAATATTTATGAGCTGAGTGTATCGTTTTCAGCCGAGTTACAAGATCAACTTAAGGGATACTACCGAAGCTCCTATGTGGATCCTGCGCACAATAAGACGAGGTGGGAGATACCTCTAAATGGTTTATTTATTAGTATACTATGTGCTTTTTCAGATGGATCTCCATTACCCAATTTGAACCGACTTCGGCTCGACTGGCATTTCCCTGCTTTGATGAGCCTGGTTACAAGGCTCCCTTTGTGATCACACTGGGTCATCACAGGAAGTTCACGGCTCTCAGCAACATGCCCGTTGACCGAACTTCCTCACAGTAAGCCACGCTATTTAAAATAGTAATACTGCAATTACTGTTGACCCCTTTGCAGTGACACCCTTCCCGATTATATCTGGACAGAGTTCCAGGAGTCTTTGCCGATGTCCACATACTTAGTGGTGTATTCGGTAAATAATTTCATCCACAAGCTCTCTTCGTTGAACAATAAACCCCTTTTCCGGACTTGGGCAAGGCCCAATGCCATCGATCAGTGTGACTTTGCTTCCGAGTTCGGCCCCAAAGTACTAAAGTACTACGAGCAGTTGTTTGGCATTGGGTTTCCTCTCCCTAAAATGGATCAAATGGCTATTCCAGATTTTGATGCACGTGGAGCCATGGAGAATTGGGGCTTGGTGACCTACAGGGAGAGCTCACTACTGTACTCCCCTGAATATACCACACTGATGGGCAAAAAATTGATTGCAAATACCATGGCCCACGAGTTGGCCCACCAGTGGTTCGGCAATCTGGTGACCATGAAGTGGTGGAACGATATTTGGCTCAACGAAGGGTTCGCTACTTACGTGTCCAGTTTGTGTATCGAGAACATCCATCCGGAGTGGCATTCAGTGGAGCTGGACTTCCATTCTTATTTACTTACTTTCTTCAAAATAGACTGTCTGGAGAGCAGTCATCCGGTTTCGAGACCCGTTGAATTGGCTTCGCAGATTTTTGAAAGCTTCGATGAGATCTCTTACGAGAAAGGATCGTTGGTGCTTCGCATGATGCACTTGTTCCTCGGGGAAGAATCCTTTCGATCCGGTCTAAAATCGTATCTTGAAAAGTACTCTTATAAGAACGCCGATCGGGACGATCTTTGGGATTCACTCACTCAAGCTGCACACAAAAATTTCATTCTGCCAAAGGATTATGAAATCAAGGACATCATGGACTCTTGGATAGTGCAAACTGGGTAAGTTCAAAATTGGCGGGCAAAAGGATGGCAATCTTACTAAACTGTTCTTATTTAAGCTATCCTATCGTTCATGTAACTCGTGACTATTCGGCAAGGACTGCAAGTTTTAGCCAGCAACGCTACCTTCTGAACACCAATTTATCCAAAACCGACCGCAGTGAATGTTGGTGGATCCCTCTGAGCTTCACCACCCAGGAGGAAAAGGACTTCAACAACACCGCTCCCAAGGCGTGGATGGAGTGCAGCCAAACCGGAAAAAGCCTTCCCAAGACTCTTGAGGATCTCCCTGGACCCGATCAGTGGGTAATCTTCAACACCCGACTGTCATCACCTTATAAAGTAAACTACGATGCAAGGAACTGGGAACTACTGATCGCAACTTTGAACAGCGATGATTTTGAAAGCATTCATGTGGTTAACAGGGCGCAGCTCCTAAGCGATGTCCTGTATTTCGCCTGGACAGGAGAGCAGGGCTACGACACCGCGCTTAAGGTGATAGGTTATCTGAAGAGAGAGCGGGAACTCCTTCCCTGGAGATCGGTTCTAGATCAGTTAAACATTGTTTCTTCCCTCATTCAACCGACATCGAATTATGGCACATTTAAGGTAACTTTTCTAAGACATTTTGTTCGCCGACTGCAAGCATATATTTTCAGCGCTTTATAAGCAAGTTGATCACCCCGATCTATGAGCATTTGGATGGCATCAACTACACAGATACAACATCGATCCGAAACCAGGATGAGCTCCATTTAAAGTTGATACTTGCGTCCTGGGCATGCCCATTCCAGGTATCCGACTGTGCGGCCCAGTCGTTGCTCTACTTCAGCAACTGGCGATCGGCGGCTAATCCCGACGAGAACAACCCAGTGCCTCTGGCTGCTCGTGACACTGTTTACTGCACCGCCATTCGGCGCGGGAGCGACGAGGACTGGGACTTCCTTTGGACGCGATACCTGCGGTCGAATGTGGCGGCCGAAAAGCAGACTATTTTGAGATCTTTGAGTTGTACGCAGGAGGTGTGGCTTGTGCAGAGATATATAGAAAGGATCTTCGAAGGAAAGGGGGACATTCGCAAGCCGGACTCTGTTTCAACCTTTAAGTCAATCGCCTCGTCTGAGGTTGGCTTTTTGTTGGCCAAGGAATATTTCATGGAAAACATAGAACTCATCTCGAAATTGTAAGTAAAACCTTTGTTCTCCGAAAACAAAATTACAAATCGGCAAATGTTTTCAGCTACCATCCCCAACCCGAAACTATGTCCGAGATTTTGCTGACGCTTTCCTCACAGATTTATACCCGCAAAGACTACAATAAGTTCAAAGACTTTGTGGCCAATTCCAAAGACTACCTCAAGAATATGGATCAGGCAATCAGTCAAGCATTAGAGACGATCCTGACCAACGTGCAATGGATGTCGCAAAAACAAACTCTGTTTACCCGTGCCATTGAAAAGTTCCTATAAAAAATAAAAATTACATTCTTTATCTCCACCCGGGAGCATAGAGCCTCTGCAGTTTTGAAGAGGATTCATTTATCTTTGGTTTTTTTCGATCGTACTGGTGATAAGCCAGTAGCGACTTATCCTAGCGGTGGGGTTGCCACCTGGCGCCATCTAGGAGTGACGAAAAGTTCTATTGTTGGGTCCATAGTAACGTGGACGAGGGGGTGTGCGGGTCCGGGGAGCTGTAAAAAATATATCACCGGAAATAACAACTTGAATACCCGCTTCCTTTCTTGTTTTCCGTTAATTTCTGTTAAATCTGTATTGACTTTTCGATCTTTCTTATGGCAGCGATATGATATAATCATCCGATTTTGATAATAATTCGAAATTCGATAGTAGTTAAAAAACACCATCTGGAAAAAATCAATTTGATAGGATCAAAAACAACGGCGTGATAATTTATTTGTTCAATCTCTCGTATGGGAGCTATCTGATATAGTCGGTCGATCCGGACAAAGCTTTTGGTAAAGTTTCAGCAAGAAAGCTTTAAAACTGAGAGACTAGTTCACATAGAAACAGACAGACGGACAGACGGACTGACTTAATTCGGTTCAGATCGTGATGCTGATGAAGAATATATAAACTTTATGGGGTTTTAGGTAGCTCCTTCACTGCGTTGCAAATTTCGGACTGAAATTATAATATTCTCTGCAAGGGTATAAACCATATAAAAAAATAGTTAATTTCTCCGCACATCCGCACACCATGAAAAAATCAAGTTAAACTAAAATGGTATCATAATTATTACTTCTATAAATTTTTTTTACAAATTAACAGGAAAGCGTGTAACAACTGAGTTTGGGCTTACGAACTAACCAATAAAATACTTGCACACAGACCTTAGACGTACGTGAAAGATCGTTACGGATTCAAATGCAGCAGAAAGCCCAGGAACGACCTTCTAGTTGCGCTTGCCGTTGAGGCGATCCTGGATCTCCTGCAGGCTGAGGCCCTTCGTCTCCATGACGACGAGGAGGACGAAGAAGAAGGCCACCACCATGCAGATGGCGAACAGCCAGAAGGCGTAGTAGGAGCCGAGGGCGTCCAGGCTGGGGTAGAAGAAGGTCACCAGGAAGCCGAGGGTCCAGCAGGTGCTGGCCACCACCGAGGAGGCCACCGACTTGATGTTCGCCGGGAACATCTCGCCGAGCACCGCCCACGGGAGCGGTCCGAATCCGGTGCAGTAGACGATGTTGTAGATGATCAGGGCGGGAACTGGCATCCAGACCACACTGGAGATGTCCCCCTTCACCAGCTGCATGAAAAAGAAGTAGCCCAGCGCCGCCAGTCCGAGGGACATCACGCTGGAGGAGGTCAGCAGCATCACCTTCCTGCCCAGGCGGTCGGCCACCAGAGGCGTGAGTGCCGAGGATCCCACCTGGACACACCCGATGATGATGGTGGCGATGGCCGGGTCCAGTCCGGTGTTGGCACTCGCGAATATCGACTGGCTGTTGAAGAGCACCACGTTGATGCCCGACAGCTGCTGGAAGGAGATCAGGCCGGCGCAGATGAACAGCGCCCTCCGATTGCCGGCGTTCTTGAACAGGTCCATCATGGTGCCCTGGTTGGCCATCGCCTCCTCCACGTTCGCCTGGATCTCGGCCATCTCGTCGTGCACGCCCTCGGCACTCTGGCCCCGGAGGAACTGCAGCGACTTCAGCGCCTCCGTCTTGCGACCCTTCCCGGCGAAGAAGTACGGGCTTTCCGGCATCAAGTAGAACACCACGTCAAACACCACCGGCACCACAATGCAGCACCACTGCAGGGCCTGGTAGGAAACGTAGGGTCCAATGGCGTACACATACAGAATGCCACCTGAGTGAAAAACATATTTGGTTAGTTATTATTAGATATTGTTGAAAAAATAAGAAAACAAACTTTCCATTGCCTTTAAAAGAATAATTCGATTAACTACAATATTATGAAAATAGTCTATAAAATATGTATCGTATTGGTGTGATTTATTAATGAAAAAAAAAATAACCAAAGCAAACTTTCCAATAAGCTAGAAAATGGTAAAAAAAAAAGCAAGAAATTCAAAATATTAATTTATATTACTATAACAATTCATAGAGAAAACAATCCAAATTGTTTTGCCTAATTTTTAAAAATATTTTCTGAATTTTTGAATTTTAAAAACTTCAAAATAACTTGCATAATTTTTAATAAACTGTAATTAGAAATATGCAATATGATAAGGTTTATATGGCAATGATGCTTTAAAATGTACTATTGTCACAAAAAATGTTAATATACCTACATAACTTTTAAAAAATGGTACAAACATTTTATAAGTTACTTGTCAATTTAATCCCTTATCAGTATACTTTAAACTATTTAAACTACTTGGTATACCTAAGTCACTGCTATAGTATCCAATTGATGTAAAAATTAACATTAATTTAAGTAGTCGACTTACCCACAATAAAGAGCTGCATCAGCGATCCAGTGGCACCGCGCACATTGTCAGTGGAGATTTCACCCACGTACATCGGCTGCACAGTCATCACGAATCCGACACCGAAGCCCTGGATCAGTCGGGACATGTAGAGGATCCACACCTCGGAGGCCACCATGTTAAGACCAAAAGCCAGGACGAAGAACAGGCTGCTGGACAGGAGCACCCACTTGCGACCAATGCGATCTGCCATTGGACCGGCGACGAAGGGGGCCACCAGGGCTCCAATGGCAATTAAGGACGAGATCCAGGCATCTTCCTCGGAGGTGATGGGCCTGCTCAGCGGCGAGTCCGAGGTGTCTTCGCTCTTCAGTTTGGGTCCAATTGGAGAGGTCCAACCGAGGGTTGTCCCCACCACAAAGGCGGATAAGTTGGCTAACAGGGAAACAATCAAAAATTAAATAGAGGGACAACTCATTTCCACATTTGAGAACATATAAAATAAGTTCCTAATTAAACATATGAATTATTAGATTTACTTTTATTAATACTCATTTGATTTTATTTTTTATGTTTCATCGAAAGTTAAAGATAAATTTGAAAAACCTTGAGTGAATTGAAATAAATAGTCTTAATAGCAATAAAAATAACTTAATATAATTGAATTAAAATTGACTAATAAAAAGTCTTTAATTTTTAAATGACTTTTTTAATGACTGATCTTAATGGCTGTAAGTAACACGAGTATATTCTTTCAGTTATTAATTAACATATGGACTAATAAACAGTATTAAAAAGTGAAATAAATTACATATATACTTCCAATAAATTTCAAAAATATTTTTTGGTGCAAAATATTATAACTTACCCGCGACGGCGGCCAGGAAAATGCGACCGGACTTGACCGGTTCGGGCGACATATTTCGCGTGTTTCCTTCGCGTATCTGAAACGTACTGACTTCCGTGTAGGAGTACTGCACTCGGCTCTCCTCTTCTTGGCTTATTGAGGGCATCTGGCCGATGTAAAGTGTACAAAAGCAGCTGCAAGAGCGTAAGAGCAAAAGCGAAAGTCCTCATTAGCGATTCAGTTGACTTGGATTAATGATGGTAGCTCCATTTGTAATTCAATCGGGTGTAAGGTCAAACGGTTGGAACTTAATACGGGTCACATTTTTCGGATTTCTAGCCGTGACTCATGCCACAATATGTGAAGGGAAGCCAAAAAAACTCCCCACATTCCGTTCCACTACATTCACCAAAAGTTCGTCACATTATCTGCCAATTTTTAAATTATCATGCTATCAAATCATTAGCCATAAAAATCTATACACATCATTCGGAGTTAACGTAAATAATAAATAATTAAACGAAGGCGGAACTGCAGTCTGTTCATTATTTAATGCGATAAATTACCAAATTATTTTAATAGCACTACGGACTAAGCTCATACAAAATTAATTTTGTCGCATTTGAATTGTTTATTAATTTATTTGTTCCGTAACTGCTTGTGTAATAACGGTTGACACTTTTCACTGATTTTTGTAATGACATCGGCAGAAAGTCAGAAAGTTATCTGGAGGAATTTAGACACATTGATTCTGGTATTTATTTTTCCTTTCACTTTGCACATCCTTACAGAAAAAAGTCCTTCAAAACGAAGAAAGTCCCACTCGAGCAGGATCCGTAATTATGGTTTTAACCGACGAGGTCTCCCTGGAGAACTGTAATGCTGTTCGTATCGCCGAATCGCGCGAATTTAAAGATTTTCCGCCTTATATGGCAGGCATTCGAAATCAATACACGTCCAATAATGCTTACCCACACTCGACTTGACAAGTGCTCATACACGTGCATTATCTTATCAGGGTAGCGCCTCCCGATCCGTGCCCAACCCATCTATAGGCTACACAGGAAAGTGTAGTATCATTAGTATAGTACTATACTACATTATCATCGGAGCTGCCTTCTCCCAGTCCACACTCTCTCTGTCATCGGATCGAAATCTCAAACCCATTTTGTTGCGGCGATTTAGCTGGTTGTTTTGGTCGGAGCTGCGCTATTTGTGTGCATTTTGCACTTGAACTGGCCCATATACGTATTCCCTCATGTGTAATGCAATGTGATAAGGTGGTGCAGCGAAAACTCTGCCCCAATCTCAATTTGTTTGTTTTGCCGACCCGCCGGCAAAAGGGCGTCCGACCCACTTCAGTCCTGGTATACTCAAAAAAAATTACCGGTTGTCAATTTACTAGGAATCTTTTGTCAGGAAACAACAATTTCCAACGATTTTGTTTTAACAAATTCCAAGAACCCTTTTTAAATTTGTCATAATTTGTTTAACATCTTGGATAAGTATTAAATGGAAAAAATCTACCCTAAGAATCAAATAGTTAAACTTATTAGTAGTGACTCATTTCAAGAAGAACTAAGATTTTTGGGTGCATTTTAATCTGTATCGCCACTTGCCTCCAAAGGGCAATTGTTTCTTGTCTTCCTTGTAAAATCCAATCCTCTAATACTAACGATTGCGTAATTATTGTTTTGATTATGATTGGTAATTATTGAGTAATTTCCGTTGCACTTCAAAGTCAGTGTCCTTGGAGTTATTTGGCTTCAAATCGAAGGTGGTGACACAATTTCTGTGAATAAGGCGAGACACGTGAAGGGGGGAGTGAAAAGCTCTCAGAATATCGCCGATTGTCATATCTGCTTAGGCAGTATCTCAACAAGTTAATGGTCAAGCAACACCTGGGCCAACTAAATAAAGCACTTAAGATTGATCCTCCTATTGCAAAATTACTTTGGAAAGGAAAACCCCCCTCGTTGCAATACTCGTAATCATTACGCAAAGGTTTTATTCATATTTTGACATTGAATTGTCATACATAAAGTAAACATATTTGTTACTTCCTGCAAGGTGTCAACGTACAAGCAAAATTGATTAAACAAAAATTATAATACATTCGCACGACTTTAATTTATGGTGGTGCTTGTACGAAATTCTTCGTTGGGGTTGTGGCAATAATTCAAACAGATTTTTCTAATCTTAAGTTCCGTGAAACGGCGTTTCTCGTATTTCCCCGACTTCAGATAAGCATTCAATTTTTCGGACACACAATTTTATAGCCTTCATCCTATGAATGTTAACTATTCCATTCACCGAAACAGTTGACATCGGTTTCTGTTCATAATGTCAAAATTTTCCGTTGTCACTTGGTATTTTATGTTTAATTTTTCATAAAAATTATTTAATAAGCAAATATTTTTTGGAAGTATGGTTCTTTTAATAATATTGACTTTTAAATGTTTTTGACAAATAGGGGCGTTTTTTGAAATTGTGATCAGGGTGAAAATGTGATCAAGCTGTGAAATAATAAAAACAAACTGCCTTCCCTAAAAATAAAGTAATTAAAAATTCTCAAGTGCTATAATATTCTTAACACATTGACACAGATCAGTTATTTAGTGGCGAGACAGACACGTTACAAATTTAATTCGAGACATTTTGATAAGGCAATATTTCAGCGACTCAAATATTAAGTGTTGTTTTCATCGAACGAGTAAATAGAGATACGGATTCCAACTGCCGGCGACAAACACAAAAATTGGTGACATACATTGACAGCCTTTGATTACCAAATACATTGTGAAGTTGGCTTTAATCTTTGAAGGCCGTTGCCTTTTTTCTTTACTTTGGTAAAAATTTCCTCTAAGCAAATAAACAAAACCATTTATTAAAAAACTACAGCACTTTTTAAAAATTATTGTTGAAGTTCATTATTTATATTGTTATATATATAAATTTGGGCGAAATGAAATTATCAATCTCAAATAATCTAAAATATTCAACCTAAGTTCAGCACTTTCAAATTTCTAAATCTATTTTAAAATTATATTTAAAGTTCATTCGATCTTGCACGTAAGCACAAAATTGAATTTTATTGAATATATGCATTTTAATACTCAATAAAAAATTAATAAAATGATAAAAAAAAATCGATTAATTCTGTTCTGCCCAAAGCTTATTTTATTAACCATTCGCCATGTAATTCATATTTTAGTTTATTAATTAAACGTCAGAAAAAACCTTGCATAAACTATTTTAAAGACACCATATGAATATTTACGAGAATGAATTACTGGATCCTTTAGGACACGCAATAGAATGCAGTTAGAGAAACTGAGGACCGATCGCCACGAAACCAAATGGAAACTAACGAAAGAGTTATCAAGCTGATTGGGGGAAACTTTACCATCGCAACTTCGTTCATGCTCGCTGCGATAATGCGTTTTGGGCCTAATCAGAACTCACATTATCATATTATGTTTGATATTTATAATAATTCAAGGCGACACTTCATGATCAATTATCGGCACTCGGCGGCGGGTAACAAATCAATGACGAAAGGCACTCCGGTGATACACTTATTACTATTAAATAGGTCGTTCGACTCACCCATTTTGACGGCGAAATGATCAATTAGTGGGCAACCAATGTAACACTTTGTGGCTGGAGTACGCGGCGTATACTTAATTCGAGAACTTATTCAGTATCTGGACTGCAGAGAGATCGGAGCTGAGTGGTTGGCTGGGCTGTCTGGATTGAAATGATGTCGGATCGCGGGTGTTTTGGCGCTTTTGTGTGCTGTGTTGGGCATGCAAAAATTATGACAGAAGCATTTATACTCGTACTTAGTCGCAAGTGAGGCTAGATAATACATTTTGTTTACTGTGGAGGAAGCTCACTCACACAGGCGCCGTTGCGGAGAGCCAGACTTATCGCAGACACGGGAACTATCATATCGAATTAAACGCGACCGTTGAACCAAGCTCGGCTGAGAGAGTCGAGCTCGGAATTTTGCGATTTTTATCAGCGTTTTGTCTGCCCAGTCGACAGCAATTGGTCGCTGCTCCCGCAGCCTTTTTTGAGAATAGAACAAAAAACAAACAAGCCCATAAAAAAAAACAGATTTGAGCTCGGTTAAGGTGTTCACAGACCTCTAGTTCCGGACAGCGGTGTGGAAAACTTTAGAGCAATTTGGCCGATCGGTATCACTGTCCGCCCGGCCGCCGGCGTGAATCAGCGTTGAGGAAGTTAATTAGCATGCACCAGACCCGATTTCGGGGGGATTGACTTGTTCCGATGGCTTATCGATACAGTTAGTACATACACAATTAGTCGCCGGCTAGTCGGCTAACTTCGTGCGTGCCCCGCACATCTGGTAATTGAAATATTCGAATGCTGTACGCACTTTAAGTGTTTTTTATACCGAAGCGGGGATTCTGGTTAACGCCATGCGGAACCGGCAACATGATGTACATGGGAATTACCGGCCAGAAGCCGGTGCGTTTATTTATGTCTGCTAAATTTAAATAGTGAAAGTAAATTCCGTTTGGGATATTGAGTTATGATAAGGCGGCAGTAGCACTTGTTACAAACTGGTTATCAGCACTTGACAAAACTTAAATATGAATAAAAACATTACTGATTCGTTGCGTTCTGTAAATGGAAAAACGGGAGGCTCGTGTTTTTGCCAATTTAAAAATAAGTTGCATTTATTTAATTTCCATTTTAGGATTCTAGAATTCTACCAAATACAATGTGTAACCAAAGTTATCGTATATGGGAGTGCTTTTATTGATGCATTTAGATTAACAATTACACTCTTTATCGAGTAAACAAACAAACACAGCCCCTATTCGTAGAGGTAAACAGACAATAAATCGATAATTCCATCATAAATTCAAGTGCTACCTATAGTGGTAAAGCTTGTTTAGCGAGTGATAACGAAACAAATAGCTTGAATATACATATAACACTCGTAGATAGTAAACAAGAACATCAAAGCCATTACAAAAATTAAAATATTATTGGTGCCACAAAAACTTCTTTAATACAGCGTTTATAAGTCCCTTAAAATAATAACATAAATTTAGTTCTTTGTAATATAAAAACTTTGATTGGATGCGAGTTATATTCGTAAATATGACTAAATTGAAATGTTAGCCCTGGTAATCACAGGACGTATGTTATGTACCCTTAAATTTATTACCATTTACGTTTCACATTTAAAAAAACTTTGTGATTGGATTAGTACTTGAAGAATGTGAATGGAATAATCCGATCTTTTTATAGCTTGTTTATTTCTGTTCATTAAAATTAAAAATTCTGTTTTATCTATTTCTACAACTGTTAAGATTGACGTTTGTGCACTTTGTAAAAGCTAATCCGAATCCTATCGACCCAACCGATTTATTTACCAGACACTCGAACGTCGAACGGCAATTGAAATTATCGGCAATAGCTGTAAACTTCGTATGCCTAATGATATCCAGCAGCATTATCTCCTCGCCCCCCTGCAGTATTTGTCATTTGTGTTTATCTTGGGGCTTATTGTGCTTATTGTCGACAACCTGTTGAGCATGTGAGCAAATATCCAAGCTTCCTGTAATTGCATTAAATATTTGCCTAGAAATGCGGCTACCGATCGAAGGGGGATAGTGCTGGCACGATTTCAATTTGCATTTTGTGCGTCGATCCGACGACTGCGATGTCGATCAATCAATCAGCAGCCGATGACCTTCACAGTGACCATGACGAGGAGGGGTTGGAGCTAAGGGGAGCGGCGCGGCAGTGGCGCCAAGAGTGGGCGTGGCCTGTCGCCCACGTCCAGCCGTTCGACTGGGATCGCCTGATAGTGGGCCAATTTCGCATTTTAGGGGCGTTCCCGGGACCCTCGCTTATCGCTATCAATATCAATCTGACCCACAAACACCGGGGCTCCTGTATAGTTTACTTTTATTATCAAATATATGTACATCAACTATAATTAGTACATGGAAGTGTGTGTATATGTCTTTGCCATCTTAACGTAACGTTTGCATACAGTGGGAAGTTTCTACAAAAGGACAGCACAAATAAACCCCTTCGAATCCTATATAACTATGGGGTCGTGACCATGAGTACTTAGGAACTAGTTGACCTATACTAAATTCAAACACTCTGAACATTGTGGAACATCAATAAGTTATGTTGTACAAATGGTTGCTTGTGCCTTTGCAATAGATTTTCCCTACTGGCTTATCTTAGATTTAAACGGAAGAAGCCATGAAATCCATCAAATATAGTATTTACTTGAGTACAAAACTAAAAATAATTGTTGTGCTTGCAAAGGCATCAAACTAGTTCCCTCCAAAACTGCTACACTACTTTTTGGCATTGGCTGCTTATCCACCTACGAGTTCAATGGCATTCAGCTGGGCTAACTAAAAAAGCGGGATGTTCTTCCCTTAGCGACCATTGAGCCAACTCTGGATTTGGCTGGCGGTCTTGCCCTTGGTCTCCTGCAGGACGAGCGCCACGTAGACGGTGGCCACCGCCATCCAGGCGCTGAAGAACCAGAAGGGCACGTCGTCCCCGAACTTCTGCAGGGAGCCGAAGCACCAGGTGACCAGGAACACGCACACCCAGTTGATCATGACGGTCAGCGAGACGGCGGTGCCCTTCACGTCCGGCAGGAAGAGCTCGCCCATCATCATCCAGGGAATGGGGCCGTAGCCCACCGAGAAGCTGACGATGAAGAACACCACGCAGATGAGCGGCAGCCACCCGATGGAGGCGGCTCCTCCGTTCCCCTTGATGGTGTAGTAGGCTCCCAGCATGGCCAGGCAGACTGTCATCACCGTGCTGCTGAAGACCAGCAGGATCTTGCGGCCGGACTTCTCGATGAGCAGCGAGGAGGTGAGGGTCATGATCACCTGCACCACGCCCACGATTATCGAGCAGATGCTGGGGTCCAGGGAGCTGCCCGCCGACTGGAAGATCGAGTCCGTGTAGAAGATCACCGCGTTGATGCCCGAGAACTGCTGGAAGACCATCAGGAGCACCGAGATCACCAGTCCGTTGCGGGAGGCGCGGTTGCTAAAGAGGTCCATGATGGAGGCGTCCGCCCCGGTCTGGTCCAGGTCGTTCTGGATCACCTGGATGGCGCTGCTCGAGTCGCAGTACTTGCCCCACAGCCACTTGAGGGAGCGGTTGGCCGCCACGCGATCACCCTGCAAGAGCAAAGGAAGGAAGGTTCAAAACTGGATCAGTATCATACATTAATATAATATAGGTATGTGTAACAGAAAGAAAAGATAACCCTTGCATCGTAGCACTAGTCAATGCTTTTTTTACTTTCGTAGCCTTTAAGGAACCTTCCCATATTTAATAAATATATTAAATCCGACCCTGTCTGGTATTTGTATGCACTAATACTTATTTACGATGTTTTTTCTTGTATGCTGTATACAGGCACGTATCCAGGGATTCAAAAATTTTTTCTATTTAAGATTTTTCATTAAAAAGTCTTCAGTAGAAAAAACCTGACCTAACAGGAATAATAAAAGATCAAACGTCACGTACTGATTAAAGATTGATGTGTGATTTGCCTTTTTCTGAATTTATTCGAATAAGTCCACATTTTTTATTGATTTTTGTCCTTGAGCCGAGAGAGAGAGTTTGAGAAAAGGTCAAACTATCTAAGCAATAATCAGTAGAGCTCATTAGCTATCATTTTCTTTCTCATTTCTATCTGCTTTCCTTGGTTCGCTTACCCTTTTAAGCAGATAGACAGGAGTTTCGGGCAGGAAGAACAGACCGACCATGAGCAGGATTGGTATGGTGAGGCAGAGCATGCTTAGGGTTGTCCAGGAGACCATGGCTCCCACCACGTAAACGAACAGGATGCCGATCGTGAGGAGCAGCTGGAACAGGGTGCCCAGGCTGCCGCGAATGCTGGTCTCCGCAATCTCCGAGATGTACATGGGGGCCACCACGCAGAAGCTGCCAGTAGATATACCTGAGGAGAGACCATTATTAAACCGATTCCAGCAATGAAATCTCCTTTACCTACCAATCAAGAACCTTCCCACATAAAGCCATCCGACCGTCTGTCCAAAGCTGATCGAAAGCCATGCCAAAATGAAGGGCACATCCATGACCATGGCAGTATAGCGTCTGCCGATCGTATCAGCTATATATCCAGAGGGCAGGGCTCCAAACAGAGCACCCACCGCCAGCAGAGATCCAACCCATGTTTCTGCAAAAAAAAAAAAACAAGCAATATTAGATAATCTGCATGTTCGGAACTTATCAAAATACCCATAATTAGCTACCGCGGAAAAGTCATGGAGAGCTTTTCCCTCTATCGATGACGTATGGTCCCCATGTACGAGTTTCGTAATCTATCTATATCTATCACGTAAATTCTAGCCACTTGAAACGACAATGCAGGTATATTAGAGGGCTTAAGACTATAAAACCCGAGCCACTTCCATAAAAATCCCATTTGTTTGCCCGACAAATACCCCCTAAAAAACTAAAAACCAAAATTATTAGAACTTTTCAACAAAATTTCTTCATGATTAAGGAATACTTTTTTGGGTTTTATATCAAAAGCAGGACAGATTAGATAAATATATTTTTGAAACATTTTTTTTCAGTGTCAGGGTACTTTAGCTGAAATATACTCCTTGAAAGTCTTAAATAATGTCTTATCTGTGTCTAGAAAAACCATATTTTCGCCCTTCAAGTAAGGTACTTACTTTGCGTATCGGTCAGTAAAACTTCACTACTACTGGGAGTCGGACTAGTTGCATTCGCAAATAATGATTCATTGAATGTGATTTGGGTTTGGATTTGAGTTTGAATTTGAGTATTAGGTGTGAATGTTGAGTTATTGGTTGTTGAGTTGGTGGCTGTTGAGTTCGCAGCAGTGATTTGTGGTAAAACAGGACTCGTCCAGGCCAAAGCAGTTCCGGCAGCAACCGCACCCAAGCAAACTGTAAGTATTTAAATGATTCTTCATAGCAACACATCAGGAATATAAGTTCGATCTCCTTACTTATCATCGCCGCCAGATATTGACGGGTCTTCGAAGTCTTGACCCCCACGCCCTCTTGAAGGAGATCGTAGTTGATCGGATTGCGGGAGTTCGGGTCACCATCCTCCTGACTGACAGTCTGCAAAAGAAATCCAATCTGTATACAATCTGACAAATTCATTCGCATTATTACAACTCCTGTTGACCGGAGACTCTAGTCATAATGATAACACTCGCTGCACTTTTCACTTTCCTCACTGGCCTAGTTATGCTAATAGGAAAATGCCTAATGTTTCTGTGGACTTTGCTAAAAACAGTACACTCTTGTATTAAAGTTGCCAGAACCCTAAAGAAAGTGCCAACTATGAACGACTTAAAATCTCAATTCAAAGAGATGTCCCTTGGCAAAGCAAAAAATATTTTGAAAGATAAATTCAAAAGTTCTTAAAAAATCATTTGTTGTAAACAAAACAAAAATAAATGAGGGACCAGAAAATACCTTTCCTGTTATATAGAAACGAGTTTTCAAAAGTTTATTGGCAGTCAAAAGTTATATTTTCTTCTAAAAAATGTTATTGATAGGCTATAATCAAATGTTTCATTTTTTTGCATTTCACAAAATGTATAAAGAATATTAACTTTATCAGCAAGTTCAGGAAAAAACAATCCATAGGTACACTACAAATTTTAAGCTTGACAAATTAACATTATTGACAAATTAAAAACTCCTCCGAGAATGGCTTTTTATTTGGTTTTGGAATTCCTTTACCTGCCACCAACGAGCCATTGCGCGGACCACCTTTTCCGAATCCATCCGAGATTCGCCCGATTTCCGGGTTCTTTAACAACGCCTTATATAAGAGAACGCACTGTGCCAAATTTGATGGCGCTTTGTTGGTGTAAAAAACACTGTTTTATGGTTTGTATATATCGGCTTATATATTTCACTTATTTTTATCGTCTCCCATTAATTATCTTAGAAAAGCGCTCCTGAGTATATAAATATATTTTGTTTTGATTTTTCCGCTAAATTTAGTGGCTGCCTCGGGGGCAGTGGATTGTCTCGTGCGAACACCTCGAGAAGACTGAAACGTTGGGGTCTTCGAAAAAACGTATTTTCATCTCGAATCTTGGCGAAAATTCTTCTATTGTGGATAGAACTTTTATTTTATCTGGCGCTTGTGTCGGCATTTCGTTGGATTGCCAGAAGATTACGCGCATCGGATGCAGTCGAATCTTTTGTTTTACGTCAGAGACAAATGGATTTACCCTCGAAATTTGTTACAATTGCACAGGCAAATGTGATGCTAAGTAAACAACCTGTTAATAAGATCCCTCAAACATACAAATTAATCAAGCAATCGAGATTAAGAGAACCAATTGGCATTGTCATATTATTTGTTCGTCAATTTAAAGCTATTTCTCAAGCGAAACTAGGCAGATATTACGCATACGCCACCGCACCAGAGTGATCAAAGTCCAAATACACGAATACTTCCTACAATGCACTCGCCAGTTAAAATTAAATTGCTAAATGCATTTCGGGTGCGTTTCCGATGCACTCGCCAAGTGCCGGCATCGAGAACCAAATCCGTCCGGTGTTCTCCGCCCGTAAATAGAAGCTTGTCTCCCAACAGATGACCAGTCATAAACACGCTCCTTATGAGATTGATCCCTGGTGGATGTGCAAGCGACCGTTTAAAATGTTATTAAAACGGAATGTCCAATTATGAAATAAAGCACGTATGTTCAGCTTAATGGCGTCAAGTGCATGCCAAAAGAAACCTGTCGCCGCATTCACACCCAAACAAGTCGCACACCCGCCGGCGGAGCGAGCGAGAGGTGCACAGATCGCGAGAGAGATAGCGAGAGGGGGTCAGAACGAAGCAGACACACCCACCATGCACTGACCAAAAAAATTTTGAAGAGGCAAACTTGTATATTAAATATAAACGAACGAATTTAAGTAATATGTAACGAGGTTCAAAAGTAAGAATCTTAACGTTTTTTATTTAAACTTAATTTTCTAGCGTAAACATATTTTATTGTAGCATTTAATACTTAAAAATGGTTTAACTAATTTAAGTGGTGAAAGAACTAGTATTTTTAGTATTAAGTATTAGTATCTTTTTGGGATTATTCAACAAAAATGTTAATAAATGTAGAGAAAAGTTTGGTGTATGGAGTGCAACAAAACTAAAAATATGACTTTGGAGTGCATTTAGTGTCACACTAGTATGACGATGCATTTTTCGCCAGTGTACGTATAGCGGTGCACATCGACATCACATGCTAATTAGTTTGCATCGTCTGCTTTGCTCTGTTTACTTTGTTTCTGCACCTCCTTTCTTCGTTTTCCCGATGTCAAGTTCAGCGAGTGCCTTGTGCCATGTGCCACTGCATTCGGGAGGCCTGTTCCCAAGCACTTGCCCCGATTTCCGACTATAGTACCCACCTATTTACATACATAGATACGTATTTATGCCTTCGAAATGTACGAGGGCCGGCTGCACTTTTATGTTCAATGCTTCCGCCACACGCCCACATTTTCCTTGGCTTTATTGTGCCCGAGCCATTGCTGCTCACTCAGTCGATAGACAATATCTTTTATTGACGCAATTCCCTTAATTCGCTCAAGTCCATTGCCCATGCAGTAATTAAAGCGATATTGCTGCCCTGTATTGTATTGTTTACCCTTGACTACCGCTCCTGTTTAAAGGTGTGCTGTGCATCTGGGAACTCCTAAATATAGACTATGGAAATGACCAAAACCTAATAAACTATCTTTTAAGTGGCTCAGTGGCTAACGCTTTTGCGTCGCCATTCCATTGTTCTTGGTCAATTTGAATGAATAAGAAATTGATAAGCTTAAAAGCTAGACGTTTTAGAATGGTAATTTTCTATGGCTTTTACTTCAATCGAATGTAATGCTTTTTGAGAAACAGTCTTGGATAAAAAACGAGAGACAAACTAGTTTTTAAATAATAATTATGTGGAAAGACTTCTAAATGTTAAGCAAATAACTCACAAAAAAAAAATAAACGACCATCTGCGAATGGCATTACTTTCTGTTATTGTGTTTTAGTGTATTTACTCATTGCCTTACACTGAATAAATGGAATGTATTATTAATTATTTTTAAATACAAAAGCCTCTGCCTTTTTTAATGTCTTTTTGTAACGTAGTCAAAGGTTTTGAACTCGCTTAAGCCGTTTTTCAGTATATTTACTTCCGATCGAAAAATTGCATATAAAATAAAGTAAATTTCGCCCGCCTGTAAATGCGAATTACATTTTAGCGGTTGCGATGGGCCTTGAAAGGCTGAAACTGCTGATATGTAAATATTATTATTTCGCCCTGCAGATTGCTCGACAGTCCAGTGCAAAACAGATAAACCCACTGTAAATAAGTCAGTAAACATAAACAACAAAGAGTGATTGGCACGCGACTAAAATTCTGAATATTATATTGCTGCATCGATTATTGTTTTACTGGCTTGTGTGATAAAAGTTCGGCATTGCGGAGCAGAAGCCCGAAAAGACCGAAAAAGCCGAACACGTTGCTTCTTATCACCAGACTGGCTGGCAACGTGAATCATTTGGCAGGCTAGGAATCGAGTTTTTAAAATCTGAAGCGATCTGAAAGATTTCAGCGTCACGCTCAAAGGTGGGCTGCTAATTGGCCATTATCGAAAGCAGTTAGTGGCTGCGTGAACCGCACGCCGATCGTGGCTGCTGCTCCCTCTAAAATCTTGGCCAAATGGCTCGCTCTTCGATAAGCGAATTTTTGGCCCCGTGCTCAATTACGGGTGTTCGAACGACTTCCTAATGCCCATCGATTCGCTCGGTAAGAGCCACTTGAGGGAGGCTTGTCGAGTGGCAGGGCAATCGATTGATCGGCATAAAGGTGCCCGGTCTGTTCCACTGCCAAGGGCAAGATAGTGGGGCAGTCAGTCAGCACCCCCCAAGTACAAAACTCTCGATCCTGTGGTCCTAAGCCTGCTATAATCATTGGTTTATGGCTCCCGATAATGCCGAGTTAACTTGGCAACCTGTCCGATCGGAACCGTAAACAAACCCATTCAGCCAGGAGCCTTTATAAATCTTGAATTTTGCGTAAACTTCTTCAGCAGGAGGTGTATTTCGATTAGATATTTATTCTGCCCACTTGGAAATCGTTTCGCAATTAGTACCTAATAAATTATTTCTTTGATTGAAGGCAAGATTGTGACAATAAATGCAAATTTAAGTGGCTAATTAAACAGGTAGCCAAATTGAGTTATAAAGTAATTGAGAGCAAAGCTCAAGCGGTTTCTAGAAATAGAAACATTTTTGGATGTGTCCAGAGGAAAATTTACATATTATGGGTTTTAAGGTATCAAGGTTTTTCGAAGTGAAAAATGATTTCTAAGCTTTCCTTGTTTTTTGGTACTATGTATTCTTGAACTAAACGCATAGTCTCTTTCTGTGTGGTATTTATTTTTCAAGTACCCTAGTTGAACGAAAAGTACTCACCATATATTAGATAGTTTTCTAAGGGCTAAACAAATTCAGTGACCTTGCAATAGCAAGTGCCTAAAAAATTCATATATTACCAAGAAAACAACCAATTCTTTGTATTCATATGAAAATCTAATCTTAGGCATGCCCCAAAGCTTGTTTATTAATAGTAATTTCCAACTTCCACATAACCAAATTTATTGGACACCCTGTCGTATACGTAATAAACACATTGCTTATCTTCAATGTTTTAATTTATTTCGGTTAGTTGACTGCCAAAAAATCTATAATCACTAGAATTCTTTTGTTAAGTTACCTTTTTAACGTCCTCGGTAGCCACCATGTTGGTAGAACTTTGAAAGCGGCACTATTTAAATGTTTTTCCCGCTTTTGCGAGGCTATAAATTGGGCGAACTTGTTTTATTTGGCTGGTGGCACTTTTCTGATCAGTTTCGATTCCGTAGAAGCGCTTTTACTATCGGAACGTGTGGATGGGCGCGATGAGCGTCCGAGCTGAACTGAATTTCTCCAAGGAAATCGCTTAGCAGCTAAGCGAAATAAGCGGCGACTGCGACGGCGACTGCGGCAGAGGCTGATACTAAAAGCCAGATATCGCAGTGGCAGAGGCAGTGGCCGCGGCAGTCCGAATTAGCTTCGATTTGTGCACCGGCTATCATCACTGGTGGTCTCGTCACCCCGGCGAAAGTCTAAGGATCAGTGCGCACTTCCTCGGGGTAAACTGGCCTTCACGTTCGATTGACCAACTGGCTTCCTGTTCCTGCGATTGTCGGTGGAGGGGATCGGCTCGTGGTCCTGGTAACTCAGCAGTTTTTCGGCGATTTTCCTGAAGCCGCGCTCCAGCGATGGCGAGCTGACCTTGTGGAATTCCCTCAGCAAATAATCTACCAGAACCTGGACCAGATTCTGAAAAGTAAAACGCCAAAACATATTGAAAAACAGTCAATCTAATAGAAAAATAATTCAAGAAGAAAACTTGGCAATCATACTCTTTATAAGTGATAAAACTAATTTAGCAAGTTTAATAGTGTTCAAATAAAGAATCCAACAGAAACAAATGTATCCGATAACAATGATGATATAAATAAATCGATTAAGAAGGACGATTATATTTTATAGCTGGCATAAGAATAATCGGAGATATTATAAAAACCTAAATAAATAACCATCATTAGATCTTGATTAATATTTATTTCCTCAACATTTATAGACTGAAGTTCTGCAAGGGTATTTAAGCTTCTGCGAGATAAAGTTAGCTTCCTTTCTTGTTTTTTTTTTAAATTGTCTGCAATTATTTCGATAGCTCAATTTATACTGTGACTAATATTTATTATTCAGTTTTTTTAATGTGAAATGTTAATTAAAAATACTTTACAAATTGGGAAAAATGAATAATAAGAAAATGAGTAACATCATAACTACAGATGGAAAATTGTATTTTTTGTTTTTGTTCTGAATCATTTATGACAATTTACAACGTTGATAGACTTTTCAATACGATATATTTTATTATAGAAGTAAGTGAAGTGTATGTTATGCTAAACACAAATTTCGAGCTTTGTACCACAAAAATATCATAATAATTAAATCGTTATTACTAGGTACGCATTGGTATATATGCATTAGTATTTACTTAACCAATATCAAACATAAAAAATCACAGACTAAGTTTATTAACTTGACCGAATTATAACAACCCAACTAATGAATTAATTAACTCACTTAGGACTTATTATACACCCTTTTCACTTTACTTAGTTTTGTTTTCAAACAAAAATTCAATTTATTTACACATTAAAAAAAAAAAATTTATTGTCAAACAACTTATTTCAAGCTTTAAATATATTTGCTAAATGCAAATTATAAACGTTTATCTAAAATATTTGCAAACCACAACGACATACTCACTCTGCGGTCAGCGGATCCCACTTTGCAGCGCCTGTGGGTATGGTTGTTGTCAGTGACCAATAACTGGAACATCACCGGATCCCTTTCCTCGATCAGAAGACCGAAAAAGCGGACAAACTGCACTGCATGGAGGTGCAGGGCCCTGAGGTTGATTTCTTTTCCAGTCTTGAACAAACATATACCCCAATAGGCATCGTTTAAGTAGCTAGCAGGTAGTTGTTGTAAAGCAACCTCATCAAGTCGAAACATCATACCTATAGAACACGTCCTGTCCAATGCGCCGCTGATAGGGCCTGATCAAATTCCACGCGCTTTTGAGGGCCAATCTTTCACTGAGAGTGAATCCCATTACGTCCTCAACAGGACCGACTTTAATTTCAGGTATAGGCTTCGGGTAACAAAAGGTTGCTAAACTGGAGGGAATCTGATTAGGCCTCGCTTCACTCATCCTGTAATTTTGATTCCAAACGTTTAATGTATTTATTCAAAACGGAAACAGCACGAACAACAAATCTTTTGTTAACTTCAACTAAATTTACATGGAAATTTTATTTTGCTTCACTGGGGCTTCCATAGCATACTTATAGGATCGGAAGTGTTTTCGTTGGCAGCCTAATCGTCTGTAACAACCTTTACCGCGCGATTCGGGGGTTCACTCAAAGTGGTCCTGAGGGCAGTCGACAAGGCTCGCTTTCTGGCCTCATCCACTATAACATATTCCCCGACGATCTGAGCCAAACGATCCAGTGCGTTTTTTAAACTACATGAGTTGTGATTTTCGATGACAGAAGACTCAAGAATGTACCACTTGAGCTCTGTGGCCAGCATCTAATAAATTATGTTAATAGTTATGTTGTTATTCAGGTAAATTTCAGGTTAATGAAATATTTTCCAAATTAATAGATTTTTTAAAAGATTTTATATTTTTAGGTTATTAATTTATTAAATTATAGTTTTGCATCGTGAACTAATTTACAGAACCACTCACCTTCAAGTAGTCGGTATCAATGCCGCTCTTCAGATGTTGGGGAAGGCTTTCATCCAAGGCCAAGCGAAAGGCCAAAGTGTTGTCCAATGTTTGTACCAGCTTCGACATCAGTTTCATCATTGACATCGCATGCCCATGAAGTTTACTCATGTTGATTTTGCCATCTCGCCTAAAGTGATTTATGAGGGTCTCGTGTTCCGTCAGGAATCTGAGCCCCACAAAAGAAGTGTTTGTAAGTACGAATATGGAACATCGATCAGTGAGGATTACTTGTAGAAATTTTCCTTGCCAAATCTCCGCTGGAAGGGCTCAATAAGACGCCAGGCATTGCGAAGGGCCGCCTTCTCCACCATCGAGAACTCATTTTCATCGAGCCTGTAGCTTATATCAACTTCAGGCAGCGGCTTGGGATAAATGGGTTGGGCCAATCGGTCGGTCGTCTCCTCACTACTTTTCACTGATAGCTTCGGTTGGCTAATTTGGCTCATTCTTCCCTATCTTTCTGCGGACTCTGATTGGTTTTCTTTGAACTGTTTAGTAGTATTTGAATTTATACCTTTTGTTTGCTGTGATCGGAAAGTAGTCCCTACTCTCAAGTAATTGTTTTTAAGAAATTTTAAAAAGATACAAAAAGAAAACCGACAGCTCCGAAAAAGCAACAAAATTAAACATAAATTAGACATTAGACAGCTTCTATCAAAATTATTATTATTATAAAATAATATGGTTTAACAACTAGTTTTGAAAAAATTAAGAAAATGCGAGCCACTTTAAGGGATAAAATCGTAACAAAATCTTTCAAAGTGAAAAGAATAATTATAATAATATTAGGAAGCGTGTCTTTCAAACTGAGAGTTTCCCAAATATGTAATTCGACTAAAATATTTTCATTCACACACTAAGGCTCTTATATCAATGAAGTGGTGTTGGCTTAAAAGTAAGTCCAACACCATTTTGTAATAAAAAAATATTACTATAAATGCACATGTATTTTGCCACGAGTTATAAAATCCTTATCAAGAATATATATTATATATTATTTTTTTAGTTTATTTTAAACGTGCCTAACTTTTTCACCTATACTTTTCTAAAAATAGTCAGTCAATAAGCTTAAATAGAACGAGATCATTTTGCAAAGTGGATTAACCAAAAAAAGTTGGTTTCGACATTTTGTCATGTTTATTTATTTTATGGCTTACAGGCATTTTCTTTATATTGCAAAATTATGGAAAGATTTGCAGGGCATTGCGATATTCCTGAGCAACGCCGCAAACGGGGCAAACGGGACGGATGCTGAGGGCGCGCTGCAGACAGAAGTTGCAAAAGATGTGGCCACAAGCGGTGGCACGTGGGTTGTTGGCCGAGCCGAGGCAGATGGGGCAGCGCAGCACACTCACGCAGTTGGAGGGCATTGGCACTTCGTTTGAGCTTGCTGGCTGAGCTGGAGCAGCTTAATGAAAAACATGCATTCAAGCAACAAGTCAATAATAAAAATTAGTTTAGGTTAACTTACCAGCGGAGGAGCCACTCGGCTTAATCTGAAAAACGACGTTGGTTGAATGGCGACTTGACAAGCTAAAAGAAATAGGCGCTTGACTAAAGGCCAACTGACCACCTGAAAAATAAAATAATTAAATTATTATAATAAAATTACCATTTGAATTTAATTTTCTTAATATAAATTCATCTTTTTATTATTTTGTTCCTCAATGTTAACTCCCTTGACAAACAAATTCATAAATATTTATCTTGGTGATGAACTGGACTTCTAAATTCTAGTATTTAAGGGGTTATATCCAGTTGCGATTTTGAAAAAATTGAAATTTTTTTTTTTGCCTATTTTGAATGTATATATATCTAAGAAGATTATCTGAAAATTTCAAAGTATTCCGGTAAATAGTATTGGAGTAATCAGTGTATTTGTAAAGACGTCTCCCATGTAGTTCAACTAGTAGCCAAAACTTTAAATGCGTTTTTCTCGAAACTTTGTCTTCAAAGTCGGTGAGGAAAAATTCTCAAAGACGGCTTGACCGATTGACTTGAAACTTTCACATTCTCTTCTTAGATATTTTTTTCAGGTAATGAGACTTGGAATTTTGGCTCCGACAAAAATTTCGATTTTTTTAGCCACTTCAAAGTTGAAATTTTTGTGCCAAAAACAAAGTTTTATGTTTGGGAAGCCGCCATTTTGTCAAAAATTAAAATTTTGAAAATCCCAAGTCTCATTACCAGCATTTGTCTATTCTTTGCGTAATCCTTCTGGTTTTTTGTATTTCTGATCATTTGGACCGGAGATATTTTCCTCACCGCAAAACCCTTTTTTAAAGTGGACCCTCGGGAGATCCTCTACAGGACCGACGGAGTCCAACATTTTTTTTTGTTAAAAATATATTCTAAAACTAGAAAAAATTACCTATCTTTTCATATATAACACGTATACATACAATAAATAGCCTCTCCAGAAATAATTTTCAAAAAATGTCATTTTTTTGGCCTCGCAACTGGATATAACCCCTTAACCTAAACCAAATGAAATAATATAAAAATGGATTGGAATTTCACATATTCCCCCGTCCAATTAACGAATTATATTGTCTTTTTCATAATATTAGCATCCTTTTGAGTAAGTTATGTTTTATACGATTTTTTCTTTAAGGGGCCGTTCATAAACCTCGTGACGCTCCTAGGGGGGTGTGGGGGTTCAGCAGAGAGTCACGCTTTGTTGTAAGGAGGTTGTAATTTGTATATGTGATGCGTCACATAGGGGGGGAGGGGGTCAAAAAAGCCAGAAATTAGCGTCACGAGGTTTATGGACGGCCCCTAAGTTAATTTAATTTTTTCATTATTAGTCCTGTTTTTGATTCCTGATAGCTATACTTGCTATTTGCCCAATTCTTGTATCTAAGTAGAGTATATTTGTCCGATTCTGAGCATTCTAAATTACAGTAAAATCCATCATTTCAAGAAGTGGTAAGTATAAGAAAAGTGGCTTGTCTTTATCTACTAATAACTAATAATATAATATAAAATATATACATGTAAATTAAATGGTCCTTAATTGCTGCTTAAATATATTATTTAGATAAAAAACGCTCTAGAATAGTAAAGATACCAACCAAAGTAGTATTACCCACCGGAAATTCCAACTGTGATTGGTGGTCCACTGGCTGTCGCCACAGAAACGCAAACCTCAACAGAAGGCCCAGACTGATTTTGGCCAGAAGTATCGTTTGGCAGCACAATCTGCTCGTTTTCTTCACCATGCTCGCTTGGGAAGGAGCTGAGATCGGGTTCATGGCTAGCGAATGATTCACCGCATATAATGCAATTGGAGCAGCCGGGAACAGCGCCATCCTCATTTCCTGAAAAATGTAAAATGCCGTCACAAAAAGGCTTGGATACGATCACGGCACTCCTTTTATACCTTCAGCCTGTGCGGTATTCTGCACGATGGCTGATGGATTGTTCCCGTTTTGACTCATGTTGCTTTATAGAAAAATTATGTTTTAATCTAGATTATTTGCTTGTCGGTCGGCTGATTGTAAAAATCTGAGCATTCGCAGAGTTTTTCGTTTTGGCGTCTGTCAAAAAAGAGCTGCCAGCAATTTGGAGTTTAATAAACAATTGTTAGATAACAACCCTGCAAGTCTCCAGTATTTTGATGTTCGATTTTATGGTACCTACCATACAAGTAAAAAATAACTAAAAGGTTCAGTTTTGAATATATTATATATAGTTACCAGTATGAGAAATAAAAACGCAAATTTAAAAAAAAAATGTCAATTTTTGTTATTAGTATTGCTGATTTAACTTATATTTTTTAAAAACCTTTTTGTGATTTTGGTTACAAAGAAAACCCAAAACTACTCGAATATAATTAAGAGCTCTTTAAAAATAAACCTAAAGGTATTGAATTTCCGTGATCTTGATCGAGCCATATTCGTTGTAAGTTTAGGTGCATTCCTAACAGAAAGCGTAGGCAACTCGGAATAGTGAAAAAAACACATTTGATGAAACTTCATCGTTACACACGACCGGAGAGTTTCCAAAAAACTGGAAAATGTTAGGCAGACGGTTTTTTTACGGTCAACTAGTCATAGGAGGAAAGTTTTACTGCACGATCGAAAGTTCGATCGCAGTTTCGAAGCATAATGTCGTTACCAACTTGAAATAAGAAAGATCTATGAATTCCCCAGAACTTACACATAATTTCTAGAATTTCTAAAGAATATTATAAAAATTTAAAAACATGTATCATTTACAGAGACGGTTAAAGGCCTGCCAATTATTAAAATTGCAATTAACAACTTGTATGCACTAATTGGTAGTATTATATTTTGGTCATATTATTATTAGCATAAGAAGCATAATAAATGTAATAAGAATAATAAGTTTACCTGAGAACTGTTTGATCTATAGCTAGATAAGTTTTATTTTAATGCTTATAAACTAATATTATTTGGTGGACTGGATACAAAAAAAACCTAAAACTACTCGTATATAAATCACAAGAGCAGACATTCATTTGCCGTTTTTTTTAGCATAACAAGGTATTTTAAGACGATAATGCAAAAGTAATTTGTAGCTCATAGAGCGACTTCATAATAAAGCGGGATTAGCATTTCACAAATAAATACGAAAGAATTGACGTGCCGTGAGCTTTTTGTTGCACATCGGGCACTTGTGCGTTGAGCTTATAGCAGTTTGAATACATTCTCGACAGAACACGTGACCACATTTGGTTGACACTGGTTCGCGCTTGGTCACACTCTCCATGCAGACCGGACACTTGTAGGAATCCTCCCTCTGGGACAACTCGGCATCGTGGTGTACGCGTTTGGGTGGAGTAACTTCGTCGACATCCACGATCGGACAGCTTTCGTTCCTTTGGGCAAGACTACGCCGACGAGTCGGAACTGTAAACGAGCCATTCGATGAAGCGTTCGGTTGACGTCTTCTGGGTCCGTCTGGAGTGCACAAGTCGATCACAGCTTCGGGAGCCCGATTTCGGGCTGATCGATTCGGCGGTATGAACTCAAAATCTGACAGGTCTATCACTTCCACAGGACTCACTAAAGAAAAAAAGCAGACAAGATAATATTATTAGAACCAAGGTAGGAAACAGCAATAAAAACTATTTGGACTCACTGGTATTGCGGCGACGGTTACCACGCAGTATAGTTGGTGTTGAGGTTAATGTTTGTAGGGTGTCGTGGCCAGCCACAATTCCTTCACAGTAGTGATTTACTGAAGGACAGACTAATTAATTGTTAAAGAAACCAAAAATGCTGTTAACTTACGGCGATCTATTTCGGCTTCCATTTGGGCTACATTCACAGAAAGATTTCTGAGCTGCAAAAAGTAATCTTGCGAGGGCGAATCTAGCGAGGCAGTCGAGTCGGCTTGTGAGTGGGACTCATCATGGTTCATATTCAAGGAGCTCTCCTCCTGCGTGGACTGTAGAATGCTTGATCTGTCTGCGGATGCGTCGGTAGTATTGGACGACGTTAATTCGCTGGAGCTGGAACTCAAGCTAGAACTAGAGTTGGAGCTGGAGCTCGAAGTAGAACTAGAGCTGGAGCTGGCGTTGGAGTCGGAGTTGGAAGTGTCGCTATTCGCCAAGTGGTTAAAGGATGGAGCTGTCGAATCCTACTAAAGTTAAAATCAGCAAAGACTCGTTAAGAGACGGGGAAGATCTTACAAAAGAAAGGAGAACCGAATTTTCCATGCTTTATAAGAACTTATTTTTAAGGTACAGAAAATAGTTTACAAGTAAGGTGGAAAAAAAAGCAATTGCTCGTTTTTGTATATTGTTCAATTCGTTCTTAACGCTCGAAAACTATATATTTTACGCGGCCACAAGGCTGTATTAAGGATGGAACTTTGCGCTTTTGCAGGCACAACGTTATATCGATACATGCTGTATTTTCTTTCAAATGAATTATAGCCTATATGCACTATATTCCGTTACCTACGGAGCAATCGTTTTCTCTACGTACATCAATATTCTCATCCGATAAAAAAATTAAAAGTTTACAGTCGCATTTTTGTTTTACCTTTTTTCCTCATCACAACACAACACATAACCTCAGTTCCCTTTTCAAGTGGTCAACGGTCAACTATAGGAAAAAAAAAACGAGAATTAAATGAAAAATACCATAGATCCCACAAAGACCCGCAGAATTTAAGTATTAGCATCTAGTTTCCAATAAAACTTTTGTATAAAAACAAAGTAAGCTCCAAATCTCTCAAAATACAAGATTGTTATTACATATTTTTGATTACAATTATTAATCGTAGGAGCTTAAAATGATAAATATATGTATATTGCCAAACTACCGTTCATATATTAATATGTATTTAAGTCTTAAAGTTTAATTTGGGGAAACTATACCTCGAAATAGGACTGGAACTGCTAATTTTGATAGTACAAATTCTAAACCGGGTAGAAAAATACTAAAAAAAAACAAAACATACCAAATTTATTTATGACGATAGTTCTTGTTTTATATCGATATGTACCAGGTCAATATTATAGTGTTAGACAATGCACGACTGGCACGTCACCATTGCCAAGGAATACCAATTGTTTAAAACTAAACAAACAAACTCGCTGGAGCTATGGACAAGGACACATTCACGCTGCAGTCTATTCGGCAGGACCTCATCGATAACAACCTGCAGGCCAAGGCGATCATACAGGTTAGTGCGGCTAACTAGGGAAAAAAAAGCTAAAGTCAGAGTTTACTCCAGGATATCCTGAATAGCCGCACGTCGATCGCTGAACTGGAAGAGTTAAACGAAGCGGGGCGTTCGAAGTTGTCAGCCATCAGAAGGAGCATCGAGCGCCTAGACGACTGGGCTCGTGATACAGCGGACGCAGGACTAGCCAAGGAGGTGGACACGCATCGCGACCAGTTCTCCAAGACACTGCAGGCATTCCGGAAGGCAAACGTGTCCACAATGCTGGAGATAGAGAAGGCTAATCGGGAGGAGCTAATGGCCATTACCGGCGAGAGTGAGCTGCGTCAACGGTCCACGGCGAGAGCACGCCACAACCAGGGCAGCCTGGTCTCCCAGGAGAACGATGTGACCGAGAAGATGCTGGCCATATCTAGGCATTTGTCGGAAACCACACAGAAGAGCGCTGTTACCTTAGAAACGTTGGTGGCTTCGTCCCAAAACGTAGAGGCTACCAGTGACGAGTTGCACAATACGGCCGGCAGCATCACCATGTCCGGAAAGCTGCTCAAAAAATACGGTCGACGCGAGTGCACAGACAAAATGCTGCTATTCTTTGCCTTCTGTCTGTTCCTTGTCTGTGTATTTTATATCGTGCAAAAGCGGCTCTTTTAAACCATAGTTAAGGGCTTAGCATTTGTTGTATAGTAATTAACTACTTTAAGCTTAGCACATGATAATACATTTTAAGCACCGCTCCTGTTTATATTTAATTAGATAATTATATAAGTTGTTAGTGTGGTTTTGCTTGTAAAAAATACAGTGTAGGCTAAAAAGTATTTATAGTATTAGAATTTTATTATTTGTTGTAAAGTCCTATTAGTAGGTTTAATACATGAAAATGCTAGTATGGGCACTTAGGGACTCCGCCCGGGTTAGTGAATCCGTTTGAGTTGACCAGGCGACATATGTCCTTGTACGTTCGCTTGGGTTCCCGATGTCTAGACTGCTGCTGTTGCCCAAAGCCGTTATTGTAGTACCCGGGATAGGTTTGAGGCGCAGGAGCCGATGGATAAGTAAAGCCGGGAAATAACTGATAAAAGTCGCCGGTGAAGCTTGCGCCTCTCATCGCCAAAATGCACAGCAGAAAATATACAATCAGACTACGCATTGCCAATTTGTTTGGAATTTAGAATTTGAATGAAAGCTTAGCTGATCGGCTGGCCTACTTATGAAACTTCCGCAACCTTGTAAAGCGTTGAAATGAAATTAAAATCAAGAGTATATGCTGATTTGCTTGGAAAGCTGATAACAGATTAAGGTCCCTCGACAAAAGCTCGACAGAACATTTAGTCTTGTACAATTTTAAATATTGTTAGGGAGAAGTCTGCAACACCAGGAAAAAGGCTTATGTAGCTTGAGACAATTGCACAATTTAAAAAATCCGATTTATTAGTAATTCATTTAGAATTTAATACTAAAATTATATAAAGGTAAAACAGCATTTCGATTTAAATAAAATTGAATATATTAAATGATTTAACAAAATGTTTCGATTTTTGATATATTATGTTTGATTTTTTAGATAAAGTTGTTTAAGTTGGTTTCTTTAATTTTTATTGTAAATTTAAAAAACATACAGTTATAGAACTTCCCGCTGCGTTAAATCGACTTGCTATCGATATGTTTTGGAAAAAAAAAGTGTTGAACAATAAAGATTAACCACAGCTCTTAACAACACTGCCGGTTTGTTTTAGTTAAAAAGAAAACATAAATTTCCTTATTTTCCCCGCTGTTGTAGCTGCAAATACTGTTTAAAGGAAAATGACCACCGCTGTAGAAGTGGCCGGCAAGGGGCCGGGGAAGCTGGCTAACTATTTTGCGCTACAAACAGCGTTTGAGGTAAGAATTGGTGGAAGGACACGATCTCCAAAGCCGGCATTGATGAATTTTTAAACGTCGATTTTGCAGAAAGCCCTGGAACTGGCTATCACTGATGGAAATGTGGAGATGCTGGTCAAGGCTTATAACAGCTTCCCGGCAAATACCGAGCACGACAAGCGCCTGCCAATGGACCACGCGTTCAGGGTGCTCCTTATGAAGCGGCTGGAGGACGACGTGCAGCGCATTGGCGATCTCGTGCAACTCTCCGTGGCCGCCACGCGTGCCGATATAGTGTCCAACACCATTCCCGTGGTGCTGCTCATCGACACCTTTGACGTGGTCACGCTGGACAAGTGCCAGGAGATCTTTCGGTTCGTCGAGGAGCTTGTGGAGGTGTGGAAGGAAGAGATCTTTTTCGCCTCCTGCAAGAACAATATCCTACGCATGTGCAACGACTTGCTGCGCCGCCTTTCGCGTACCCAAAACACTGTGTTCTGCGGACGCATCTTACTCTTCCTCTCCAAATTCTTTCCTTTTTCGGAGCGTTCTGGCCTAAACATCGTGTCCGAGTTTAACCTGGAGAATTTCACGGAGTACGGGCTGGATAGCAAGGACCACGACGAGAGCGACAACAAGGAGTTGGAGGACACAGCCGAGGATATCCCCTTGAAGATTGACTACGATCTCTACTGCAAGTTCTGGTCGCTACAGGACTTTTTCCGAAATCCCAATCAATGCTACAACAAGGCTCAATGGAAAATGTTTCAGATGGTAAGATATTCTTAGATGAGTTTAATAACGTTGCATTTCTGCATTAATGCAAGATTTCTAACACAAGTAGGATGCTTGCCAAACTATGAATTAGTATTCAATAACTTAATTAAATAATAACAAAAAACCAAAACGTTTTTCAAGTTAATAGATTTTAAATACTTCCTTTCAGCACGCCGAGAATATTCTGCAGTCCTTCTCAAGCTTTAAGTTGGAGGACGTGAGGCAAAGTGGCAGCGATAACGCAACCGAGGCTGCCCAGTCAATGGAGGTGGACGACGATGCCGTTGATACTACAGCGGTGACCGCCGTGATTAAGGCGAATCACTTCTTTGCCAAATTCCTGACCAATCCGAAACTTCTAGCCTTACAGCTCTCTGATGCCAATTTCCGAAGGGCTGTCCTGGTGCAGTTTCTAATTCTTTTTCAGTACCTTCAAGTCAGTGTTAAGTTTAAAATGTAAGTATATAAGGAATAACTTAGGGTTTTTGAACGTCGTTCAATTCGTGAACTTTCAGCGACACATACACCTTGACTGCAGAGCAGGCTGACTTTATCAAGGAAACAGAGTCACGTGTTTATAAATTGCTGGAGGAGACGCCGCCGTACGGCAAGCGGTTTGCTCGAACAGTGCACCACATGCTAGTTCGAGAGGAGATGTGGAACAACTGGAAGAACGAAGGTTGCAAGGAGTTCAAAAAGCCGGAAGAACCGACTGCGAGCGAAGAAGATATAAAGCCACCTCCCCCTAAAAGACCAAGGCGTCCACTGGGCGATGCGCTGCGCGATGCTGCACGCAATGGCAAATTCTTCTTGGGAAAGTAGGTATCACAAAGCCAAGAAAAGTCAGCGTAATAACATAAAAATCTTTCAGCGATAACCTAACCCGTTTGTGGAACTATTCCCCGGACAACTTGCAGGCCTGCAAGAGCGAGCAACGCAACTTCTTGCCGCTATTGGAAACATATTTGGAGACGCCGCACGAAAAAACTGACCCCGCCTTTGAGTGGCGAGCACTGCGTTTGCTTGCCCGCCAGACGCCTCACTTCTTCACCTCGCTCTCCCAGCCCTCAAGCAAGATCTCCGATTATTTGGAGCAGGTGCGCAAGCGTCTCATCAGGGACAAGGAGCCAAAGCCAGCAGCTCTACTATCGAGCAACTCCTCGGAGAACACTTTTGGCCTGGCTGTCAACCATGCCAACACGGAGAGTGAGCAGGATGCTACAGTGGCCCTCCAGGATACGGAACCAGAGCAGGGTCTCGAGGTCGAGGACAGCGAGCCCGTGGTCGAGGACGTCGACGAGGTGCCAGCCCACGAGAAGCCTCTTATGGTGACCAAAGAGCACATTCAGGAAATAGCACCTCTGATAGGCGAGCCCTGGATGAAGGTGGGCAAGAAGATTGGTTTCACCAACGACGAGCTGCTCTTCTTCCAATCGGAGGACCCTTCGGCCAACGTGGCCTGCATCCAAATGCTGACTAACTGGATATCTGATGACGATGACGCCACCCTGGACAACTGGGCGTACATGCTCGAGGGGTTGGAAATGCACAAGGCCGCCGATGCGGTAAAGGCAATCATTGAACGGGAAAAATCCGGATCCACTGCCGCGCCAGCCGTTCCAGCTGCTGCCGACAACGACGTGGAGGTGCTGTCTGACTAGCTTCGCCACAAAGAACCCACCCTAGTTATAGGCCACTTTAGGTTCGTTCCAATCATCAAACTTCTTTATCACAAGTAAAAGTATGGACATGTCCACTGTTATCAACCAGAGATCAGCTATAACCGATTCCAGATCGCCTGTCAACGCCGCTTCGGCGGAGGACCGTTCCGGGGCTTGTTGTGTATCATGTTGGCGCACTTGGGGATGTGCCGCTCGGCGGCCTGTTGGTTGAACCGACGTCCACAGTGCGGGCACTGGATGTAGTCGGGGTTCTCCGACGGCGGCGGCGGTGGCAGGTCGCTCAGCTTGCCGCCGCGCGCCAAGTGCAACTGCACCTGCTTGGCCGCTCGAATCGACTGGATGAACTCCTCGTGCTTCTTGCGCCAGTTGTTCTTCTTCACCCCGGTGGTCAGACCCTTCTGCTGGGCAGCACTACTGTACGAGCTGGTCTGCGTGCGCATCCCCTTCGGCTTCCTGTTGTACTTCTCGGCTTCGGTGCCTTCTACGCGCTGCTTCGCGGCATCGAAGATCTTGCGCTTGGTGGAAACCATGCGCTGGCACACTGCCTCGTGCTTTCCCAGGCGATCCGTGTTGAAGTGCCGTCCGCAGTGCCGGCACAGAGCAGTTCCTTCCGGGGCCGCTGTCGCGGAGGTCTGGAATTATCAGTGGGTAGTTGCAGTACAGTCTACTTCTGCCTTCTTTTGTGGGGCACTTACCATGTTAACTTTTTTAACTGGGGATTTTGGCTCCGACTGCTCCGGAACAGGCATGTTAAATGTTGAGAGAGAGCAAGTTTAGAATGTGATTGACAGCACTGAGCCGTGTTGATTCTACTCACCCGTCGAATCGGTGGCGGCGAAGGGCGAATAGATTGTGCGGTGGTCCCACCGGTCAATCGGTTTGATGCCTGCATCCTGGGACTGCGCTGCGGCGGAAACGGGGATTGCTGGGTGGGTGTCGCCTCCTGGGCAGGTGGCGTCTTCCGGGTGACCACCGGCTTCAGGTTTCGGTTCACTGTTCGTGGGGTGGCAAACTTGCTGTTGTTGTTGCTGTCGCTGGTGACCCGCCTGCCGGCGTTGGGCGGATCCCCCAGGTTCATGTCGGAAACGCCCTTAACGAGCCGCTGCATCGGCTGTTGAGTGCGGGTTTTCGCTTGGGCGGGCGGCGACGGAAGGGTTCCGATCGGCTTGAGGGGATGGCTGCGATCAATGCCCGCTCCCCGGCGGCGCTCGTCGAACATCTGACGCACCTTTCCGTTCCCAATCAGCCTGGTGGTGGCGGCACTGGGCGCTCCACCGGTCAGGCTCTCGACACTCGTCTTCGCGCCCATCAGCTCCCGCCGACGCACCTCCTGCTCCTGCTGCGTCCGTTGCTGGAAACGCATCTGGTGGAGGAGAATTGAATACAACTATATTATATAAGTATTTAAAATTTAAAATATTTGATATTTTAAAATCCCCTTCTAAAATGCGGCTGCGATCGAAATTCTTCACTGTACAATGCCCATTTTTAAGGGATTAACTCAGTTGACTTTCTGTTTAAAAATAAACTATTTATCAATCTTTAGACTCCAAATACACAACTTTGATTCCGAATTTAAAATATTTAGTTCAATTAATGTTTACACTGTCATGTGCATTTGTGTTTTGTTGCCAACTCATGATTTCTAAATAATTGATTAGCCGCCCTTGAAACTAATTGATTAAAGCCTTGGCAAAATGCTTGGCATTAAAAATTAAAACATTATTTAATTTTTTTAATTAGCATTATTTTGGGAGTTTTAATATTTCACTTGCTCAACTAGAAATAAACTTTAATATTTTATATTTTATTTAATCCACCTGTTCTCTTTACTTTCACTTTTAAATTGCATTGCACTAAAATAGATTTGTATTTGTTCTCACGGGTGCAGAATTGCTGCCACTGGGGGGCAGGTGACTCAGTGCCTCCATGAGGCGCCTGGCCGCCCAGGACTCGTTCAGCTTCAGGGGCAGAATGTGGTCCTGTCCCGGCTCCGACTCGAAGTCGTATTGGAGGAAGTCTCCATCTCCGTCCCCGTACTCGTCCCTGTCCGCAGATTGCAACATTGCTGGCCGGAGAGCGCGTGTCAACTGAGCGAACGGAACTGGACATTAGCGCGTCCATTTCCCCCGAGTGGAGTCATTAACTGTCCGGGTTTCAGTGTGTGTTTGCGTTTGTGTTTTGTTTGCCTGTCTATTCTGGCGATGAGGAGGTGTGACCACCCTGGTGGGTAGGCACCTCCTCCCGGCAACTGCGAATAAATCCGTGCCCACTTACGTGCCGCCAGTACATAAAACCCCTTGCCACACGACCCGCCTGGGCAAAGGAAACCTTATCCTCTCCCCGGGATCGGGAATGGGAATGCGGTTGGGGTGTGGGTGTGGGTGTTAACGTGGCTGTGGGCATGTTCCTCCCTGCTTGTCCTCCTAGTGCGCTTGTCTTCTGCCTCTGGTGTCCTGGTAGTGGCCTTCGAGCTCAGCCATGGCCACCTGGCGAATCGTTAAAGGCAAAAAAGAGGGTCCTCTTCGTATATCGGACACTCGAGAAATCCCAGCCTGCTGTCCTTTTGTTTGGCCAGCCGTTTGTTTTTGTTGTTATTGGCGTGCAGCAATAACAACAAAAAATCAATGACTGCAACGTTGCCATGACACGGACCCCTTGGGACACACACACCAGTCCAATAGCACAACAGCACAACAGCCCACCATCCCACTAGCCACCCCCTCCCCCAAGGACCCAGCAATTGTTGAATGCCGCCGAGGAAGAGCGGCGACCAGGTGACAAAGGACCTTAGCATTGTCCTTTACCGTCCGCCCCTTCGGCGATAAAAATCGCGCACGACTATTTCCCTGGGTAAATTTTCTGATTGATTAATTACAATAGTTGGACAAATGGGCATGGGCACTCAAACAAATTTTAATATTTTCTCTTTGCCAATAATGCAATAAATCAAAATGCTGTAGACCAAAGGCCATTTTAAAAACAACAAAAACTGAATATTACTATTATTTTTTCCAAGGTTTGAATTATTTATTTGAGAGTAATTTCTTAACCTTCGCTTTTTTGGCTCGTTTTCTCTTGTGCACGTATGCATGTTTACTTTCCTAATGTCAACCCTTTTTCGATATTGAGTGGCTAATACAGTGACGTAGCTTGGCTCACACTAATTACAGCTTAGTGCGGGGAAAGTGCTCAAGCCCTCCGCAGTGTCGACGCCTCTGTTCGCCATAAACAGATGGCAGTCAAGGAGCGCCTTTTGTTTCGTTGCGGGGGCGACAAAAGTTCCCATTACCAAATATGAGCAGAAGCACATACAAATTAATTAGCTGGCATTTCGCTGGGAAACTTCGGCGAGAGAACCCGAAATAGAACTCCGACCAAAGCTGCAGACCATTTAAGGCACAGCACGGAAATTAAAGTAGATATCTGGCTTAGGTTTAAGCTACTTTTGAGAACATAAATGTCGGTCTCAACGAGGTTCTGTCAAACTCTATTATGCTTCAATTCAATCTTCCGCCTTAAAGTTTTTTTGTTGTATTTGTATTTTTAAATTCTGAAATAAATGGCTTTTGAAGCGGCCTAAGTAATTTCCTAGCTTGGTAAGCTTAACCCATCATAAATGGTTTGCTACTATCGTTCAAAGATTCTTTTAAGCATGGCAGGTTTTACAAATAGGTATCCTAAAAACCAAATAGCATATCTTTGGTATTTTTTACCTGTGTTGATACGAACTATATGCTCTTACCTGCATTTGCGCAAGCCTTGAATTCTTCATCTCTCCCGGGGCTTCTGACGCCATCGCCAAATAGAGTCTATTCAATTTGATTCGAGCGGTTGAATTCGATGCGATTTGCTGCGATGTTCGCGTGTGGGCTCCGGCCAAGGTGATGACGCGACTGAGCTTGGCTCAAAGTGTTTGGTTACCGCAGACCCGGCTCAGACTCTCCGGTGAGTCATGCAGGTTGGCAGAAAGCAAATAAAGCGGCAGCAGCAGCAGCAACTGGCCGATAAGTGTCGCCAGGAGGCGTCAGTGGATGTGGATGTGGACGTGGACGTAGGTGTCGATCTGGAAGTGGAAATGGAAGTGGAAGCAGTTCAAGCCGTGCCCAGATCAAAGCCCAGACCCAGACTGACAATTGTGGGCCGATGGCCGCTCCTAATACGGTGCGATCAATGAGCAAGCCAATCCAACCCAATCAGATCCAATCGAACTCACTCCAACTCGCAAAAGCGTGCAAACTTCGATGAAAGCGAACGCTGATCTCGACGTGTTCTTATAAAACTACAAATCTTGACCAAAAAATGAATTGAGAAAAGTAGGAATGCACGACTAGAATTTTTTTTGTAGTTCAAAACACGCTATGATGCCAAAAATCTGATACGCTTTCATTCGGTGAAATGAAATTTTGCCTGACTGACAACTGAACAGGGGCAGAGAAAGCCAAACTGACTGGATAAGCAAAGGCTGATACCTACTTTGATAAAATACAGATTTAAAAACAAGCAAATAATTACAAACTAATTAAATTAAAGATAAAACATGGAACACCAAATACCGAAAATAAATAGCAAAAAACGAAAAGAAATCACAACGTGTAATGCTTTTAAATGCTTTAAATGAACTTTATTACCAGAAAAACTTTTTTGAAGCTTACCTAAAGCAAGAAATATTATAAAAAGATACATTTTTAAGTTATCTGAATATTTGCTTCTTTGTTCTTGTTTGACCTTTGAAAATGATTATTTATTTCAATGCAAATGTATGGAAATGCTAACAGGCGTTTTGATGAGGCATAAAGTCGGTTTGTTTACATTTCTAATATGGTCTGTACTGCATTGCAATGACAACAATAAATAACAACTGACATATTTGCATTTGATTGGTATTTAGTTAAATTACAAATTCGAGAAATTAACTGTTATAATGGTTTAATGAACAGCTTTTGAAAAACCCTTGTTAATTTATATTTCTAAGCTAAACTAAAAATTTGGATTGCTCTTTGTCTGAGTCTATAATGAACGACAACCACTATTTCCCTGCCCCTTCTCCAATCCCACCCCCTTTTCCATCCCCTCCCCCTTATCCATCCCCTCCCCCTTATCCATCCCCTCCTACTAACAATGCCATTAATTTATGTATTTTTCGGCATTTTGGCACACGTCGTTTCTCGCTGACTAATTCCGACTCTCGGCCGGCTTTGTTTGTGTTTGGAGCTGCGATTTGCATACACTGCCGAGCGAACTTACCAGCCTTGTGCTCTGTGGGCAAATACCTCCGGACCAGAGCGCTTGGGAGTGGGCACTGTTGACCTGGCGGCAGGGAGTTGGACGGCGGATGGCGGATTGCGGGGAGTGGACACTGGGCACGCGAGTTTATTGACACACTAAGGAGGCACTCGAACTCGAACGAGGATTGAACTTTAGAGCCGGACCTCGAACTGGGTCACCGAAGGATAGCCGGTGGCTCCTCCGTGGGCAACTGGCCAGCTGTTGATGGCCCGTAATTACGCATACGCCGCGTGTGTCGCGACTGCTTTGGCTTCAACTGTTGAAGCTTCTTTCTCTTTGTTTTCTGTTGTTGTGTTTTGTGTTTCGGAGGAACCCGCGTCGTCGACTGTTTGCTTAGAAGTTTGCGCGGTTACTGAGACAAGACTCCATTGGGGCGCCGAGTCCGATTCGGAATCCAAATCCAATTCCACACACACCGCACCGAGCTGGCCGGCCCGAACAAGTTGCGAAGTTGGCGACATCGAGCGTTGCACCGCCAACTGATCTGCGGATGATGGCGTGTCGGGTGAGTCAGTTTATCGGATAGGACCCCTCCATATCGCCCCCCTCTTAGGAACCCAGAAACCCTGAGTCCCGTACTCATACTATATGTGCGTGCACGCGAAGAGAAACATGTATTTATCGCTCGACGGCTGTTTTTTTCTGTCTCTCAGATGTTGTTGCTAAACTTTATTTGCTTTTGTTTTACATTTATCAACGCTGACGCTTCGCAGATGTTTTCCGCCTTCCACTCTTGATCATCCCCCTTTGAAGTCATCGAATCGAACTTGGATGAGGTGTATGGTATTTTTGGCATTCGGTTGCCAAAGCACAATAAATCATAGTTAAGCGTGGTTAGGGAGGTCTTAAATGTATTCCTAATACAAATGTTCTAATACATCTTAAAATAGTTATTAGCTTAATAAAATACAATTTTGAATACATCAAACAAAATGACAAGAGCCCGCTTATCAATTTAGATAGTTTTTCGGTCTTTTAGTCCTTAACTTGTGACAGGCTCTTAATGTGTTACAATTTTGGTTTGGATATAAGAAACACAAATTATTCATTGAAGTCTGTTTAAATTATTATAATTCGTGACAAATATTATTGGCTTAAATAAAATTATAATGGTGCAGAGCATTTGAGCTTTCATATTCGCTCGATGGCTGGTTCGTTTAATGACTTCTTGCTGGTCGCTTAGCGTCTATTTGCTCATCGTTTTCGTAATAATTATTCATACAGTGCTCGCTTGTTTGGGCTGCGGTTTGAAACCATTTGAGAGCGTGCCAGCGTCTCTCTTAGTTTGCCGAGTTGGCCAAGAAGCCAAGAGAGTGGCAGCAGTCGCTCTTGGCTTGAGTGGGCTGAACCTGAACCTGCCGCACGAAAAGATCTGCGCTTCTGGCCGATGGCCGATGGCTTCCTGGGTTGGCTCTAAGCCAGTGATTTTCGAGCTCGGCGGCGTCTGGCGAGTGAGCGTCTACAAAATATATTTATAGACACATACACATCTATAGAATTACGTAGTACTTCGCTAATTACTGATCGGGGGGAAACTCGACGGGGATCGGGGATCGGGGAGAGTCTTTGGCAAGGCTGCGCTGGCGGATTAAAACTTCTTCACACTTTCAGTTGGTTCGAGCCGAAGTCCCGACCGCAGCTTCTTACACCGATGTTGTATATTGGCATGTTCGGGGTACGGGTACGGGTACGGATTCGGGTCGGGTACTAGCACACCTATGTAATGTATATATTTGCTTGCTTGTATAATTTGTATAATCTCTGCGTGGGTCGATTGATGCCGCCCTGCTTGCGCTCTCTGGTTACCGAAAACAGCTAATTCCGATCGCGGTCGGCTTACAACTTGAGTACGTTTAACAATGACACGGCAATTTCAATTTCAACATCAACATCAACGACACTGATAACAAACAACGCGAACTTACTAGCCTAATTGTGGGTTGCGGTTGCGTTTGGGTCGCCGGGGCGTATGCGCAACGCCTGCCAAGACGGCCGGATGGCGGGAGGCCAGCTTCCGCTTCCGGTTGCGGATCGCAATGGCGACGGCGTTGGCGATGGCGATGACGGAGGCGATGGCGATCTCCACAACGACTTGCCAGCGATTTCCGACTGGGCTCTAGTTCTACAATTTCATAATTCGGTTACATCAAATGCGGTTAACACGCGATGCCACGCTACCTAAGGTAAACTATTCACAGTTCAGCCGCCCGCTGAAAATGCGCAGCACAATAAAAACGGGTGTGTCTTGCTCAACACACACACACACACCCACCTACCAGTGGGTGGGTGTGTATATACATACTATATACGGTTGTTCAGCTAACATCGGAAATGCAGTTTACGTGTACAATTATTCTACAAAAATTTGCCTCTAAAGTATACTTTTGTTTTACGTTTGCTTAACTTTGGTTTTAAAACATCCATGTTCATATTTACGTTTACGTTTGCGCTTTGCTTTGGTTTCTTAGTTTTGTTTTTGTTCTTTTTTTTTTCGGTTTCTGTTTCGATTTCGATTTCGGTGTTCTTAATAAAGTTTACAAAAATACTTCTCGGTTTACATAACTGAAGAGCGAGGGGGATTGACACCTAATTGAAGCTTGACCTGGCTCGAGCCCTCAATCGAATCGAATCGAATCGGATTGAATTGAATCGAATCGCATCGCGTCGTGTGTGCTTTGTGTGGGTAGATTAGTTGAGTTCACGGAGTCCTGGAGGACCCGTGCTGGACGTGCTAAGACTATGGCACACGAGCTGCGTCGCCGACCCGAGGCCCAAACAATTTACATACATTATTTAATCCGGTTTCCTACATGCGTATGCGTGATTGTCCAAGGTTGATTTAACTTTTACGTTTACGTTTGTTTTCGTTTTTCATTAGGTTTTAGTTTGGTTTTCGCATTTTCGACTCGCTTTTATTACTCGCCCCGCTCGCTGGCTCTTCGATTTGTTCGGACTAGGCTTCAGACTAAAACACTGTGGTGAGGATATCCTTAATATGTTCCTAAACGCTCCTAAACGCACGCCGCTCCTGGTTCGCTTCTGTATCTAGAACTATAAGCCAACATTCAATGCGCTCTAATTTAACGTCTAAACGACAATTGCTTAAGTCTTTTAGTCTACATTTCGTTTACGTTTACGTTTACGATTACGATTACGTTACGTTACGTTATGTGGCGGGTTCTATATGAGTTCTATGTGTATATCTTCCTCCGACGCCCAGCTCGCTCCTGCCGTTCGACGCGTATCCCGACTATATAGCTATAGGTATTGTATACATGCACACAAACGTGGATATTTAGACACTATAAGGACTAGTAGGCGATGGTGGGCGATGGGCGTGATAGCTAAGGCTGAAGGCTCAGGTTTAAGGTTTCTGTTTCCATTTCTGGTTTCTGTTTCTGGTTTCTGTTTCGGTTGCGCTTGATTCTCCTCATTCCGCGCAGCTTTGCTCTTGGTTATTGTTGTACATATAGTAAACACAGTAATATATAAGTATACTCGCGCCTACAAGGACATGCAACAGATGCGCAGGAGACTCGAAGTGTCCTCTTACCCGTATTTTACATAATATTTCGCGATTCTATGCTATAGCTCTACGCCTATGCGCGGCATGCAACATTTGAAAACCTGCACGTTCCTACGTTCTTACAGTACACACACACACTATATACCTTCTCGTTCCGACTTATCTTAGCCTAGATTCTCTATATGCCTAATGTACGTTTACAGTTACTGTTTCTCAAGGTGTCCGTAGCGGCGTTTCCCTTCCGCACAAATAGTGTCGAAAGTTCCTCAAAATCTAAATTTAAATCAAATTCAAATTCAAAATCGAATCGAATCGAATTGAATCGAAACGAATTGAATCGAATCGAATCGTATCGTATCGATGTGGGATGAAGTGGGTGAACCTGGGGATACTCGGCGATGGCCTTTCTCCCGGCTCCGCTGTGATTTCGAAATTCGAATGTGTGCTCTTAACTGCTAATTGCTCGTCTCCGGCTTTGCTCTGCCATTTTCCTGGGTTGCTAACTTGTCTCTGCTGTTTCGCTTGGTTTTGGTTTTGGTTTTTTGTTTTGTTTTGTTTTGTTTTACATTTGGTTTTTCATTTTGTTTTATAAACTTTACATCAGTACGGGTGGGTATGTCGATCTGTGAGAGTTAGTTTCGTAAACTAAACTGACATTCGGATGCCATGCCTTAAGTGCTACGACTAACACTAGGGTTCGGGTTCGGGTTCGGTGTAATTGTGTGTGTCTCTGTTTGTGTGTTCGTTGCGGATGTGTGTGTGTGTGTGTGTGTGGGTTGTTACGACTAGAGTTCGTTTTACCGCTCTTAATTACGTGAGTTATTTACCTGGTTTTCCTGTTTACTGTCATTTCTGTTTAACATGCTATATAAAAACTGCTATGCTCCGCTTTAAAATTCTGCGTTGGCCTTCCGCTTTGTTTTGCCTTTGCACAATTATATTAAACATTTATCGATTTTTCGACTGACTTAATTTACGCGCGCTGTATCTGTATAAATGTTTCAAAAATTTGCACACAAAAATGGGTTCTTGCGGGGATCGCCGGGGGTTGGGGACTTCTTCTTTGGACTTGGGGGCTTGCGGTTAATACTATCGATTTCAAAAATTCTAGAAAATTATGGCAAAACAATTTGAAAAGTGTTTTCATTACAAATTGCATCAATATAAATTTCAAAAGTCTCAAAATACACAAAAGTATTTCAATCTCTTGCGGTTGTTTTTCTCGTTTTTAATTTAGTTGTCGCTTCGTCTTGTCTGCATTATTTATTGTAATTTGTAATTTGTTTGCTCGTCGAGTGCAAAATATGTTGTAGCCTACTTATATGCGCGATGCAAAAATATTTTCGCATTTCAAATGCTTGTGGTTGCAACAGCGACTGCGATGGCTGAATGTGGTTGGGGCGTTGTGGTTAGTGGTTACTGGTTGGTGGGTTGGTGGGTTGTCGGTTGGCGAGCGTGTGGCACAACATATACATACGCATATGTGGTTGATACGCAGATACACATGGATCTGATAGAGTTCGAGATGCGGCTACAGCGGCGCGCCTTTAGAAATAATTGTGGCACCCGGATTACTTTTTGAAAAATGCAAAATTACTTTTGAAAAAATTTTAGTGTTTTGTACTTTGTGAGAAGGCTAATTTAAAACAAGTATACGTATTATTTTATAGTACCTCACAATAAAGTTAAACTATGAAAGAATTCAATACTCAAATTGTTAAGAATATTTTTCTACTGTCACTTTAAAATATAGTTTAACATGAAACCAACTTATTGATTTTAACGCAGCTGTCTCATTTTTTTAACAAACCAGAGACATTCTGAAAATTAAACTTGGTAAACTTGACTTTTAATTTCCGCACTTGCCTTCAAAAATTCCCTTTTGATGGCAAGGTAAAATGCGTTTGACTGCTTGTTAAAAAAGTAACAATTTTGGGAATCAACTTTAGACAAGGTGTCACAACTATTACTTTGGCCACAGCTATACACATACTTGTACATACTCTGCCACACTGAGGAAAATATGTAGGAAAACCGCGCGTAATTACGTTTGTATTCGCAGTTTAACTGCTTAACGCAAATGGGGCAATGCACAAAGTTGAGCACGATGATGGATGCGGGGAGTGGGGAAGTCAACCTGACTGGGACAAGGACAATGGGGCGTATACGCAATACTGGGAAGCTCTCCTTCCTCCCTAGCAACACCTAACACTCAGAGGGTAACGAAAGCACGGTTAAACATTAATACTACCCAAGCGACTACCAGTTGCTGAGCTCCTTCCGATCGAAGACAGGGTCCGCGGGGCAAGGACGAAGACTCTTTCGTCCTGCCCGCCGACGGGTGGGTGTTTGGCTGAGCGCTCGCTGGAGGGAGTTTAGAATATGAAGTCGCCGCAGTCCATGGCGTAGTCGAAGTCCTCGCCTCCGATGTCGTCCACGCCCGAGGAGTGGAAGTCGAAGCCGCCGATGTCCGTGTGGTAGACGGCCCCGCTGCAGGAGGTGTCGATCAGGTTGGTGCAGTGGGTGGTGGGCAGGGCGTGCAGGGTGAAGGTGTCCTCGCACTGCGACCAGGTCAGCCCGCCGCTCCACACTCCGTTGGGCAGTGTGGCCCATCCCCATCCGTGGCCCCAAGGCAAGGCGCAGGCCAGCGAGGCCCGTGAGTCCGGCTTCTTGCTCAGGATGGCCACCGCCGCGTCGCTCTTCACCAGCGGGTTCTGCGTCTGCCGGAACAGCTTCGTGGTCATCGCCGAGGAGCAGTGGTGGTGCTTGCTCCCGCTGGCTCCATGCGACGCCGCCTTGCGCTGCTTCACCTCCGACTGGGTGGCAGCTGCACAAATAAAGTAATTAGGGAAAAGAATCTTTTTTTTTAATATGTAGTGTAATTTTTCCCTAAAAAAAACCGGTAAGCTAAACTTTTTAAAAAAAAATAAGTAAATAAAAAAAATTAAATTCAAAGTATTTCACGCCTACTTTTTAAAGTCGTTTATAACATATTGGTGTGGTATCCCTTAATTTATTTTGTAAGACACACTAAATTTCGTATAATTAAATTAAAGGAAAATCAGCTTAAGCATCTACTTTGTTTGCTGGTGGTTGTAGTAATTTAAAATCATTTTGTATTTATAACTAAAATCTTAAGATTAATTGGTAAAATAACTTCTTAGGCGTTGGGTATGATGAATTAGAGAGATAAGCAAACCTTAGGTAAATTTGAACACAAATATACATTCGTTTTAAAAAGTTATTTCACATTTGGTGAATTTCGTATAATTACAACCAAAGGTTAAGCCTTGATAACTCCTATTATTTTTCTTATCTTACTCAATTCCTTATAAACAATATTTAAAAAATATTAATGTTTGCTGTTTTATCAGAAAAAGCGGAATTTTAGCATTAAAAAAAAAACTATTTCACAAAGATAATTATTTTGCGACAACAAATACGGCCTTATGTGCATTCAGAAAGGCGTTTGAGTGAACGAGACATCTTCCGAAGGGAACCCAAGCGATTAAAATAGGAGGATGGATTACAATCTTTCAGGTGGGCTTTACTCACGTCTAATGCGCACCAGCGGACGTCGGAGCACGTTCATCAGGTGCGGCTTGTCCACCACCAGCTCGATTTGGGGAGGCGGTGGGAGGGTCTTGGTAATCGCATCGATCCAGTCGCTCACCTCCTGCTCCGACTTGGCCAGCATCCAGTAAACCTTGGAGCGCTTTCTCTGCGATCCGAGGGCAATCAGCTGGGACACATTCACGCCCGCGGGGAGCGGAGGACGACGCGGAATCTGGCCGGTCCAGTGGGCGATGGCCAGCATCTCCGGTGCCTCCTTCACCAGGATCTTGCCCGTCGGCGAGGAGCGGCCCGGCTCCGTGAACCAGGCCATGGTCGAGTCATCGTACAGCACCACCCACTCCTCCGCCCAGCGGTTCCAGAACATTTGCTCTGCACAAGGATAAAGAGGAACGGAGTCATAGTAAGTCCTTGATAACCATTCATTGCCATTGTTTTTGGTTTATTATAAGTAACGCATATTCTCCTAAAATAAAATCCTAACTATTTTTGAGCAAAGAGATAATACTTTTAGTGGGAAGGGAACATAACTAGTAAGCCCTTGCATAACAATTCCAGGAAATATTTTGCAGTCTGTATATATGTATTTGTTCAACCAATTCTATTTGACTTAAGTATTGTAAACACTGTTGTTTTTGAATTTCTCCTATGGTAAATTTTTAGAATTACTGAAATCTTTACTGAAATATTTAGAAGCCAGTGTATTGATTTGTTCATATTTGTAATCAGTTATAAGAGGTCATTTTAACTCACTCCTGCCTAGCACAGCTTTCTTTCTCAGCATAGAATACATTTCTCTAGTAATTTGCGCCAGGGGCTCAACACAAATTGTTTAGGCCATGATTTCCAATCCGGCCGAGCGAGCATGACAATGACACACAGCCCTGCCAAATCATGAGTAATTACACTTGAATGTGACCCCGAAATGATTATACCCCATTCCGGCACTCGAAGGACCGCAGTCCTCATCCATCTACCTCATCCACGGATGCTGCGTCATCCTGTTTGGGGCGACTGTTGGGAGGACTGTTACTGTTGTGCTGATTTGACAGATTGTCGTCTCTGCTGAGGGGTTCTGTTCGTCCCTTCAGTGCTGACAGCCAGAGGAAAGGATCTAACTGGACCGTCCTTTCAAGGACGCTGCAATGTGGGGTCCTTATTATTGCCTAGCAACTAGTTCTGCTGCAGGTGAACGAATTCGTACTAAATTCGAACGAATTATGACATGCTTTCGGTGATTTTAAAATATTTCCTTAAAAAGGTGGTTTACATATGCTAAACCCTATTTAAGTGCCTTAACAGGGTACAAATAATCATGTCAGGTATTTCGTTGACGAACACAGGTCATTGGAAAATATTCAATACCCTGAAGGTATGTTTAAATGCTTTCCTTTATTTTTCTTGCTTTTTAAAATGATTGTTAAGTTGTATAGTTTTGAGGTATACTTACTCTTGTAGCGCAGTAGGTAGCCGCCCTTGATTTGTTTCCCGCCAGTTCCTGCAAAAAGAAAACAGTTTGGAATGAGCGCCAAGTGGGGAAATATCCGCTGCGAATCTCATCTGGTCGGCATCCGCTGGCCGTTGCCCAGTGCTTAGAGAACCAGTGCCCAGTCACACGATGCCACTAATTGAACAGGAATCTGACGCTGCAGCAGGAGCCCATTTCCCCCAAAGAACTGCTTTCCCACTTCCCCAGGTCACCTGGCATCCAACATCCAGCATCCAGCTTCCAGCATCCGACATCCGAAGTCCAACGCCCACGCACCAAAACTGCAGTTGCGAACCGAAAGTCTGAGCGGATCCAGGTGCAAAGCGACTGGCTGCCCGGATAACGAATGGCGAAAAGCGAAACACGGAATTTCATTTAGCAATTCCCTCGCAATTGCAGCGGCAGCAACTCAATCAGCCAGCCCGATGCCGATGCCGCTGCAGTTGCCCTTCTGGCCCGGTCTCTCATTTCAAATTCATTACCACTGGCATCCCATTTATTTGGTCAAGTGTCGAGAGTCGCCAGTCGAGGAGAGGGGAGCCGAGGGGGGACTGCACTGGATTTGGGCCAGTGGCAAACACGTCGCTTGCGGTGGACTGAATTAATTATTTCAATAAAGACGGCCAAGGCAACGGGCATGCATACGTATACTTGATGCGAAGCATTTTCACACCTTCGCTTGTGGGCAAGCACTTGAGCAGAATGCATGGCAATTGTTCGATTTAATTTAGATTTAAAGCAGTTGTCTGCGGCTTGTTGTTCAACTTTTAATAACCCTTGTTAGTTCCGCAAATTTATGACTTATGTAAGGAAGTATTTTTAAAGAATTCGCTTCATTTAAGAAAAGATGCAATAGTCACGAAAGACATAATTATTTTGATGAATACTTAAAAGTAATAATTTTTTTTTGATTAATTCTATCTTGTTATGTAAAACTTGATGGAAAAAATATGAGCGCTAGTGTATACAGATAGTTTGACACCTAGAATGATTTAATGTTAGAAATCCTTTAGAAAACATAGAAAGGTAAAACTAACTATTGCTCTCTACAGTGAAATCGATAAGATAAAACTTTAGTACCAATTTTCCCTATTATTACAAAAAAAAGAATAAATTGTTTAATCAAGAAAAAGTTAAGGTTACAAATAGTTAACATAGAATCTTATTTGTTTGTGCGATTTCCAACCTCGACCATTCCGTTTATAGTAAAGTTTCAAAAAATTAAATAAGTTAAAAACAAATTTTTATTTTATCAAGGAATTAATAATAGTGAATCTGCATCGATGTTGATTAACTATAAGTCTGTTTTATGATTCTTTTTTTGAAAAATAAATTTGTCTTAAAACTTCGATAATAATTTAACGAAACGCTTAAACCAACCTAAAATAAATCACGCTTCTTATTAATCAACTCTTCCGATAAAAAATGTAATTTTTTTCTAAAAACAATTAAAGTTTGCTCAACCGGAGTGAAATTGTTCCCTCATGCAGTAAATTAATTTCTTTATTCAAATGTTTAATGAGACTGACATCGCCATTAAGTCCCAGTACTTAGCACTTAGTTCGTAATTCGAGAAACTGATAAGCGCCTAATGGCGCCCGTGGAAAAATTCTTGTAATTTGGGATTTGAAGAACCCCTCTGGCATTCTTTGCCGCACTCGGCCACTCGAGAAAGTTGCTTTTGCAGCAAACTGATTACGACCAGAGTGGCTGGTGACAATTTGCTTCGACTGGGAGTGGAAAGCGATGAGCTTGCACAGCATTTGAAAAACGCTTGAGGCACGGCGCGATAAAAAACGACGCTTGCCCTCAAAACGGTCTGGATTGGCTCAGCTTTTCTCAGTGCCCTCTGAGATTTTATTCTTCACAACGAAAAACAGAACAACTTCATGGGACTCATACACATACTCTTATATAAATTTTCCTATGATTTATATAATCCATTTATGTACTATTGCTATGGAACAGCAGCTTGTAAATGTTCGCAACAAAAATCAGCAAGCAAAAGTTCGAAAAATTGGTTTCATTAGACAAAAGTACATTGCAGGTGATGTAGAAAAATATTATGAGTGTACCCAGGAGCACACGAAATGCAGACGAAAACGATAGACGCAGTCCAAGTGTCGACGGAGATGATGAAAGGATGAGCTGGGGCTTTGGGACTGAACCGGGGATTCGGGGATTGGGGGATTGGGGCCTGCGAATATGTTGCATTGGGGTTGATGAGAGAGCGAGCTCGCCGAAGGACACTGCCTCGCTTGTATAAGATGGCAAGGCAGCGGACACCATGTGTGCCACTTCAGTGCACGCACACAGCCGCATGCAGCCATGCCCACACCCACACACACACCAACACAACACACTCGCACTTGCATCCTAGCAGCCTCGTATCCTCGCATCCTCGCATCCTTGCGTCCCCATCCACATGACAAATCAGCTAGAATTGCAAGTGGCTGCCACAGACAACGAACCCGTCCCGTCGTTCTCGAATTCCCTTCGCACCAAGGAGCAGGACGAAAGGACGAAGCGGAAGGCGAAGACAGCGGCAAACGTGTACAGACATAATTGCTGGCCTGGCTAGATACGAGAGTGGATAAAGGGCTGGGATATACATACCCACACACACACACACACTCGAAAAAACATGTCAAAGAACATCGTTTAGGTTTCTCAAAGGCTCTGCTTCCGTGAATTCATAAAACAGGCTATCAAGTTAAACAGAAAGATTCGCGTAACCTAAAACCCTTTGAAATCCTTTGTAAGTTCAAGTAAAGAACAAATAAAGTAAATAAGCCATTATTGCATAATACTCATGTTACGCAAATCTCATTCTTAAAGAAAAATGTTTTTGCTCCACATATATTATCATAACTCGAGTACAACTTTTCAAAACTGTAATAACTGTCATTTATATCGTTCACAGCTAAAACCAGTTGGGAATCACAGCGAAAACATTTCCTCCGAGTGCAGCCACATGATTTATGCCTGGGACGAACTGCAGCAGCAGCTGTAACCCGAAGCCAGCCTGATATCCTGCCCTCCTGGCCATCCTCGGATCCACTTCCAGCTGGATCCGTGGCAAATACACAGATACGCCCACGTCGTGTTTAGCGAGATATGAGACTGTGTTGTCTCTACTTAATGATTTAATGCAGAGCTCACACAAACACATAACAGCCTGCCAACGCCCACTCGCACACACATGTCCTGCCCGATGGGCGTGGCACCGTTAACAATTGCAGCATAATGAAACCGCATCCTGGATTCCGCTTGATAAGTTAAACGCTGGTGTGGGTCAACCGAAAAGTGGGAGGAGGAGGAGGAGGAGGGGTGGAGGATGACGGGGAATGTGAAAGGCGGTGAAAGGATGTGAAAGAGAAAGTATCAGACGGACGCGCAGCTGCGCCTGTGTGCGAATTCATTGAGAAAAATAAGCAGCCGAGAGGGGCGAAAGGGGCGCCGAGGGGCGGGGCATCTGGGGTGGGGCAGCAAAAACGAGTTCAAGGGTTTTCCGCCAAATGAGGCCACACCGACTGCCTTTCGGGGGCGCAGTTTCAGTTTCAGTTTCAGTTTCAGTTTCAGTTTGAGTCTGAGTCGCAGGTACGGTTTCACTTTCTCCCCACTCTCTCCCGAACTTTCCCCTAGTTCCACTTTCCCTACTCACCCATCGCCTGGGGCTGTTGCAGCTGGAGCTGCTGCATCTGCTGCGACTGCGACTGCGACTGCGATTGCATGAACGAGCCGTCCGCATCCGCACTCCGCGACTTCACCTTGGTGCACATGGAGAACATCTTGGCTGGGCTCTTGCTCCTTGGCTTTCCCTTGGCTTTTCCTCGATAATTGGCTCTTGGCAGCTTTGTTGTTGCTCTTGAGGCGGTTGTCGTATTGGTAGTTTAATTGATTTTGTTGCCGTGCACAACTCGTTCGACTGACTCGACTGGCAGCTTCCCGGGTTCCAGGTTGGCCTCCTCAGTTGCTTCTCCGAGTGAAAGTGATGTCAGCGCCAGGCTCGCGTTATCAGGACACACGCACACACACGCACACGCACTCGCACGCACAGCGGCGGCACACCGACGCACTCACACAGCGCAGGGAAAGTGCTTTCCCTTTTTTCTGTGTTAAATTTTCCCGATTTTCCTGTTTTTTTTTCCTTTTTTGTTTTTGAGCTGGCTGTAGAGAAACGCCTTTTTGCCGAATGTTGTTGTTGATGGCCCGAAATTAATGGATTAGCAGTCCTGAAACTGACGTCGCTAATTGGATTTCCAATTTTTGCTGTCCACTCCCGCCCAGTTCTGTGGCTAATTATGCTGCTCCACACATCCGTGTCCTGCGAGCGGACGGCGGCCAGGACATGTAATGAATAAGGATGCTCTGCTGTCAGTCGGCCAGTCAATCGGTTGCTGCTGGGTCACTCCAACACGGCATTGCGATGGCAGTTGAGCAGTTGCTGTTGCTGTTGCTGTTGCAGTTGATGTTGCTGTTGCAGATACAATCGGGATTCAGTGCAGAGGGTCAAGGAGGCAGGACTTCCGTTCTTTTGTGGCCGCAATTATTTTGTCTGCTGCTGCTGGTGGTGCTGTATGTCGCGGTGGTTGCTCTGCTGTCCGCTGCACACCTCTGCTGGGTTAGACGGCCGAAACTCGACTGGCGACCATCTCCTGAGCTGGTGAGCTGTCGAGCTGGTGAGCCTGGCCGAGGACCGAAGCTCCGGAGCCGAGGACGGCGCGTCGGGAGCCGAGAGCTTTCGGCTAGGACTAGGACAACACTCGAGCGCCAGACGACGAAGGAGGCGACGCTGCTCCTGATACTGATACCGATACTGCGAGCGGCTGCTTCTGGTCGTCGTGTCCTTCAACGTCCTACGGCAACAAACACCAGCCAACAGATGACAGGAGCGCGACTGCTTTCACTCATCTTCCCAACTTTCTCCCGAGCTTTTTTCATACTTTTTTCGCACGCCACTCTCTCTCTCTCTTTCTGTCCCTTTGGCGGTGCGTCCGTGTTAGTAGGTTACCCACCCAGCGAGCGCCCAGTGACCCACCATCCAGCAGCCAACAGGAACCACCCAGAACCACCCACCCCGCCATCGCTGTCCATGTTTATTCGGCAACCCACTGCGACTCCGGATGGGGCGGCAGCATCTGCTCCGCTCGGCGATAATCGGTAATAATGCGCTCTGCCACTATTCAAACGGGCGGCAAGTAAATAAACAGTACTTAGTACAGTTTGAACACTGCTGAGCCCCAAAAATTTTACAGGACGCAGCTGCCGCTTTAAATGGTGCCGAGAATGAAGTCGACAACAAGTCCCCGCCTCCCCGCCCGATTCCTCGGGTGCAAAAGGTGGCTGGGCTGGGAGGTGGCTTCCCTTGCAAGTGACTGTGTGACCCAAATCGAAGTATGTATATATTCAGGATGCACGACGGCGATTTAATTATCCTAATTTGATTTTAAGTAGTGCCCATCGGGGACTCAAAGGGGCTCGTACTACATGGCGTATGCGTGATGTTTCTGATAGTTTGGTAGTGCAAAACATATTGCAGGTGACTATTAAACCATTTCCAGATAATATATTCTGTTATATTAAAAAAAATATAAATAAATAGCACCTGTTTTAAATTTAAAGCGATGATTCATAGTAGGATACTATAATGGCAATAAGGCAATATCTATCGAATATACTTCAACTTTGAGGGAACAATTTCTCGCCAGTCACCAAAACAATGTGTGTGTTTCGCGGGCAAAGTTTCATTAATGGAAAGCCACCGCAAGCTATTCGAGTTCAGCAATCTTCTGCGGACCCAAGGCTATCCCAGAATTGTCAATTAATTTTTTAATTAAATTGTCAATAACACTACTTATGTGTTTGTCGAGCAGCAGAGCCATCAGAAGCGAGTCATTCCGGCAGAAATCATTCCCGCTGCGCAATAAACGGCAACTGTTGTTTGCCAGCGAGTTGCCCACATTTATTGACCATAAGGCATAAGCTCCTTAAAAGCAATCTCAGTGTCCTTTGCAACTGCAGTGGCTCCTTGTTTGTGGCAGGGACTTTAATGGGCCATTCGTGGGAAGGGATCTCAATACCGGGGAGTCGCACCTGCCAGCGCATATACGATGTACGCTATATGGCTTTGTCCCCGTCCTCAGCCAGCTGGCTGTTCCCAGAGCTTTGTTGACGTTCCCTGCTCTGCGTTCGGTGCGGATGCTTTGCATGTGCTGCTTGCTGGAGACCCAGCCAACAGCCAACAGCCCCCAGCCCAAAGTGAAGCCCGTCCGTCCTCCATCACATCTTGCCTCTTCCCCCAACCTGAACCTGAACCTGAAATCACTTAATCAGTTTATGCAGCACAAATTTGCCCTGGCAGAGTGGGCTCGGTGTTTTGCATTGCCTTTCGCTTTTTCCTCGGCGCTCGCAGGCTCTATTCGAACGTAATGCCTTTGTAAGTGGCATTAATTTGATGCTGCTTAATGTCTGCTAGTGCCCTCGCCCACTGCATTAATGGAATTTAAAATAAATTTCATTTTTGGTTATCTAATTTCGCGGACTGGTTTTCCATTTCTCTGCTGGATATAAAATGAAGGGAGATACTCGAATAAGAATTCCATGACTATTGTAATTGCTAATAAAAATCTTATTCTTGAAAAACTATTAAACAAGATTGGCCTTATTTTATAAAATATTTTAAATACATTAAACAAATGTCACTTAACATTCTTCTCGTCCACTTTGATTGATTTTCATTTTCATAGTACAAATCGCTTTACGTTTTATATTTTTAAATTGCAGCAAAGTGTTTGCTCTATAGCTTTGTAAAAAAAAAAAACAAATATGTGGTATTGTTTGCTTTGTAGCATGGTAAATAAAATAATTTTAAAATCCATTGGATTTGCGTGGCCCGAGGGGCTGGCTGTCACCTCCTGGTAAATAATTTCGAGTTCATATCTGTGCGGCGGCCCCTGTCGAGGATTTCAAGGCCTGGGCGTTTTCACTTTCGGTTTCCAATTACACACAGTCGCGCTTCGCCAGCTCGCTCTCTCACGCTCCACGACTCTCTCTATTTTCCGACACGGACACGGACACGGACACAGATACGCACACGCTTAGCTTTAAAGTGTGGCCCGGATTCGGTGCGCCACCATCCCAGGCCCCATCCCGGCTAAAGTGCTAGTCAAACCCGACCCAAGTCCTTGCCCAAATCCCCGTGTCCACGCCCATTCTCCTGACCGTGACACAATTTCCATTGTCGGGCATCCGCAGTAACGGCAGTAAGAGCAACAGCATCCCCGGGTACACAGCTGCCTGGTGACCTGCTCCAATTCCGCAGACTCCATCCAGCTGGAGCACCAAAACACTATCCTGACCCCGAAAACATGGCGAACAGGTGCTGGGTGCTGGGTGCTTTGTGCTGGATGCTGGGCATCGCAAATTGGACACTTGTTGGCCCCGCCGCCAATGACAAAACACATGACTCACACATCGAGAATTTTGTGGGTGATTATCGTAGGATTTATTATCATTTGGTGATTTGATTTAAGGCTCTACCTTGTACATTACAATGATATATAAATACATTGACCTACTCGCGTAGATCAGGACTCCTTTGAATGTCTGCGAGTGATTTCCTCCGTACTGTGTCCGTTGCGTTTGGCAAAACACTTGCCGAGTCAACGTTGCGTATGTATAAAATATATATATAGTATAAACATGTATCTGGGTTGTGTATGTACAACAGACTGCCTTGTACAACTTGCGCCTGACTTTCGCTTAGTTTGCAATTAACATTTTGAGCAACAAATTTATGCAGCATCATGCAGAAGTCGTCGTGTTCACGCTTCCTCAGCTGTGATGTTCCTGAATATAATAATGCTAATTAGGCGATGGTGGGGCGATGGATTCGAATGATAGATGGCAAGATGGAGCGTCAACAAACTTAATATCCAAAGCCCTTCTCATCTTCTTAATATATATTAGGGTGCGCCGTTTCACATGCCTAAGGAGCACCTTATCGTCAAACGAAGAATAAGGAATATTTAAAAACAGCTAAAATTAACTTAGAAACTAATAAGCATGTTTTGGTTTGATCGCATGAGTGGAAAGGAAATGAAAAATGAAATAATGATAAACGGTCCACCCCAATACGCATTTGTATAAGTACACCAAGAAGCTTGGCTCGAGTCGGATGAAATATTAAATCTGATTTAAGGCCAGGCAAGGCAATCTGCTGCTCATACGCACAACATCCGTACACACTTGTGTGCCTTACATTACGTGGGGCTATAAAATTAGGTACATATACAGTAATAACTATAACATTTTAAAAAATCTGTACTTTTTCAATTCACACAAACAACAAACATTTGCTAATAGCCGAAAATTATGCTACGATTCTCAATTCGTTTTGGTTGTTTTTTACCGCGTAATACTCAAAGCGTATCTATAATCTAGGGATTCTTGGGTTGATTCTTCTTGGTTTCTTATTTACTTGGTTTTACAATAAGGACACTAGTGAATTACATTCAAATGGTTGATGGGAAAGCGACCAGCCGAAACTTTGAGAGAAGTCTAGCAGGAAAGACAAGACAACGACAGCGAACGTTGCAAAAGTAGCAACGATGGTGGTGGCTCCTACTTCCGGTTCCGTTTAGTTCTGCAGCGCGGCTCGCAGGAGACTGTCCAGAGTGAGCTGGATGGTCCCATTGGCAGCTGCCTGCAGAACGGATGGCGGCTTGGGCAGGGCCGGAAACATTGTCGGTGCTCCCGCTTGACTGCTCTTGCCGCCCAGGCATTCCATGCCAGTGGTTGCCAGCGATTCGGGCACGGGGGCGTGGCATTTGCTGGGCGGCAAGGGGGTCGTGGGCAGGGGGCTTTTCGATTTCTCGATTTCGGGTTTCTGCGGCTGGTCCTCTCGAACTGGCTCCTTCTCCTTCTCCTGCTCCTTTTCCAGCTTCAGCTTTTCTTTCTGCTGTTGCTGGGCAATCGCAGTGTTGACCTTGTTCCACAGGTTGCTGATGACAGCGGCATCCTTTCCAGCAGCTGCCGTCCGCTTCGCAATCTTTTCGATGAAACTCTCGGTTTCCGGAGCGGGACTCACTGTGGTTTCCACCACGTTCTGATTCTGCTGCAGCTGACCGCCATCGCTGCGTGTGTGCGAAGTGAGGCGGGGTCGTATTTGGGGTCGCTCGGAGGGCAGCTCCGGTAAAGTGGCGGATACAGCCAGTCCCTGACTCACTAGTTCCAGCATGATGCGCTGTGTGATGCCCAGGACCATCGGCTTCTTGGCCTCCGTTATGTAGGCCTCCCACTGCTTGGGTTTGCTTTCATCGTTGCTTCCCGTCGGCTGGCGGCGCAGCTTGGCCCGCATGGCCTCGACGGCGAGCGCAGCTGGAGCTTGCTGCCCTGATCCGTCCGGCTTGAAGCTGACCATATCGTAGACAAAGTCCTTGTTGACCGCCTTAACCCTTTTGCGAATCGGGCGCTTCTCCTGGGAGTACTCGCCAGAGTCGGGTGAGATTTGAGTGCGTGACTTGCGACGCTTTTTACTTGGCGCGGGAGTGGCTTCCGCCGGCTCCTGGCCGGGTTCCTCCTTAACTACGGCTGTTGGTGATAGTGGTCTCGCTTCTCCCGCTGGTTCTATTACGGTTTTGGCACGCTTTAAGCGCCTTTCGTAGGTCTTAATAGGGGGCTTGGCCTCCTTGGCCTCTATAGCTCCCAGCTCCTCCTCCTTGTCCAACAAAATGATGTCCCCATCGACATCGTCGCGAGAGTACTCGCACTCATGAGTGGACACGTACTGTTCCGTTAGTTGGTCGCGATCTCCTTCTATCTTGTGGGTGAAACCTAAGTGGTTAACGATATCGTAGCGCCTGAAGGCGCGATATTCGCACAGATTGCAGCCGAAGCGGCGAGCGCGGTAGTGGAACATGGATATGTGACGGCGTAGGTTGCCGAGTGCATTAAACTGCTTGTGGCAGATCTTGCAGCGGCAACGCAGCTGCTTCTCCACTGGCACATTGCGCTTCTTCTTGGCCTTGCCCTTGACATCTTCCGGGTCCGCAGTGGATTCCGGACCAGCTCCAGCCCCGGGCTCGTGATCTTCGTCGGTGTTGGACGCTTCGTCACTCGCAGAGTCCGTTTCATGGGTCAAATTTAGCTGGTCCAACGACACTGTGTGCAAGACAGGGGCAAACGAGTCATTTCGCTCCGGTAGATCAGCAAACATGTCATTAAGAGTAATTTCCTCTCGCTTGATCGTATTGTTTTTCGGTAAATCTATGGCCGCAGTTGGTTCCTCATCGGCTGCATCTAGACTGGAATCATTACTCTTTACCTTAAGTTTTTTAACGGAGGGAGCCGGCTTGGCCAGCGCCTCTTGCTTCGCTCGACAATTGAGCAGGTGGGTTGACAGAGCAGCGCGACGTTCAAAGGACTTTTCGCAGTATATACACAAAGACATGATCTTACGATGCTCACCACTGGCATCCAATGGCTCCGGAACGTAGCCTACTACGTCGTCGGAGAATTGCAGGCGCTTCAACTCACGGCAGGGGCCCTTGGGATGAATATCTCCTTGCTGCACGCGGCGCTTGAGGATTGTGTTCCGCATCATGCGAATGCGACGAGTTGGTTTCCTGAAAAAGGGTTTTTAATACACAAGAATTAAATTCAGTTTTGAATTAATTACATCTCTGCGATCCCGAACACAATATATTATTTAGAACATAACTCCAATTATAAAATTAAAGCGTAGCTTTAAAATAAATTTAAAGTTTCCTTCACATTCTTAGACTGCAAATTTTAAAGACAATTTTAATTAATTAATTAATTAATTAATTAATTATTATTTACCCCTACAACTTTTTTATCACTCAATTAGTTCATAACGTCAAGCAGATAAATAAATAAATCAATAGATTTTTACCCATATTATTTGAAATTAATTTGAAGAATAATAAATGCATAATCCATCTTTACGTACTTGTGATCCTTGGATAGATGGCGAATAACTGCGGCGGCCTGCAGAAAAGTTAGCGAACAGGCGGGACACTGAAACACAAATGCCGATGATGAGTGATGCTTCTGAATGTGCAGCTCCAGCGTTTTTTGCGTCTGAAAAGTCAGATTGCCTGTGAACAAAAATGTAAATATACTAGCTGATTTCAAGGCCTATTTGGATGGTCAGCATTACAGATCTCGCAGAAGATGCTAGTCTCCGTTTCGTCGCTGATCGACTGCTCGCCATTTTCGCCGGAGTCGCTGCCTCCTTGGCGTTCCAACTTGATGGTGGCCAAGGCCTTGCCGTCGGGTCCCACAACGGTATCAGCCGGATTGAGCATACGGTGCACCTCATCCAGCTCCGTCCGTATGCTGTCCTCCTGGTCTACCTTGACGGTTTGGTAGACTGCCTGGCTGGAAGTGGGCACCGACTCCAGCTGAAGAACCGTGGGGGAGCTACGCCTGGCCTGTAAGGGGGCCTTCTCGCGTCGGAGACGCTCGATGACGCCACTAAGGTCGCGTATCCCTCCACCTCCAGCCCGTATGGGACGCACCTCTCGAGGAACTGGCGAGCATCCCGTGCTCCTGCTTCGGAGCATGTGCTCAATATCCTGCGGCGACGGACCGCCACCTGTTTGTATGATCATCGTGGAGTTCTGATCCTGTTGAGAAAGTTCGCAGCGATTAGCAAAAATCCCGTGGCTACAATAACCAAGTCATGGGGTTGTCTTTACTGCCCACTCACTGTGTATCCATTGCCGTTTGCTGACCGAGCGCTGACGCAGCAAAAGATGCGCTTATGGCTGATGAAATTGGCCAGGCTGCGGAACATGTTCCGGCACACTTTGCACTCGTAAATCAGGCTGCACTCCAGGCTTAGCAGCTGACGCACCTAAGGGAAAGGGGCTGTTATCCGGGGAAGTACCGAGTTGAGGCAAAGGAGCTTCCGCCATTATGGGCCGGAGCTGAGTCACGTACTCCACTCGGGAGAGACTCACCTCGCTGGTGCCATCCTCGTATGCCCGGCGCGCCTCCTCGAATCCCGTGTGGGCGGTGCGCAGTGGGCGCTGCAGCAAGCTGATGTCGTCACCGTTGTGGGCCATCTGCTCCTCTTTAAAAGTGTCCGAGTTACAGCGCGAGCTGCGCTTCCTCATGGTGCTGGTTTTACACGCCGCTTCTGCTCCTTTTGGCCGAATTCGCTTACAATCCCAACGCACTGCTCTTCGGGTCGATTTCGGCCAAGTGCGGATCTTAATATGTTTCTAATTCGCGATCAAAGTGGTTTTCCAATTCGAATACGGGCCTGCATCTTGCATTTTTTGTAGGGATGTGAAAAATATAACTAAATAGCATATATCGATATTTTTGGAAAAAAAATATCTTATCGTGATTTTCTCGGACTTATAACTTCATATCGATGAATTCTGATATGGTTGCTTTCTGGTTTTTATCTTGAAATCTTTAAACGAAAGAGTAGGCGCCTTGTGAAAACAAAAAATATATGATTTAAATGTTTTTTAAATTACTAAAGTTCTCATTATATCGTGTATATGTATATGGCTACATATTTCTTAGAACTTTTTAGATACGAAAATAATTGTACATATATGGGACGACAATTCTGACACATGGGAAATAAATTTAAAAAATTGTGATTGTAATTCGTTTTTTCACACGCATTTATAATTTTTGCGACAGTAATAATAAGTTTATTCTGAATTAAACATTTGCAATAGAAACATTAGAATAAGGCATTTTAATCAGAAATGTTTTATTTAATTCTTTACTTCTTAACAGTAGTTTGAACATATTATTTAGATGTTATTTTCCTTGAATTAAAAGTTTTCGAGATGTTTACTCTTATATTGTTTCGAATAGGAATATTTTTAAAATTTTAAAATTTTTTGGAAACGATATATGTACCATCGACACTATATCTTGAAAAAGTTTGCACAGCTACGTATACTGCGCAGGTTGTTGCCTTTGACGTAAGAAAAGCTTACGGAACGGTAGCAAGTCTAACGTTACCAATATCGTGCGGGCATATTTTTTTATTTTAAAATTTTAAAACTAATCAACATTTCACATTGAAAATTAATTTTTTTTATTTATGTTGTTTGAGTATTGAGTAACTTTCAGTTTGTAAACATGTTATTTTCATTTGTCACTAGTAAAAAATTGTAAATTCACTACATTTTATGTACCTTTTGTTAGATTATATACAATTCAATTTTATGATTTCAACCATTAAATATGCTTAGAAAATTAAGCTGAACTACACTCATATAATTAAAAAAATATCTTAAATTATGTTTTTGTTTGCATAATGACACAAAGATCTTTTGGCGTTTAGCACATGGTCACACTGATGACTTGAAAAAAAACAGTGACCGGAATAAAGCTCATCACATTAGTTTCACTCATAAATTAACTTACAGAACACACAATGGCCTGTCCAGGATTTGGTGAACTGAACATACCGTCATCACGCGCCTTTTGGGACGATTGCGAAGAGGATGAGCTGGAGAACGTGAAGCCGGTCGAGAAGTGCGCGATTTAAGTTTGTTAACTTGTTGTTAATCTCTAATATTTAAAGGCTGCAGCTAAAATTTGATGGTGAATCGACGGGTGAAGTTGCCCCCGTAGAGAGTGATCTTCTGGTGATCGTTGAAGGTACCAGCGTCACACACTTTGGCACTTCCCTGCTGGCAACGGACTCCAAACGCGTGTGCGGCATTCCTGCCAAAACCTCGTCCCTGCACTGGAACCCTTCGTCCAAACAGCTGCTGGCCATCGTGGAGGAGGACTTGACTAGCAGCGGCGAGGTCACTGAGCTCTTGTTGCCCTACGTCAAGCTGGCCAAGAAAGTGATCACCCTTACGCTCAAGCCAAAGGTAGAGTTTAAAAGCGAGGATATTCAGCTGTACCGAGATGACATAGCTATTGTGCGAGGCGTGGGTGTGAACAAAAAGGATGTTACTGAATTGGAGGCTCCCAACTTTATTGCCGGAGTGGCGGCCGGAGGTAAGTGGTCCTCACAGCTGCACAGGACTATGTTTTATCCCGCTTTCACCTATCCCTTCTTGCAGTTGCCAGTTGGCGCGACGAAGAAGAGTTGCCGGTGAACTCTTTTGTTGTCTACACTGACAAGCTGCCCCTGGACACCACTGCTGCTCAGCCAGTGATTAAGCTGCTCCAGAGTGTGGGCGTATCCTGCAGCTCCAAGTACATCCCCCCGCGCAAGGAGAACTCCTATCTATACATGTGAAACTACTTTTGGCTGTGTTCTTTCTAGATTTAATTTTGTAAAAATGTTGCGGTTGCGGAATAAAAAACAAATTACTTCAGTACTTCAAAAATGCTGAGATTCACCTCGCGTCGGCGCTGCTCCATATGCGCCTTGGCGATGGCGATGAATTGTGGCCGAGAAAGCATCGAGTAGGCAGGGACCAGCAAAGAGGAGGCCAGCATGTGCAGCTCCTTGTGCCCACTGCTAAACAAATCAATTCCCAGTTCCAGGGCGCTGCCAAAGTCCGATTCATCTAAGGCTATATTTGCTGCATTGGCCAACGGCTGCAGTTTCTCCAGCACTGCCTGTTTGGCAGCTCCGTTATCGATGTCCTTATGCTCCAGCATGGCCAACATCTTATTGAGCTCGGCGTCGCTGACGGGCAGTGGACGATAGCCAAGCTGCGTCTTCCGATCGAAAGGCACCACTATCCCGGCCCGGTGAAATGTCTTGGCCACCACTCGTTTATTGCGCTCTCGCTGCAGTCGGTCCAGCTGGGCCAGCTCAAGGGAATTGTCACTCAAGTATTTTGGTACTGCTTTTTTAGTTCCTGCCAACTGTCCGGCTGAGAAGGGAGTGGGCACAAAGTCGTGTTCCAGGAAGTAGAGGAACGCGTCGAACGCATTTCCAGCCACAAACTTAATCTCGCAGCCCTTGGCAGTGTCGCTTCGGGCAATCAATAGGTTCTCCTTGTCCTGCGGCACATCTCGCCAGTATCCATAGTGAATCCCTGTACCTCGACGCACAAAGATCGTCTGAAACTCGGGTGGATCGTAGTAAAAACGCCAGTGCCGCAGGTAGTCCCCTGGTTCACCCAGTTTTGCTCCATGGAATCTGCCGGCCAGAAATTCAAAGGGACCTACCAACTGCAACTGGAATACTTTGTCGAGGTGCTCTAAGATTGCATCCTTAGGCTTCGAAGGATCGCTTTTTAGGCCAGTAACAAATTTCCAAAACTCGTAAAAGTCCAAAGGCATTTCGACAAGGAATTTGTGCCTGATAAACTCGTTGGATTCGCAGAGATTGTCGTACTCTTTTTGCACGGACAGGCGTATGCGCTTCTCTAGGATTTCCATGTAGTTCTTCCCGGATATGTTGCTCATGGCCTCCTTGTGAAGCTCCGCTGTTTCGGACTCATAGCTTCCCTTGGGTTCTTCCTTGTGCTCCATTTCTGCGCTCGAGCAGCTTGTGTTTGGCTCAATCTTTTCCTCTGGCTGCGAGAGCAAATCTTTTTCTTTTTCTTTTTCTTTTGGTTGCGAGGATGCACTTCTTTTTGGCGCCACTTTTTTGCTCTCTGCGCCGTCTCCACGTTTCTCGTCTAGCTTTTCTGGATGATTATATTTGGACAAATGAGCAGCATTACGCTGATAGCATTTGTCCCAGTATTTGCAATCCTCCTTTGGCATTCCCAAATTTAAAATAAACAACTTCGCGATATGTGCGATACAACTAACAAGAATAACAAGTTTTCAGTAGCGCAGGCATAAGTTTCAGCGGGGAATCGGTTATCTGTATAAAAACATAAAATACTGAGTCTTAGTAATCGTGTTAAAGAAAACATCCCAAATGCAGCACGACAGCAAATGAACAAGAAAATATAAAATGTTACGAGGTTTTTAATATTAAAAAGAATTTGTTTTTAATTTCAGTTTTCATAGACCCCATATCGCCCCACACTACGCCTATGGCAATTCGAACACACCCCCAAATTGCGTTTGAGTGTTGAGAAGTGCCGGCAAAAAGTGCCGGTGAATGGCAAAAAAAAACTGCTCTCGATTGCAATTGATATTTGTTTTTTTATTTAATTATTGTAGTTCATTCAATGAATACAAAGTTTGCGAAAGAATCGAAATGTTGATGGTTGGGTGGTTAGTACAGTTACAGTTGCGTATGGGCAAACATTTTAAAGGGAAACACTATTCTAAACATCCATATGGAACATGACTAATCCTCGACAGCGCACATTACTGAGTAAACGCACTCCTCCTTGTTAATCAAGTGACAGGTCTTGTTCACCAGGGACATCAGTTGGTTTACGTCAGTGGCCCAGTTGTTCAGGATGTCTGAGGCGGTCTTCTTTTGGGTGAAGTAAATTATGCCGGCGGGACGGTCAATCTTCACTCGGATGGTGTCGCTGTTGGCCAGCTTGGAGAGGTACTCTTCGCAGCGGCTGGTAGGCAGGTTTAGTAGCTCGCTCATGCGCGCCAGGTGCAAGCGGGAATAGTACATGGCAATTATGCGAATGTTCTGTGGGTGCACCATATGAATTATTATCGGAGAAAAGAAAATCTTTACAAATGTAAACCTACATGCTCTATGAGACGATCCTTAAGTTCGGTGATGCACTTCTTGCCGTGCTTAGTGCTATCTTTGAACATCTCATTCTCGGCCAGCACCGTGCCAAAGTCTGCATTAAATGTGTCGAAATTAATCAGCTCCTTGGACATGAATAGACGTAGAATTTCTCTGATGGAATGAAGAAAAAATCAAGTTCTGCAATAAGATTTAGGTTCTAAAACACCTACTTGTAGGCAGGCACTTCTTCCAGCTTTTTGTTTTTCGAGAGGTGAGCCATCATGTCGCTCTGTTCGTTGTCGAAAGGAGCCAACACGCAATAAAGCACGGCACAAACGAGTTTTTCTGTGAGCTCCTTCTTCTGTTCCTCGGTCAATTCAACCTCGACTTCGGGCTCTGCGACGACCTCCGGCTTCTTGTCCTTGTCGTCTTCCTCCTTCTTCTTTTTGTCGTCGTCCTTCTTCTTTTGTTCATCTGTGGATGCGGCGGAGTCCACGGGTGTTAGGCCTGTCTTTTTGCGCGGCGGCTCTGCAATGGCCTGGTAATGACGTGAGGTTTTCAGGAAGGACGTATCCCTGTTTAGCTGGATCATCAGGTAGTAGAACTTCAGCTTGAGATCGTGCTGCGCCGGATCATCGAAGAACTTGATGCTGATCTTCTTGGCGATGATTTGCGTGGAAACATAGTCTTCCTTCAGCAGACAAAGGCGCATCTGCTCAAGTATAAGCTCCACCTTTTCGCGCTTGTCCATTGAGCCATAGGTCTCAACTTGCAGCTCCTCCATGACAGTGGCCGCACCGGCGACGTCGCCATCAGCCTCTTTAATGTCGGCCAAGATCTTGGTGAGCCGGGCCCGTTCGATCTCAACGTAGATCTTGCCCTCAGTGACCGAGCGCAGTGTGTCGATCAGCTTCAGCTTGGTCTCTTTGTCAGGCGTCTTGTCCACATACGTGACGCACTCTTGGATCATCTTGACGACGGCTTGTTTCAGCTGGGAGCGCCGACGCACTAGCAAGGACACATATTCGTTAAGGGCATTCCAGTTGGAAGCGTCGAAGCAGATCTGGCAAATTGCCACCAGCACGCGCGAGCAGGAGACCATGTCGGCGCCCAGTCGCGTCTGCTTCTCCAGCTGCAGCATCATCTCGATGGCTTCGTGGAAGGCGTCCGGTTTCTTCTTGGCCAGCTCTTTGGCAAGTGGAATTTTCTCATTGCAGGCAGGCTCGTAGTCTACCTCCATTTTGGTGATGCGGCCGCCATCGAACAAATAGGTGTCCATTGTGCTCTAAAATGCAGTTTACCTGTATATTTTCCGCTATGACAAGGCATTTTTTACCACTCACCTCGCGTTTGCCCTTGTCTTGCCGCAAAATTTACTGAAACTGGGTTTCTTTGGCAAATTAATGCACACTGTCTTGTTATCAACCTAGTTGGTTCGCCAGATGATCTTGGATACTTTGCTAGATGCGAAAGCGGCTTTTTTGTAATAATATCTCTCTGCACAAATTCTGCTTACAAATGCTGTGTTAAGTTGGCTGCGCGAGTTTGGTAGTGTTGAGAAGTGTTTGCTGGACGGGTCGATTTAAATTTTGAAATGTTAATGTTAACACAAGCAAATTTGAAACGTCACATTTAGACACATTTTTGAAAAAGAAATTAGGTATGGCACATTTTTTGACAAAGCAATGGAAGAATGCGAAGAGAAAAACAGAGCGGTAAGTTTACGTAGAGTTGTCATGGGTGAAAATAAGAAATTTTATTATAAAAAAAATGTTGATGTTCAAAAAAAATAATACAACATTATTGAAGTAAAATCAATATGTTGACATTATTAAGTTATGTAGAGATTTAAAAAAAATATACATTAATAATAAAGAGATAAAAATTGTTTAAACTTTATATGGTAGTTTGGATTCTGTTTTCCGCGGTTAAACAATAGATATATCGAAATAGCTGACAGCCCTGAATGTGGGGTGGTTATCTCGCGTTGTTCAACACCATTGGCATCAATCTTTGTTTAGCCGCGAAAATTTTGCCAAAAACCCGCAAACGCCGAATTGTTTTGTACGAAACGTGCATTCTGATTGTATTTTATATAAATAGATGCCTTGGCTTTAACTTTATATCCATCAGCAAAAGGACAGAAAGGATCTCCTGCACTACTATTTGCGGAAATAAGCTAATTGTTGGTTCTGGAAATTTTGCAAGATGGCACAAATTGAGGAATACCAGGACTTGGTGATCGATGCCTTGGAAGTCGTGGAGTTTAAGTTGAGTAAGTGGCCAGACTTTGGTTCGAGACAGTCCTGTAATGTTTCTGTTTTTAGTTCGCGACAAGGCGGACATCAACAACGACGCCCTGATCTTCCACCCCGCGATGGCCCACCAGATTTTTGGCGAGTCTGAAACTATCTTTGGCTACCAGGACTTGCATGTGCGTGTAATGTACACGGCAGGACCTTTGCACATTTACCTGGGCGTCGAGTACGGAAAGCGAGTAAACGAAATATCTGGTGGAGAGATCAAGGCCGACGACGTGGTCAGCACGATTGCCCAGAGTTTGCCAGACGGCTGCTACTTCATCAACCTCGATGAGTTTCTGAAGACACTGGACAAGGCTGACAAGTTTCAGCCGTTCGGCGAGAAAATTGGCGAATACACCCGGACATCGGACGACGGCAGCGAACGTCTCTTTGAGATCTACCAGTCCGACTACAAGAGCTCCTCATTCCTCAAATTCTTCGCCCGGTTACAGACCTTTATTTTGTGGTTCGTAGACGCCGCCTCATACATAGACACCGATGACCCACAGTGGTGCTACTTCTTGTGGTAAGTAACATAGCGAAGGATAAGAAAATTGGTTTATAGTCCGATTGCTTCAAAGTAGTATTTTATTTAATCTAAGTAAGTCTTTTGTTTTATAGTTCTTTCCGTTCCTGTTACAATTTTATTGCTCTTTTTGTTTTTTTAGCTACGAAAAGTACAAGAACAACGATGGTCAATGGCAGTATGCCACAGCTGGCTACACCACGGTGTACGAGTATTACGCATATCCGCAAAACAAACGACCAAGGATAAGCCAGATGCTGATATTGCCGCCATTCCAAAAGTTAGGCCTCGCGACCCAGTTGGTGGAGACCATTTACAAGTTTTATCAGTCGCAAAAAAATGTGGTTGATATCACAGTGGAGGATCCATCTGAGGAGTTCCAGCGACTGCGAAACTTTGTGGACGCTCGGTCGTGCAAAGAACTAAAGTCGTTTGCCCGTGCCGAGATTGTCAAGGGCTTCAACAAGGAGATGGTGCGGGAAGCTCGTGAAGCCTTGAAACTTAATCCCCGGCAAGTGCGAAAGGTGTACGAACTGCTGCGTCTCTTTTACACCAACGTAAATGATGAAAAGGAGTACCGGCCCTATCGCTTGGAAGTGAAGAAACGACTAAACGCAGTTTATTATAAGCAGCTCAAGGATCTGAAAAAAATGGAGCGCTTCAAGATGGACACAGAGATGCTGCGGGCTCGACTGCCAACAATAAAGCAACGCATGGAGCAGCTTCAAGAGGAGTACAGTGTGGTCGAGCAAGACTACCAGAGCACCATTGCCAAATTGAAAGCCTAGTTGGTCTGTGGATCCAAGGGGTGTTGAGTAATTTATTTCGTTTTTCCTTTTCAAATATGTTGATTACAAAATACATTATGTTGCTATAAGCCTATGGTAGGATTCTTTTGAATAAATATTAAAAATTACATATGGTTTCAGTGTATATATCATAGATTTATAAGATATCAGATTACCGAGTGCACGTACATAAAGGGGCAATGCTGGGCGTGGGGCACTTGAGCAATTAAGCGTATATAAAACACAAAACAAATTACGGCTAACGATTACGGTTTATACAGATTAAAAAGTATTGCAATTGAGACTTGGAAGTACGCTTGGGATACGATCATCGAGGTTGCTGGGCCAGCAGCCCGTACAACTAGCAGGACCCGTACTCCTCCATCCACTTTTCGAAGCGGGCCACGTCGTCAGCGGACACAGACTTCTTGGTGCGCTGCCGGGCGTCCTGGAAGTCCTGCAGCGTGATCGGCTGGTCCACCTCCTCGCGGCGGATCTGCTTGATCTGATCGGGTGTGCGCCCGGAGATAAGGCGCCTCATGGCCATCATGGAGGCGTCTCGGCACACGTTGCTTATGTCTGACCCCGAGTAGCCCAGCAGCTCGTCTCCGATCATTCCCGTGTTCAGGCTGGGCGACAGGCAGACGTCCTTCAGGCAGAGTTTCAACAGAGCTGACCGGGTGTCCTCTAAAAACATACAAATAAATATAAAGACATATAACATTAATTGCAATGTCTCAAAACCTCTTCAGACTTTCTTTCCGTCCACTTACCATTTGGGAGTGGGATATAGATTCGCTTCTCAAAGCGTCTCCGGAAGGCCTCATCAATGTCCCACGGGTGATTGGTGGCCGCCAGCACCATGATCACCTTCTCCTCTTGCATACTGGCATTGAGTCCGTCCATCTGGATGAGCAACTCGGCCTTGAACCGTCGACTGGCCTCGTGCTCCGAATCGCTGCCTCTGGAGGCGCACAAGGCGTCGATCTCGTCGATGAAGATGGTGCTGGGGGCGTAGAAGCGAGCCATCTCAAAGAGGAGCCGCACCAGCTTCTCACTCTCGCCCCGATACTTGGAAGTCAGGGTCGAAGAGGACACGTTGAAGAAGGTTGTGCCGCACTCTGTGGCCACCGCCTTGGCCAGCATCGTTTTGCCAGTGCCCGGCGGACCCACCATCAATACTCCGCGCCATGGCCGGCGGATTCCCTTAAAGAATTCCGGCATGATGACCGGAAGGACCACCGCTTCCTGTTTCAGTACGAATAAAAGCAAATAAGTTTGGGTTTCCTGTTTCTTTTATGAAATATGTATTTTTTAAATAGCTAAAAGGATAAGTTCATTACTGGTGTAAAGTTTGTTTATCGTATTAAATTAAATATTTTTTTAAGTAGCATTACTTTTTAGAAATGTAATTCTGGTTCAAGAAAGTAGCTTTTCGGTAGTCATACATTAAAGTATCGACATTTTTATATCCTTGCAGAGCAAAGGGTATTATAATTTCAGTCAGAAATATACTATATACTATAGACTATATCGGATAGCTAAAAAAAATTATTACTACGTTGTTTTAACTACTATCGAATTTCGAATTAAATTTTATCAAAATCGGCTAGCTCAATGATGTAGCTGCGATAGAAAAGATCAAAAAATATATATATGTATGTACATATAAATAATGAAAAAAATTCGTAAAGTGTTTTTTTTTTATCCCATGAGCATGATTTTCAAAATGTGAAGTTTTTTAATGACCCTTAAATCGAGAAAACAATTTCATTAAAATCCGACAACGTTATCATATAGCTGCCAAAGGAAAGATCGAAAAATCTATATAGAAAAAAAAAATCTGATGGAAATAAAAAACATATATGTATATATAAGCATCGGCTTGCCGAAGTTAGTTTCCTTTCTTGTTTTAATTGCATTACCTTTGGATTATATGTGTCATAAACTCTTAATTATTTTGACATGATTATGAAATATGTTCGCTCAGTTAAATCCCGAACGGAAGAGAAATTTTATTTTAACTCAATTTTCAAAACGAATTTTGTAATATAAATTTGTTCTTGCAATAGCTTTGTCAAATGAGTATTAAATTTAACCAAAATTGTTTGTCCAGGCATCTTTTAAATATATTATGATTGTTTGGTCTTAACAAAGAAATTGGTTGGTCAAGTTAATAGTTTCGAACGGAAGTGAACAGATTGGTTGGTCAGAAGTCTGATCTCCAACAGGCACAGAACTCACCTGGAGTATAGTCTTGGCCTCGTTGAGTCCAGCCACGTCGGTCCACTTGATGCACGGATGCCTCTGCAGGATGTCCTTCTCGAGTGTGTCCACCAGATGGGCCTCGTAGCCCAGCGGCGAAAAGTGCTTGGCCTTGGTCTTCGGCGAGCACTTGGGCGTGTTGTGGGTGGTGGATATTGACTGGGCGTGCGAGTTGTCCTCCAGCGAGGTGGTCGCGTCCTGGTCATCCGAGTTCGAGTTCTCGTCCAGCGAGTTCTTCTTCACGGGCTTGTGCTTCAGGGTTAGCTGCGTGTTGGTGCTGAGCTTCCGGGCCCGCAGGCGCTCCACGGAGCGACTCTTCCTCAAGGCGGCGGTCATGGCGGATGCCCTTGGCGGTCTACCTAACCGCATGGCGCCCATGCTGCTAACGGGGGTGGGTGCACCAGCTCCAGCTCCGGCCAAGCCCACATTCCCGGCACTGCCGTGGTGGCTCTGGCCCAGGCTGCTGCTGTTCGCGTTGCTGCTGATGGAGGGCAGTGTGGGCTGGAGCTCGGGATCACGGCGTCTCAGGGAGGACACCCATCGGTTGTCCTGCTGCTGCGATGGGAACGCCATCTGGGGCGTCTGACTGGCTCGCGGCTGGGGTGCCACTTCTGCGGCGGGGACTGCGTTTCATTAATGACTTTGTCCTAGACCCCGCATCCCCGGAGCACTCACCTTGGGTGGGCAGTCGCTGCTTGCTGCGCAACGGAACGCTGCCACCAATACCCAGTCCCCCGGGAGCATTTGGGCCCAGGTTGTTGATCGGACGATGGCGCTCCGCTGTCGACGAGTGTCCACTATCCGAACCCTTCTTCAAGCTGGCGTTGCGAGAGGGCCGACTGGTGGCCGTGATCTTGGTGAAGCCAAAAGGGGATAGCGAGTCCAGGATCAGGGAATCCATCATCCGGGCCATGTGCGACAGGCTCGTCGGAGGTGTGGATGAGCTGCAAAAATAAGATGAAATGTAGGTGATTGTTCCTTAATGGCATTTAAATTTTTTCTCATATCTCATGTCCAATAAACATACGAAAAGTTTAGTAAATTGAGTTAAAGTTACTTAGACTTATAAATAAAATACAATAGGAAGAACACAAATAGAAAATATAATAATTATAATAAGTGAACTTTCTCTTTGTGAAATAGCTTGTCTTCGGTAATATTATCGCATTTTTTAATTTGGTTTTTTTTATGTAACAATACAGTTCAAGTAATGCAATAATTTCCTAAATTAAATGTACTTTTACGGCTTTAAATAATTTATAATATTAATTTGTGTATGAAAAAAGTAGTACTAAATAAATCTAACTTGTAAAACCTGAATCGGAGCTATAGGTATTTTTAAATAGTAAATGTTTTGCTAAAAAACTTAGGGCTCGAATCTCATTTCCACCAATGAATTGCTAAAGTGGTAAGCGCTTCCTTCATTTTCCTTTCTTGTGGATTGTATAAAATAAAAAAATATTAATACACCAAACCCTTGTTAACTTTTTCCAACAACAAATTAAATTTTATTTATCTTTAAAAAGCGCCAACCGGAAAAAACCCATCAAAACCACATAACGCAGACTAAATAATGCCCCTAAGGGCTCATTTTTAAAACTTATGGCTTAGTGTCCATAACTTTTTGGTAGCTCCATGGCGGTTGCCATTCAACTTGGCCATGTCGCAAAGGTCATTTGCTTTATCAGCCGCGGACAAGTGCTTTGCGTGTCCTGGTGTGTGCATATATTGGTCGGATTCCTCGTGTCTAGCCGTCTAATATTAGCTAGCCCTAGCCGCAGGGTTCCTTCATCCCCACCCCTTTCCCCTTCCCTCTGTTGACAACGGTCGGGAATTTCCAGGAAACGAAGAGTTTTGTGGAGCCTCCCAAGGGGCCGGCTATTCAAACGGCAGGTGAGTTCAATAAACTCTTTGGCTCTCGGCCAGGTTATTGACGTGCCGGCGACAATTGTTAACTTTTGTATTCGCATTCGAATTGTTTTTTTGGCATTTGCATGCGTCATTCGATGGCATTAAAGTCCTTACGGGTGTTTCGCCGGCAACATTGTAAATCTCGATCTGAAAAGTATGCCGCAATATATTTTACGCCAGGCTAATTAAGTTGGCAGCAGCAGCAAGTCCATAATTCCCGGCCATATTGCCTGACTCCTGGCACATCCGCCTGTGTTTAAGTACATTGTGGGCTGTACTCGTTCGAATTTGGGTTAATGCTTCCTTGTGCTCGCCCACGATTTCCCATTTCTGATTCCTGATTGAAGCGATTAGTCAAGCGACTAACTAGGCCAGTGCCTATTTGCCCTATATAATATTCAAGAATCAACGTGCCCTAATCTAGGAATTACTTGCATTTTAATTGACCCATTGATTGATTGGCAAAGTGTTACAAGGCCGGAGCGAGCGTGAAAAACAACCAGGCTTGGTAAAGTCCAATGATGGCGGAAATCCTTGGACTCTTGGTTATGATGGTCTCTTTAAAATTCGTGTCACCAAAGGTGTTTATGCTAATTTCTACTCGATTGAGCCATTGGCACAGCAAAGAACAACGTTTTGCCTTATGCAAATTACAGCAAATAACAATTATGACTGGCAGAATTGCAGGCCAGCACGGAGCACAATGGTCAAGAGGGAACACTAGGTTGAATACGACCAAGAAATCCTTTTTAATGACTGGATTATTAATCAATTGTCGGGTCAAGGAACTAAAAACAATTACGACCTCAACTGTTTTTCAGTTGCTTCTATGAAATTTCAATAAATTTGTAATAAATAGGCTTTGCTGAATTAGTGAGAGATTGAATATCGAATTCGCACTTTACTGTATACCTAATCAATTTCTTCGTAAGTCGTCCAAGGCTTTCAGCAACAAATAATTACAGGTTGACTTTTTTGGCATGCTCAAAATTTGGCAAGGGAACAATAATATTTTATGAAATGGCTGCAATTGGAGTAGAATACTAGAAAAGTTCTTAAAATGTCCAACAACTTATCGGGTTATTTATAATATTTAAAGACACTTTAAAGAGATTTAAAACTCAAACTTATTTCTTCTGTTAAAGAAGCAGGTAATCCAAGACTATTTGAATGAAGAAATATTTTTCGCATTGTTTCCAACTAGCCCTGAACACAAGTACTTAACATTACTAAACATTTTTTAACATTTTTAGTTAATCTACAACTTCGAGGAAAACAGTTTTCGCAGCGATGCTTTAAATTATATTCAGGGCTTTTGAAATGTAATAAAATCGGCTCTTTAACAGTGGAGAATTTCTTAACTTGACTGATTTGAGATTGGGTTTCTTGGTATTGAGGAGGTGAATATGCTTTCGAGGAACCCGAATCCTGGGAATCCTCAAAAGCCCTTACCACTGGTGCAGGTCCCAGAGCGAGTGATATGGAGTGTGCCGATAGGTGGAGACGAAGGGCACCGCCACCTCGTACTCCACCTGGACGTTGGGCGGCGACTGGGGCCGCACGGAAACGGCGTTGGAGCGCTCCAGGGCGGGATTGGAGCTGGTCAGCGAGCGCTGGCGCATGAAGGGATGCGATCCCGTCTGCTGCGGCTGGTTGTAGAGATTCGGATTGTTGTTCAGCAGCTGGGCGACCCCGCCGGCCGGAGCCACCGAGGGCTGGCCCATGCCGAACCAGTTCTGGGCACTGGCGTTGAACATGGAGCTGTGCCGGCGACAGACAGATAACGACGGGACAGACACTTCACTTTGAATTTTAAAACACACGCGATGGGGTCGAGCGGAAACTTGGCTGCCTGACAGTCCTCGCCAGGACACCTCGATGGCTGCCTGGGAAAAGTCGAGAGCGCGACCGAGGAGGCTAGGCGTCCACCTGACGACTCAAGGGTTGCGGGCCAACTGACCGCTCGACCGGACTACGCGTCCACAACAAAGGCGACCGACCAGCGCACACATTCCGAACCGGGTAGTTTTCCAAGTTGGCTGTGTGCGTCTATGTGAATGCGAATTGAGGTTAAAGGAAGTTTTGCTGGGCGCTGTTTGGGGGCGGTTTCAATCATGGTAATTTACAGGGAAAGGGTACCATAACTTGCAAGAAAAATAATAAAAATAGCCGTGGGATTGAACGTCTTGAAAGTAAATACAGGGACTATTCAGACTTAAAAAGGATTAAGCTGCTTTAAAATGTTATTAAAGCTAAAAAGTATGCCCTTTCTCTTAAATTAAAATGTTTATAGCACTTAAGTGAAAAATTATTTAAACATGGTTTACATTTTCTAAAGCACTTATTTATTCCAGAATTAATTTATTGAATATTTTTCTGTTAAAAACTTTGCCAGAAAATACCAATATCTTGTTGCTCAAGAGCATTGAAAGGACATCAGAGCTTCGATATGCCCCACTGCTTTGGCAACTCCTTGTGTTACCCAACGCCGTGGACTGTGGTCAATGCACGCTAGCCGCTGGCACAAGATTCCATCGATTTCTGGGGAAAGCAAGGCGTTACACTCACTTATGTATGCCGTGTATTTACTCAAATGGCAGCGGCTTCTTAATAATTTGCCGGCAATGTTATTTAATGGCGGGCTTGCATGCGGGCGGAGAAAGCCGGTTCTCGAGTTGGCCTGCAATCGGGGCTCCCGAAAGGTATAGCATACCTTCTAGAGCAGCGAGAGGAAGGGGCCTTGAGTGGTTTGTCAACATACGTGAGCGCAGTCCGGAAACCCAGGGCAGAGCCACAAGCGAAGGTCGTTTTGGATGCGCACGTATAGTATATCTGTATCTGAAAATCAGCTGCAGCCGAGATAAAAATCGATTTCGAGGCCGACAGTCATGGAACGCTGGAGTGTCCCGGCACGCCTTGCTCCTCCACTGGCTACCCTTCACCCACCCCAGCGAATCACTCACCCCGCAGAACTCATCACGGGCAGGTACGTGGAGGTGGAGTCCACGGTGCGAATGGTGGTGTTCCCCCGCAGCACAATCTTCTCGCGCGTGGTCCGCCTGTAGGTCGTCTCTTCGCCGCGCATTCTGGTCCGCTGATTGCTTCAATTTTTCGAACAATTTTGAATTTTTCACAACTATTTTTTGTAAGTTTTCTTGTTTACTTTGCTCCGAAACGGTGTGTTGGAAAATTTTGCATCTGTTCTTCGCACGGCCAACGTCAAAATGGGGATTCAATGAGGATAGAGAGCGTGCAAAGGACGAAAGGATGCTGCGAAAGCTTTGGCTCTCTGCCCCAGCTTTTCTCTCTTGTTTAACTTCCTGGCTCTCCAGCGGTAATTGTAAACAATTGCGCAATTTTCGCCTGCTGTTGCTCCTCCACTCGCCTCGATGCACAAATGGTCACTAAATACTCGATTGTTGTGGCCACTTTGGCCAGCCAGCCGCATTGCAACGGCCAGTGGGGTTGGGCGGCAAGGAGGTGGCTTTTTGGTGGTGTCTTTTATGGGGGAAAGCTCAAGAACGTATATCCTTCGAGTTGGCTTAACGTTAATTTTAAATTTAAATTGTAATTGATATTTATAAAAATCTAAATGCTAATACATTTTAGTTATCAACTAGGAAAGGGCTATAGCAATATAAAGAAATTATTATTTTCTTGTAACAGAAAAGAAGCAGGGACAAAAACAAAGCAAATTATAAAAGATTTGAATTTGAGTGTGCCTCTGATTTTAATATTTCCCTAGGTCCAAATAAAATGCGCTGCTTAACCCACTCAGAAGAACAAATATATATGCATCTTTATTGATCGATTTTTAAAAAACTACTTAAAAATTCGAATAATAAATTACGATTTAAAAAACATTATTACATTAAAGTTCAATTCTCAGTTTAGTTTGGCGACTTGCCTGTCATTACACAATATTATTGACGACAGAAATTGTATGAACTTTGCTTTAACACTCAAATTGCATTCGAATCCTTGTTTATAGTTGTGTGTAAACAGTGATAGAAAGTTGTAAATAGTTGGGGCAGTTTCTCAAACGACCTACACACGACTCACAGCATGGCACTGTGCAGTACATTAATTGAAATTCAAAATTAAAATACGTGAAAGAATGAAACGGTTTTGAAATTTGTAGAAAAAGACAACTTATTATGAACTAAGCGAGGAAGTACCCATCCGCGGACGTAAACATAGATTGATGTTTGCATATATTCATGTGTAAATATATATAAAACGTTTCTAACAAACACGAGGCACGTCGAAATGTAAGTAAGCAAAAATGAAGTGATCTTTAGGTTGGTTTTTGGTTTTTATTCCGACTCGGGGAAATTTGGTGGCTTCAGTTGCTTCTTGTCTTTAGTTGACCTCACAAGGCTGCGTGTGTGTATATATATGTGTATATGGATAAGAGTCTATTTAATCATTTGAACGGTTTAACTTTCAACTAACAATAACTTTAACGCCGACGCTCGTTTAGTTTCGACCATATGTTTTCTCTCCTGTATGACTAAGTGTGCGATACCTTAACAGCTGCATAACTTTAGATTTACCATAGTTTCATTACGCTCTTGTGCACTAGTGATTTTAGTTAGTTTCAAGTTTCCAAATTATTTACAACTAGCCCTGCTCTCCGGCGTCCACTAGTTTGGCGAGTATTTAGATTACTGGAACTTGCGCGTGGCAGTTCTGGCCTTCCAGGCCTTGACCAGGTTGTAGGCGAAATATAGCGTGAATCCGTGCACCTGGAAACCGACGAAGCAGAAGGCGTACCAGAAAACACCGTACGGATAGCCCTGCAAAAGGGAAATTAGGATTAGCATAGTCCTCAGCGACTCAGTGGCTCGCCACTTACGCGCCACACGAAGATGTCCGTCTCGTCCAGCTCCACGGACTTGTCCAGCGTGGCGAACTCCCACACGTCCGAAAAGTAGTAGGCGAAGCAGTAGAGGAGCGGCAGAATGGCGAACAGCAGGATGGCCACCATGTACTTCTGCATCTCGCGCACCTTGTTGCCCCTGGCCGCTGAAAGGCCCAGGAAGGAGGTGAGCAGCGAGCCGGCCCACACGTACTCCCACCAAAGTGGCGGCGGCACCTCAAGCTCCTCGATCTCCAGCACAAAGATGTCCAGGCGGTCGAGGATGTCCGATGTGAGCTTGGCCAGCATCACGAAGAAGAGCAGCGCGTGAAAGAAGATGCAGAACTTCAACCTGGACTTGTTCAGGAGGCTAAAAAGAGAAAGCGGCCGCTTAGTGGGGGGTCCAAGTTTTACTGAGCCCATCACTGGGGCGCACATGCTGCCCAGCTGGCACTTTGCCCACCCGCCCCTTCGCAGCAAGTGGGTGGCGATGCCCATTGGCAGCTCCAGGACGTGGGGGGTGCTCCGCCGCCCTGGTGCGGGCTGCTTGTGCGGCGGAGGTGCCACCTACTGCAGCGGGCGCCCCAGTAATTAGATAATTTCGTGTGTGTGGGGGAGAGCTGCCGATGCAGTGTTATTAACCTAATTTGATATGTGCCAGCTACGCGCTGCCTGAACTCGAAGTCGTTGCCGTCGGTGCCCGCCACCATTGGACCGCCGCGCGTTGCCATTTCGCTGCTTTCGTGGTTCGTTGTCACACGTCGTTGCTTATTTTTAATAAATAATTGCACAAAAAAAGTGCAGACTAGTGTGACCGTGTTAGGGCCTTTCGCATGCCTGGAAGAAAAACTACCGAAATACCCCTAATATTACTTATCGCACACTCGAACCACAAGCAAAGACTTGACTTGGGTCGAGTTATACACGGTCACACTGCCGAAAGTGAATCAAATGTCCGTTACAAGGCAAATGTTTTGATTCTGTTCTGTTCAATTTTGTGATAATCACTCCGAAATAAATGTTAAGCAGATTATAGTTTGAATTACTCCGATTTTTTTCGAAAATGTACGAAATGTCCAATATAATTTTAAACAATCTTTGACAATCTTTCAGTTTTTATAACTTCAAAAACATTTACAGACAGTTATAGAACTTCATACTGACAGACTTATAAAATTGGGTATTGGGGATACGAGGCGATTCCACACATGTTACCATCGTTGCGGGCCAGTCTTACGTAGCCTTTTACCCCCAGGACGTTCCATAGGAGTTCTTGATCAGCCAGTAGGCACCCCAGGAGGGATCCGTTCCGAAGCCCACCACTAGCATGGAGTGGGAGAGCTTAATCCTCGCGGATCGGCAGCCGGGAATCCTGAGGACGCCATTTACGTACTGAAAGAATTCGTCGTGCACGTGGTCAATGGAGGCGGTCACTGGTCCGATGTTGTAGACCACCTCGGCCATTTCCTTCTCATCGTTGTTGTTCAAAGTGACGTAACTGCGCAGGGTTCCAGCACTGCTTTTGGGGTTCCAGCGACAAGCATCCTTTTGGGGCTGGTAGGGGTAGGACTGCTTGGACGCGATGCCGAAATCCTTCGTGTAGTTGAAGGCCAAGCTCACCCAGCCCCGCTGACATCCCTGGCTCGGAGAGGGGACGCAGTCCACCAAGTGTTTGGGGGACAGGGGCACTAGTCTGAGGGTCTTCTTCGCCAGGTGAGCCCGGGGCGGAGAAGGCCCAGCAGCTCTGGCAGTCGGAGCCCTGGTTTTCCACCGGCGATACGTAACCGTACTGCCGCCAGTCAATCCCTCCGATTGTCTCGTTGTAGCGCTTGTAGCACGGCGTTTTTCTCACGACATGGTTGCCCGAGTCTGCAGGCATTTTCACGGATCGGAAACTGAAATTTACACTTCCATTCCTATCCGAGTACTCGTTCAGTCCCATCTTGTATCCAATTTTCCCCTCCGCGAAGAGCCTGTTGTTTCTGGCAACTGACTGGACCCTTCTATTGTATATCTCTCGGTGGTAGTTGTCGTTGAACGTGTAGTGCTTATTGTATCGGGCCTTGTACCGCGCCCACTCCGCGTCACAGACCAAAGCCATTCCGAGATCCACAAGGATCAGGGCAAGAAGTACTTGAAGTACATGGTGCCAAAGCGAACCCATTGCGAACTTAGCCTGACCAACGATGATTTAAGACTGATTCAGAGCTTACAATCCTGAAGATGCAGTGGAATGCCTGCATTATATGAGGTTATCTCTCTGAACTGTAATTCAGTTTAGGAAACTTTTAAAATTGCGCCTCAGCGAATTCAACGTGTAGTATGAATTGTATTTAAAACCGTCAGATAGCGTGAGAACTCTGTTAATTCAAGCATACACACATAACACATATATGTTATTGATTTAATAAACTTAATAGAACTTTTCCTACTTGTTATGGATTATATTACATTACATGAATTACACTACATTAACTTTACTAGACTTTTAAAGAGAATTATAAATATTTTGTATTATGTTTAATACCCTAAACAACATTCCGATTAAAAGAATTGCTTTTTATACCCTTGCAGAGCAAAGAATATTATAATTTCAGTCAGTAGTTTGCACCACACTGAAGGAGACACCTCAGACCCCATAAATTATATATACTGTTGATCATCGAAATACGTCTGTCCGTCTGTATGTCTCTCTTAAAACTAGTCTCTCAGTTTTAAAGCTGTCTTGCTGAAACTTTCCCAAAAGTTGTGTAGTTGTTGCACGCAGTATAACGGGCCGGATCGGCCGACTATATCGGATAGAACAAAATAAGAGAATAAAAAAAATTCTCACGCCGTAGTTTTTCATTAGATCGACTTGATTTATTCCAGATGGCGTTTTCTAACTACTATTGAATTTCAGATTAAATTTTATCAAAATCGAATAACTCTATAATATAGCTGCCATAGGAAATTATAACATCGTTATTTTTCATTAGACAAGCATGGTTTTTGGAATATGATAACGACTCTTAAAATACGAATTAAATTTCATTAAAATCGGACGACTATATCATATAGCTGTCATACGAAAAATTGTTGAGAATATGTAAAATTCATAGAAAAATCGTCAATGCTCCGATGGTGTTTAGTCTCTATGGATTTTGTTGGACATATTTGATGACTGCAAGGGTATATAAGCTTCGGCTTGCTGAAGCTAGCTTCCTTTCATGTTATGCATAAATGTGTCCAGAAATTCTAGTTATGGGGATAAATGATTCTTTTATTTAAAAAACATTACATTAATTTCAGCTTAAAAAAGAACCCTTTGTCATAAATGATTAATGTATTAATACATGATATAGCAAAATATACTGTTGGATATAATTTTAAACGATCTTTGACTTCGTTGCAATAACTTCAAAAACATTTACAGGCAGTTTTAGATCTTCATACTGACAGACTTACAAAATTGGGTATTGGGGATACGAGGCGATTCCACACATGTTGCCAGCGTTGCGGGCCAGTCTTACGTAGCCGTTTTCGCCCCAGGACGTTCCATAGGAGTTCTTGATCAGCCAGTAGTCACCCCAGGTGGGATCCGTTCCGAAGCCCACCACTAGCATGGAGTGGGAGAGCTTCATCCTCGCGGACCGGCAGCCGGGAATCCTTAGGACGCCACTTACGTACTGGGTGAATTCTTCGTGCACGTGGTCAATGGAGGCGGTCACTGGTCCGATGTTGTAGACCACCTCGGCCATTTCCCTCTCATCGTTGTTGTTCAGAGTGACGTAACTGCGCAGGGTTCCAGCACTGCTTTTGGGGTTCCAGCGACAGGCATCCGTTTGGGGCTGGTAGGGATAGGACTGCTTGGTGGCGATGCCATAATCCCTCGTGTAGTTGAAGGCCAAGCTCACCCAGCCCCGCTGACATCCCTGGCTCGGAGAGGGGACGCAGTCCACCAAGTGTTTGGGGGACAGGGGCACTAGTCTGAGGGTCTTCTTCGCCAGGTGGGCCTCCAGGCACCCCGAGGCGGAGAAGGCCCAGCAGCTCTGGCAGTCCGAGCCCTGGTTTTCCACCGGCGATACGTAACCGTACTGCCGCCAGTCAATCCCTCTGGTTATCTCGTTGTAGCGCTTGTAGCACGGCGTTTTTCTCACGACATGGTTGCCCGAGTCCGGAGGCATTTTCATGGACGTTCGGTAGCTAAAGAGTAAGCTTTGATCCGTGTCGGAGTGCTCGTTCAGCCCCATCTTGTATCCCACTTTTCCCTCCGCGAAGAGCCTGTTGTTTCTGGCAACTGCCTGGACCCTTCTATTGTATATCTCTCGGTGGTAGTTGTCGTTGAACTTGTAGTGCTTATTGTACCGGGCCTTGTACCGCGCCCACTCCGCGTCACTGACCAAAGCCATTCCGAGATCCACAAGGATCAGGGCAAGAAGTACTTGGAGTACATGGTGCCAAAGTGAACCCATTGCGAACTTACCCTGACCAGCGATGATTTAAGACTGATTCAGAGCTTACAATCCTGAAGATGCAGTGGAATGCCTGCATTATATGAGGTTATCTCACTGAACTGCAATTTATTCCAGGAAAGTTTTAAGATTGCGCTTCCAGCAAAATCAATGTGTAATATGAATTGTATTTAAAACCGTCAGATAGCGTACAAATGCTGATAATTCACGCATACACACATACCACATAAATATTGTTGATTTAATTAACTTTCCATTTTTATGACCACACCATGTTTTAACTTGACCTTTTCCTACTTTTTAAGAAACTTAAGTTTATTTTTTTAATTTTTTAAAAGTATTAAACAATTGTATTCCAAGTCGTATGATTAATAATAATAATTGGCCATTACAACCCTTGTCAGGTCACAGCCTGATGGACAATTCGCCGCCAGTTGGCAGCACCGGATGCAGACAGGGCTTCCATCACCTGGTCTTGCCAACGCATCCGGGGTCGTCCCCTCCTCCGTTTCCCGACAATTACCGCATCAAACACCTTACGGGCTGGAGCGTCTTCTTCCATACGGGCGATGTGACCCAGCCAGCGGAGTCTGTGAATTTTAACTCGACTGACTACATCAACATCCCCGTACAGCTCATACAGCTCGTGGTTCCCTCTAATGCGATAAGCATCGCCAACGCAGATCCGACCAAAGATTTTTTCGTATGATTACACTCAATAAACTTTTAAACAGAATCATTAATATTTGGGATTTTATTATATTATTAACATACTAATTCAAATTAATGCTTTTTAAATAATGTGCTCAAACTTGTTTCGAACGATTTCTAAATAACAAACGATTCCTATACTTGCAAAAATTGCTAAAAATTAATTTTTTAATTTTTCATTCATTCATTGTTTTTTTGTTTTAATGTAAAATCTGTTTTGCCAATAATTGTAATTTTATAATCATCCTTCAAAAAGTCCTGGCTACCATGCTTAATAGGAACTAATTAACTAAATTATTTATATTTTAACTGTGCAGGTAGTTTAATCTTGACCCGGTTAGGGTTTCAAAGTTGCGACAAATGTACGAGCCTGTACAATTGCTATTTATGGACATTGTTACTGAATTAGAGCGGCAGTAAGTAATTTTACAAAGCCTAGACATTGTCAGCAAGTGATTTCTAGTACGTCAAACCGAAATTAGCATAATTTAGTGCGCTGTGCTCTATTGATATCATTATGTAAATTGCAGGCTGCTTTGTGCTGCAATCAGCTCAAAAAGGGCAACAGTGGGTGTGTCTTCGACGCATTTCGAGGGACTTTGTGTTGGTGGCACCTGTTGCACTTAAATCCATAAATCAATCTACCGAGGAAAGGGAAGACAATGGAGAAAGGCCGCAGAGGGGGTTTTAAAAATAATACAACGAATTTCTTATTTTCGCGGCACTCTCTTTATGCTCGCCGCGCTACAAAAATCGAGAATACGCTCCGTGTGGGTCATCAGTTCTACGGCGGTATTCCTCCGATTTGGACGCGTTCTTCGCATGCGATCGTCTCCGCTCGAAAGTTTCCGGAAAGTGTTCCCCGTCCCGTTTTTAATGCCAGTTGTTGATAATTTTCATGCGAATATTTACGCCGAGCTCGGCAGTTGACATTTTTGAGTCTAAAGTTAAAGTCGCGCTCTTAATCGAACCCGTGGTATACGGTAATGGCTTAACTTAATATTAGGAAACTAAGTAGTGCATAGAAATGAATTGCATTCCACCATCAAGTTGTTGATTATCGCTTGTCTTTCACTGAGCCGCCAGAAATATCAAAAATACTCGCCGTATTTTCAATGCTTTGGGGCCAAGACCTCAAACAAATGATTTTGTCAGGCGCTTTTTTTGGCGCGTGTTGGCAGCCTTCGGTACCCAAAGTTATATGTGTATCCGAAAAACAAGTATTATGTATATTATTTTTGATATTACCATAGCGTATACAATGTATCCTATATCAACAAAAGAATTATACTTAAGCTCGAAAGTACAATATACATACATATATACAATACAATGATAATACTATATATAAAAAATATAACCATACAAGAAATTTAAGATTCGTATTTTTTTAACATTTTGTTGTGGGCTTTTGAAGTATTTAAATCTTTTAAAAGAACCCACTGCAACTTGATTTTTTTTAGGCGGAGCCTACTGTATTTGCATATGCTTCGTCTTAGGCAACGACAAACCTTGTGATATTTGCTCAGATATTACAAACTAAAATCCTTATCGATCGAGTGACTTAGATAGCAGCCTGCTAAAACTTTCCCTCTTTTCGTTCCAGCTGCGCCTGCCTGTGAATTCGGCCCCCTGTGTCGCGTCGGTTCCCGAATAATCCCCACAGCCGGATAGTCCAGTTCCAGATAAAGACCCAGTTCCCCGACCCAACCATCAACCAACCATGTCCATCGCCGATAAACGCGCCAGCTTCGCGAGACGCGCCGAAAGTCTGGTGGAGCGGGTGAGAGTTATGAATACCATTTACGAGGTACCGGCATCAAGTGACCACGGATCGTGAGATCGATTTTCGATTTTGTTTGTTGTTTGTTGTTTGCAGTTTGCTGTTTGCTGATTGCTGTATTCTGTTTTCCTTTTTGTAGTTTGCAGTTTTCCATTTGTTTTGGCTTGCTCCCTAATTCAGATTTATTCTGCCAGCAATTGCTGGCACGGCTCGTAAATTATGGCTCGAGGCGTTTAATGTAATTCACACATTTGCACATTGAACAGACAGAACAACAGACCCCATTGATATGTGTATATATTTGATTGGGTTCTATTGGCCGTGGGTGGCGGCTTCAGACACCCAGTCGTCGCTTCTGGGCTCTCGGCTAACATTTTCGTTCGATTCAGTTGGCCGTGCCCCGACTGCTTTAATTAATCTAAAACACTCGGACATCATACACATCGCCTTAATGAGTGGGGCCAAATTGTGCTCGGATCAAGGTCGCCAGAATGCTTGCCCTATCTCAAGACTGATTGCCTATTATGGGCAGAACGTGAGGGTTTTCTTTGGGAGATAATGGACCAAGAGGCTTGTGTCTCTTTCTGCCCTGCTCCTATATAATTTCCTCCCCAATGTTCAAATTAATATGAAACTCTTCTGAATTCAGCACTACCAAGCTTTCATTTATGCGATCTTTAGTTAAATACAACTTAATTGTATTCTCTAAGTAGAAAATAGAGTTTCAGCTTTTTATAAATCCACTATCATATCAATATATTATGTTACCTTGTATCACTTTCATATCTTAACAAATTTTTTGAAACGGTGTTTATTATGCGAAAGGTTTAAAATAGATCTTTCCCGTCGTAAATCATTTATTTTTTCCACCCAAAAAATTGGAACCGCAGGGCATAAAAAAGTCATTGTCCGGCGATTCTTCCGCTGTCGAGCTAAAAATAAATATCCCCATGCAAATAGCCCTCAGAAAATGCTTGGTCACTGCGGTTGTGGCAGTGTTTATGGCAAGTGTATCTGAATGTGCCTCTGTGTGCGATTGCAACACAATGGAATTCAGCAGAATAACCTCAAGCAAATTTGTCAGTGGCTGGGAAAAGTGGAAGTAATTGAAAGACGGCAAAGAGTTACACACATGGGAGTATGAAAAGACACTCGCTTAATATCATGCAATGCTGCAGCTTAATTAAATGGTTCGACCATCACACAAATATTCACAAGAGAATTGGGTTCAGTGAACCGTCGATCATTGTCCAGCCCTTTATATTGATTTATACATAAGGAAGGTTCATATACGCGAATATTAATTCGTGATTCAGCATATACTAATCATTTGCGAGGTACTTATCACTACGCCACTTTACTCTTATCACAAAAAAACGGCAATCTTTTTAAAGTGTATATACCATTTTAATTCCTACTTAAGTCAACAATGTTTTATTCAATTTGATTGGTGGATTTGTACTTTACATTTAGAAAGCAATGTTGCATATTTCAAATGTTTTCATGATAAGAACAATAACAAAATGTTTTAAAGAATTTTGAATTATTTTTAAAAAAAAGTCCAAGGACCATAATTAATGATTAGGAAACAACAAAGGCAAGCTAATTCTTTCTTAAGAATAATTTGCTTATTTTGTACACCTTTGATATGGAAAAAATTTTGTAGAGCCAAGATTAAACTATGAATAATATGTTATTAGGGAATTGAGTATACGGTATACACAAGCAAACCTAAAAAAGCAAGATCTTAAAATAATTCTAATTTTTTATGTAAGATAAAAAAAGCTTACAAACATTTCATATCAACAGTCTCATCGAGGACTATTGATTTAGTATTTATAAAATATTTGAAATATCACTTGCAGAACTCTATTTCTTTTAAAATATAATTAGTTGAAATCGCTTATTAAGACGCTCAATGCGAACTCGAATAGAGTGCAAGGGTAACTCAATTCCAGAGTCTCTTCGAGAGTTATAAAACCGTCGGACCCTCATTGCTGATACACAAAACACTTTCTTGTTGCGATGTTGTTGGAGCCAAATATAAAGCTGTGTTAATAATAGTCCCCCTCCGCCAGGACCTTCAGCCGTCGATCCTTTCTTAAGTAGTGTAAAGTGAGGGAATTAAAAATGTTAATTGAATTTCGGGTCGCAACAGAGGATGGTTGAAACCGGAGCCTTCGAAAAGCAACATAATTCGCTTAGCAGAGAGACAGGGATAATTTGGGAGTGGGGAAAGGTGCTCGACAGGTGCTGTGGAAATGGCTAACAACGGCTTTGGTTACACTTTGCATTTCAATTTGGGCGAGTGTCATTCGAGGATGATGATGGTCGTGGCGATGGCCATGGCGATGGTGCTTATCAATCAGCGTGGGATTTCGACGACCAGAGGTTGATTTGCATTTCATTCGAAACGCCACCCAAAGAGCCAGAGGATGATCGATGTCCTTGTAAGGCGACGTTCCCCTCCTCGATATGTGTCCATTTTGGGCACTCATTCATGGGCTTTTGCGATTCGCATTTGTGGCCCCTTATCGTTTTCGTTTTCGCCTGCGAATGCCACCAGCTATCCAAAAATAGCAGTGCAAATAAGCCATGGAGGTGGAATGGGAATCGCGACTACGACGACGCGAACATAACGAGCAAAATAAATGAACGATAAAAAGCTAATAAAGAGCGGCATAAATAAATGCGTAAATATCGAGCGCATATATATCGAGGGGCGCACTTCTGGTGGGGGAAACTCGTCTCGTAGATTGCCTGCCTGCCTGCTTGGCGAAGGCGCTACCCGAGGGGCGTGGCAGGTGGCAGGTCGAGTGATAAAGGAGAAGGATGAGGGACGAAAGGCGCGGGAGACGGGCGAACGCATTTGCTCAAGTGCCGGCGCTGTCATCCTTCGGCTGTTGGCCTTGCCAGGACGTGTGTTTGTGTTGCCATTTGGGCTTAAGTGTTCCTGCCTGATCCCGCTGGCAGGACCCGTTCTTCCTCCAAGGATACCCGCCCGGGCTGCTCCTGCCCCGAGCAAGTGTAAATGTTTGCATACAATTCCCTCTGCTGCGAGTCCTTGCACTTGAATCCCGCTGGTTGGAACTTGAGTGCCACTTTAAAGTGCTGCAGTTTTTAATGCGGGTCCGGGTTGAAAGACTTTAATGTTAGAATAAGAGTGAAAAACATAAGATATCTCTTCTAATAGTTTAAAGTGTATGTTTATTTGATTCCCTAAACCAATAGTTCTGTTCTTAAATGCAGAAAAATATTTAAATAAATCTGGTTATGCTTGAATAGTTCGATACTCAAGAAAGCGAATGATAAAACGTTTATTTCTCTTTGAATGTTTGTTATTAAATTAAAATGCCAGTAACCCCATTTTATTGCCATAAAGCTGATTTTAAAACCACACAGAATTGATTGCATTTGTTTTCCAAATATAATTTTACTTTCGCGTTTCGCCGACTCCTGACAAGGCATTGTTTATCTTATGAGAGCTTCGCAATGTCTTTCGTCTGTTTCGCAGAAACCTTGAAGTTGAGTTTTTCTTTTCCCACTTAACTTTGCGAATTGACATAAATAGGATTTTTGCGCTTTCGCAATCCCCCGATTCCCCAATCCCTGGATCCCCGGATCCCCCGAATCCGCAGTTTGGCCCACCTGAACTTGTGTTTTTGTGTTCTTGCCACCTCGGGCAATCGGCTTACAGACTTTCAATTGCACCACCTCTTCTCCTCCTCCACCTCCTCCTCCACCTCCTTCCCCTTCTCCTCCTTCTCGTCTCCCGAGACATTTCCCATTGTCTGCCACACCCACAACACAACAGCTAACCGCTTAAGTAACGCGTATCTTGTACCCATTCGCTTTTCCTGTTCCTCGCACATAAATCCCCGTGCCGTCCGCCGTTGTTGTAGCTCGGTTGTTTTTGTTGTGGGCTCTGAGCTGAGCACCTGCCTGGATAATTGTGCCTGACAATGGTGTTTGTTGCCGCCGCGTTGTTTATGTGCATGCACCGCCGTTTATCCCGCCCGCCTTTCTCTTAAGGGGGGGGTAAGGTTTTAAAAAATTTTTTTTTCGATTTTTTTTTATATTTTTTTTCTAAAAGAGCAATATGTTGAGAACGTTGTGTAAAAATTTTGAGTTAATTAGAGTCAAACTAACGGAGTTACAGCGTTTTAAACGACCGAATTTGGCCGTATTCTCACGTATAAAAATACTTTGAATCGATTTTGCCGAAGACGTTATTTTGAAAGTCGGTGAACATCAGAACTCAATATCTACTGAACCGATCCTTTTCAAATTTTTAACACAAATTCTCAACATAAATACGCAGGTAATCAGGAAGAGTTTTTTTTAATTTTTAATTTTTTTCTATTTTTAAAAAATAAATTAACAGCGATTTTTAAGCTAAAATCGCACTTTTCACTTTCAAGTGCTCCCAAAAATAGACAAAAAATAAATTTAAAAAAAACTCTTCCTGATTACCTCGGGAAATTCATTATCTTTACAACACATATCACATTTTATTTTTAAGATGATCCGTTAACGCCCTATGATGTTCACCGCAAAACAACTTTTTCTTTAGGCGCTTCGGAAGATTAACCGCCACAGGCGTATTTCTTAATATTTTTTAATAATTTTTTTTTTCTAATACTCTTCAAAAGTTAAACAATACCATGTAATTAAGCTCAATAAAATAAACTTACTTATTTTGCCGCAAAACAAAAATCAAACATGGCCCTTTTTTTGGCCTTTAAAACCTTACCCCCCCCTTAATGCCTTTGTCTGGCTGCCGGCTTTATGCTCTTTTTATCATCATCCCCTTTTTGTTTAATTAAAGCGCATGTCGAAATTAAAACAAAAAATGACATTTATCTGCTAATGGCCTTGGGTAAATGCACGAAAGGCGTGCGAGATCGACGAATTAGGGAAATCGCTGCCGAACAACGGTGCGTATACGTCATGTTTTATTCCCTCAAGCGATTGCATTTGTAGGTGTCATTTAATCTACTTTAAAATTGAGTCATTTGAATTCATTA